GGTAAATACAATTTTTCTATAAATACATAAAATCCGTAGTCTGATCATTGCTATACTATTTCTTCCCATGCACAAGGTTACCAGTCAATTTGTTTTATTTTTTTAATTGAAACTCTTGTAAGAATTTTCTCCTTCAAGCGTAGCTTCAAGTTTCCGTAACAAGAACAATTATACCGTCGATTTACCTAGGTCGACTCGCGGGAGCATTAACTGTCGCTTACGATAATGATAGCCATGAGTTCAGCCTCAACCTTAGATCAAGGAAATGTTGCGCTTTATCGAACATGCGATTAATTATGTAATTGCAATCCGTGCACGCCTTTCAGCTTTAGGCTTTAAAATCCTTGCTCCGGGTTCTCCGCTTATCTCGTGCCTCGAGGAAGTCGCGCTTCGCATTCCCGTTACAGTCTTTTTGCTTTTGTTTCATCGTAGAAAAATAACAGATCGTTAAAGAAGCAGAACGGTACCATTCAATTAACCAGATAACAAATAGAAGGGAAAAAGGATCTAATAATTCAACGTCGCGCGGGAGCTTAATAGAAAAAGGCGTTGTCTATCCATCTTCCTCGAAATGCATTTTCGAACGCAACAACTGTGAACGACTAAACATTCGACGAATTGGTGGAATGTTCAACGACTGAGACGAATGCCGACTTCGCTTTTTCGATTCCCTGCTGTCGCCCTGTTCACGCTGAGACTGATTTTAAATGCTTCTGTAATCATCGTGTAGATAAACGTCAATTAAAACCATGAAGACCGTAGTTATTGCAAGAAGAACATAATTCGTTATTAAAATTTCTGTGTACAAAAAAATAAGAGAGCTGTAATATTGATACAAGGGAATAATTACATTTTTTTCATTTGTCTGCGCATTCGTTTACGGAAGGAAGTGACGCTAATTTTATCAATAGCGAATGAAGTTCTCGTATTCGCGGCACTATTATGGATTAAAGGGTAAACCCGGTACTAGGCTACGGTCGTTTGGCCGGAAGCCAGTCGTTTTACACCTTCCTCGTCCTTTCCCGAAGACATTCTTAGTTTCTCGTTCAGAGATTATTTCTTGCACCATTTTGACGCGAAACTGTCAAGTTTATTGTTTCCGTTTCTACGAAACCGAGCATAAAGAAAATCTTCGCGTAAGGTGGTCCATCTAAAGAAAAGTACAACTCTAATTGTACTCCTAAAACGCGTGAAGTATTACTTAGAAAAATATCTAAACCTCAACAATTTCATTTATAAGTAGACTGCAGATTTTATGGATTTATAGAAAAATTGGATATGCTGAAAATATAAAGAATGCATGTACTGTCATTATTTTTGTAGGATGAAAGAAATTTTAATTTATATTTCATTTCTTAAATTACAAGCGTCTTGTTTTACATAAAAATCCGCAGTTTATTTATAAATATTTTATAAAGTACGAGATTATGATGGCAAGCTGGTTCCACGAAACTAATCTTACGTTCTGCGGTTACGTCAGCAAATTACTCTGATCCGAGTCCTCCCACGATTTACGAACGATGCACCCAACTGTAGGCTACCGAACTATCCTTTTCGCCAACGGAGTATATAAGAGAGTTAACGGATAGGCGAATGATTCGAGAATTTTGCGGGAAAAGTTAACAGTATCAGGCCGATTCCGATGCGACTGACTGCTGCCGTTCGTACCCACGCCGTCTGTTTTATTTCTCGGTACGAAAGAACGATCGTGGTGAATAGCGACCGTGAAATCGCGATAAAACGTCTTCGTGTCCATGAATAATGATTTGAAAATCGTAGGCCCACCGACACTCCTCAGATCTTATTCACAAGTCATGGATTATTTTATTGTCTCGCCTTTTTATACTTGTTGATCCTAGTGTGAAATCACAGGTTAAATTGGCTTGATCATTTTGCATGGACATTCGATAGTTAATAATATAACGTAATATCAAAATATCAGTTCGTTCAAGGACTCAAGAGATTTTGCTTTAAATCAGAATGGAAAATTTAAATTACATTTTATTTCATTTCCTGAAACAATTTTCTTGTCCGTTTGGAATTCACCATGAAATACTGGATGATGATTATTTAAGGGAATATGATAAAAGGAAAAAGATAAAATCGGTATCGGGAAAGATATAGCAGCCTTGTAAAACAACGGAGTTGCTGTCCCTCACACCTTTTACGAAAGAGGACGTCATGACACGCTGTAAACCTAGTAACGTATGTACCAATGTGTCTTTCAGTATCCCGTTATATTGGAGTTCCAAATGCCAAAACTGATTCCACAAAATATTCGAATAGAAATTGGAGCAGTAAGAATTGCTCATATATACTAATTATGTACAAAATAATTCAAATTTACTGTTAATGTTCTGTAGAATGTAATTTTTGACATTTGAGGCTGCAGGTAAATACCATTGAAAAGCTGAAGGATACATCGGTACATTACTGGGTTTACAGCGTGCTATTACGAACTCCTTTGTTAAAGGTGTGAGGGACAGTAACCCCGATATTTCACGAGAGTTGTTCTATCTTTCCGTCTACTATACTAAGATGTTCTCGGACACGTGTCTGCCACACGTATCGATCCCGCAATTTGTCCGGAATGCTGTCTACCGTAGACGCCACCTTAAGTGCTTCTTACGTGGAACATCAAACGCAGAATATTCGAATTATAATCAATTTCCCTTCTACAGGTAGTTCCCTTCCTCCTGATATTATGTAGCACCTTTTAGACAAAATTATGCGTAATTGAAATACACTATGCACGAGTTTACTGACAATGAGTGCATCGCGTTTCTAAGACAATATTGGGAATCGGAAATTCAAGCGTGCTATGTTTACACAAGCGAATGGAGTGCAACTTTCCTATAGCAAGTAGCACATATTTTACTTCCATCTATCGAGTCCCGTTAATGAAATCAAGTACAATATACGATCAAGGATAGATGAATATTTATTGCTTGCCATAATATACAGAGTTTTTCACCAATAGTGCTAAAGTTAATTAAAAGATTATTTTTCATGACAAAACTAACTCGGACGTTTGCATGAAACGTTCTGGTAAAAGAAAATGGAATTTTATTTCATTTGTAAAGTTCACTATTTCTTTTGAATGAGGAATAATTTGCTGGTTAATTGTATCACAAATGCAGGAACACTCTGTATAAATCATAACAGGTTGATTACACTTTCAAATATTAATATGAATCAATTATGTAGGTAAGCAGGATGAAATTTGTGTAATTAAACTAATATGTTTCACACGATAACAAACACCTACTTTACACCGAATACGCATATAACATTAATTAGTTCTAAAATCTTCTGTTACTACAAATAACAATTACTTATAGTAGCACGCAACAGCATTTTGTTAATTAAGTAAATCTAAAAAACGTATCTTTAATAAAACATAAAATTATAGGTAACAATTTTCGAATTCTCAGATTTTAAAAATGTAACATTGGTACATATGTAACGTTTGTTTTCAAAAACAAGACAGATGTACTTCTTATGGTATGTCGTATAATTTTATCTGAATAATTTATCAATTACTTTTATATTTTGGTATCTCAAATAATTATCAAATTATGTCTAATTTGATACACGATAGTGAACAATGAGAAATAAAATGATACATATGTAGGTTTTCGGTCGGAGAGTTCATATTTAAAAAACAAAACGAGGTTTCATATGTAGTAACTTAATGCTTGAATTTTCAAATTTTTCAATCCGTGAACTGTGTATATCATCGTGAAGAAACGTCTGCGCGTTGCAATCTCTCCTTGACTTTCTCGTATTGTAATACCGGCGCAAACTTTTATGGACACGCGTAATTACTCGATCAGCATGTCCGCCGCGAGGGTGTCGAGATCCCGGGCGTGCGATAGCGCCTCGTCCACACGATACACGCCGTTCGAACGAGAAGAGCCCACTATGGATACGTGCTGGGGAATCGAGAAGAACGAGCATGTGGGTGAAGGCTGCGGCAGAGGGCTCTCCAGGATGTGTCGAAAGTGAAACCCAAGGCCCCTACGGACGGTTCGTGTAAGTGTAAGTGCTTACTTACTCGCGCACCGAGAAACGCCGCGGCGGGCGTTCGTCCTCGACGCGCTCGATCATCGTTTTAAATCGAGATCGATCTCCTCCTCCGGCTGAAAATGTGACCGTGAAGAGTGTCCGACTGGAAACACACCACCTTTCCATTGTGTAACGCCACCGCCGCTCCGCGCCGTCGTTCCTTCCTCTTGACTGTGTGTTGATTTTAAACGCGTGCTTTCTTGCTTCGATGAATCCCCTATTATTCTCTTGTTTTGCTCGTTTCGTTTTACTGACGTCGCTATTATGCCAAATGACGTGGATTTCTCAAGAACGAGATCTCGCGGTTCCTTTTGCCGATTTTCATTACGTTGAAATTGTTCAAGGATGAGTGCTATCCCTCGGTTTAACGTTGAAGAACGAGATTCGCGGGCTATCTCAGCCATAATCTATCATTGGTGGTCAAAGTACGTGGAAACTTTCCTTTCCCAATTTAATATCGTAATGCAGTCACGTATACATCTATTTCATCTCGCCATGTCTCGACCTTTGGTACTCTCTATCGTTTTTCATGTTTTCTTCAATGAGTTCACTAAAACTCTGATAGTTCCCAATCAAAAATCGCTTGGAGAATCCCAGTACGATTGGAAGTTAAATTGATTTGGTCGATTACGTAACGAGATTTTTCTTATTTCTTGTTCTTCTTGTTCATTGGTAGAAAACACGTTACGATCATGCAAACTGCAAGGGAGATAAAATTGTAATATTTTGGGAAAAAAGATTTCTGTTCGAGAAGATCGAAAGCTTACGTAGGACAAGACATGCCAATTGAATTATTGGTACGAAGCAGCCTTGGGCCAGTAAAATAGGGAAGAGTATGTTTCCAATCATTGATCCGATTCTCCCAATCGCCATTACTGTACTCACTGCAATTGTCCTAGATTCGAAAACGATTCAGAAATTTTTAACCACGATTTCGCAAACACCCTATGTATTGTGTTTTACCTTAGAGAAGTTGGAAATAAAATTACTGTTGCAGCAACGATGGTATTTAGAGTAGTATTTGATAATCCAACAAAGAAACTTGTCAGTATTAATGTGACCAATGTGCTGGTTGACCAGTACATACAAACTATGCACACGAATGCCATGCCGTAACAAATATCTGTTATAAAATAGCATTAAGGATATCATAAATCTCCTCATTATTAAAATGTTAATTATGAAAACTTACGTAATAAGACTTTATGGTTCAAGAAGTTTAGTGCATAACTAGCAAGGAGGAGAAGTGCACTTCCTGAAGCTGATACAATTAACGTCTTTGTATAAACAGATTCTTTCACGGTGATCTATAAAATACGAACAGTATGAAAAATGAAGATAAAACAGAAATGCGAGATATAGATAAATGGTCTCACATTCGTGCAAGTCACATTTTCCGATATAGTTGCGGAAATGTTTGTGACGGATGAGAGATCCAAGATTTCGCAAAACGTGGGCGCATACTTCGCTGTTAAATTGTAATTCGTGGGATCAAAGTTCTCCAGTATAGCGAAAAGTTGAGGTTGCCACAAACGAATTGTGTTCGTTCTGTAAAATAAGAATAAAAATTAATTATCAAATCAGTTATTGTATCTTTTGCCTCTTCTGAAGTTCCATAGTTCGTATTAGCGATTCACAAATTGTATCGAGAAAATTATGACGTCACGCAAGGCGTCGGTAAATGTGTAGTATTGACTTTTCTCGTTCTTACCTCGCATATTAACGCAATGTATTCATAGATAAGACAGATATTATCTGTAGATATATATAGCGACCCTAAGAAAGTAATAAATTTCGAATTTCCATTCCAACGGTTTTTTGATTGTGTTCCGTAGAGTTTCACGTAATATCATTATCTTAATGTGATGCCAGGACAAAAATACTCACATGTACATTGACCCAAATTGCATGAGAGTGACCAAAATAAGTTGAAGAAAATATGGGTAAAGGAAAATCGTTTTCTTATCCATTTTTCCATCCTGGTCGGAATCTGTCGATCCTTTCTTAAAAGCATCGTTTTCTAAGTGTTTTATCTTTGAAAGAACACATCTCGATTAATTTGATAGTCGAAATCTTGAGACATAGAAATCCAAAGAAGCTTTTCAAACTTCATACCGGATATTCTTCTGCAGGCTTTCCCGTATTGATTTTATAAATTATCTTAAAAACTTTCAACGCGTCGTCCATACGATCTTCCGACATAAGAAACTTCGGACTTTCCGGAAACATATACAAGCCGATAACACCAATAAATAGCGGTAAACTACAGATGGATAAAAAGATCCTCCAAGAATTGTAAACGAAAGCACCATCCCACAGAACGATAGACCAATTTTGGGGAATAATGATCCATGATAACACTAAAAAAGGTAGTGATGATAAACATTATCTTTACTTCAGTACTGTATTCGCACTATATCGCACCTGATGTCACAATATTTCCGAACGAAGTAGAAAAGCCTATGATTAATGGAATTTTTACTCTTCCTTTGACCCCATAAAATTCAGAAACATACGTCACCATAGAAGCATGTGGACCACTTATTCTACAAAAGAAAATTTGTTCCCAATTGTTCATTTCGAATTGACAATTAAAATATTATAAACTTACAGAAAACCACTGAGGAATTTGAAAAATGCAAGAGTCCAGAAATTCTGTGAGAATCCCGAGAGAACATTGCAAATGCCATCAGCTATATAGCCGTAAATAAAAACAGTCCTCCTACCCTTAACGTCAGCAATGTACCCCCATAAAAAACCACTAGATATCATTCCTAAAGGAATTAAATAATAAACTTTACAATTAAGCAAAAAACTATACTTCTATGTAAATAAGTAAGCACGACAGACCCATATATATGATGGCATTCAGAATGCCCTTTTGAGTAAACGTCATTTTTAAATCGCATTCAGCGGAAGGAAGAATAATGGCCACACTAGCAGTATCCATACTCGTTGCCCATGATACAGGAATAATCGCCAATAGGAGAAGATACTGAAATTTTCCATAACCAGCTGCCGCTATAGCCTTCTCAAAATTTGCCGCCTTCAAGTTTTGAGTTCTCTCGTTCGCTTAGCATATATTAAACAAAATACTTTGCCAAACATATACTTATACAAAAGGATGTATATTAAGATTGCTTGTATGAAAAACTCACTTGAATTTCTTTCAGTTTCTTCGATGCTTCTATCCGATAGTGTAATAACGCTAATTCTATTTTTTTGTGACATTTTTAAGTGATTCGCATGGGAAAACTCGAATCTTAACTAAATATTTGTCTGCTTAGGTCTACACGCGCATTCAACTATAGTATCACGTCGGAGATAGAAGAAGCAAGTGTAGCCGAAAACGTAATAATTAAACTGATGAAACTCAATTCGTTTTCATCGTAATGCCCCGCGCCATCAATTATACCCGCACTGTCTGTATTCTCCACAAACAATTTTATCTCTTATGCAAACTATCATCATTTATTATCAGCGCTGTCATCGCATCGAGCAGTCATATTTTAGATGAATTGGTCAATTGAATTGATAAATGCTATTCGTTTCGAAAAAGAATGTGTCAGTAGTATCTACTTATGTTAACTAATTAATCCATATTAATTATTTTAATAATATGTGTACTGTATTTGAGTGTAACTACGATAAGAGCGATGTAAGCGTGTAACTGAGATGCAGTACAGTATATTAATTGATAAATCCATATAATATGTATGTATACGTTCACAGTTATCTGTGTAAAACTATCTGACTCATGCAACTACGATATGGTCGATAAATGACCCGTTCTCATTTAGAAAATGTACCTTAAAAATTCAAATATCGAACCGTTCTTCGATAGTGATTAGATTAATCAAGTCAATATCAAACTCTTATTTCACATTTTCATCGCGTATTCGTTCAGGGTATATCATTTCATCGTGAACAGAAATTTTTTCTGTAACCTTGAACAATGATTTCGACAGACTCTCTTCGTCTCTCTTTATCCATATACTTTGCAAAATATGACGAAGATCAACCGCGTGATCTCGTAAATCATAGATCTCGTAAAACATATCGTAAGGCAGCAAAAACAGCGAACAGCGAGCATCAGATAAGTGTACGTACATATGTATGCGGAATGAAATCAGTAGAGGATCTTGATACCCACTAATTACAAATCTTGATCGAGACTCATGCGGTCAGAGAGTCAAATACTTTCGGAAATTAATTTCATCGAGCTGAGAGAAGCTTAAAACGAGAAAGACGCATTGTTAACAGTAATTAGCATTGCCATTGGTTAACATCATGATTAACGATCAACAAATTGTGGCTATTTCCCTTAACCCGCATGTTGCACGCTTCGCGTACTTTGACAACAGCTTTTGTTTCTTTGTCTTGTATTCCGATACAGGAAATATCATGTCCACCCTGACCTTACGATACCTATGACCGGATACTCGTTGAAAACGATCGAAGCTCCAGCGTAGATAACGTCCATTGTTTTCGCTGAAACCCGGACTTAAAGGGCCTTACCAGTGTAATCGCCTAAAATTTAGGTCATTTTTGAGAATTTTTTTTACAGTTATTACAGTTTTCATCCAATCAAGAATATCCTACGTCGTTCAACAATAAAGCATGTCTAGATCACATTGTGAAATTGCTTCTCAAATATAATTAATATCTTCCAATGTTAAAATACCACACAAATCAAACGCAAATCATATAGTTGGTATATTCCCAATTACTTTCAAAACGGTACCTAAGTCTTACCGGTATCTATTTAGTCAATAGCACTTAAAGTCAGACAAGTCTGCTTCGTTCGAATCCCATGCAATTATCGACGGATGTTATTGACTGAAAATCTGATAATCGACTAATGAAACTTTCGTATCGCCGTGATACGAACAACATTATGTGGATAGACTGTTCAGTAATTAGAACGCAGGTTTCTGTTTTCTACAAATATTTATTCAAATATAATCAATAGCTTATTATTTACGATCTCTACATCGAGTAGAACATATATTGGAACGAAATCGTCCGTTTGACTTCCGGTTGGCTCTGTCGGATGGATGTTCGATCGTCTTTGCGTCATATGGTACCGGAAGACGGTGGTAGATTGTCAGTCGCGAGCCGTCGTTGATTCTCCTTCATTCGGTTTACGCTATACTCTTGGCTAGCCTCCTTCGCCTGTCGATACTCCATTGAACGCATGTACTCTGACACCTTGACCGCGAAAGAGGAAAAAGAGTTACAAGGTCAGGCCATATTACGAAAACACGAAGTTCGTTTCACCGGAATAATTAGGTGAAGTTCTCTGTTTTTAAGAAGTTGGTGTTGCGTGGCTGGTGACCTGCTTCTTAGGCTGCTCTAAAAACATGATGGGACCCTCGATACATGTATCATAATTCTAAAGGAAACACTACGTTCGCGAGCTTTTCACTATACCAATTAAGGTCACCGTTGATTAGTCCATTTAAATATCGACGGCTGATCTCGTAACAGTGCATATGAGAATATTAGAACACGCTGCTTAATTCGAACAGGCAGAAATACGTTCGATCGGGGGCACAGGAAACGCTAAACCCCCTTTCCGTTTCTTTTCTTTTCCTTTCGCGCGTAACGTGGACGCGATACACGTGTACATACACACGTACACGAGTATTATCGCGTTGCTCTCTTCAATTCGCATACTCGCCATTTAGCCGCGGTTGGAAATGGTTTCTGTTATTCGACGGCGCGCGTTTGATTTCGATCTAATGTTTGCGATCTTTCCGGCATCGGAGTTAGCGGGATTCGTAGCGGTAAAGGACGATTAATATAAGCAGAAATCGCACCGCGCGTCGGAATAATCGATTTTTATTATGAGAAACTCGGCCATCAGGGATGAGGATGCGTGGGTTCGATCCACACAGAGATTAATATTGACCGGTGAACATTCTAATAATTGAAAATTAATCGATTTACCCCTGGAGCGAACTGCACTACATCGTATTTTATTATGGAACGTTTAAACAATTTCAGATTTTTGTTATTGTGAATTCAAAGATCGATTTACTGATTCATTTCACGAAGGAATCACATCTTCTGTTTTCTACTGCCAATTAAAATCGAAAGCGATGTTTGATATCGTGTAAACCAGATGAAATTCGATGTCATACGCGTGTCGTTACGCGCATCGTGAAATTGTTATTAATCGCTGCATCGCGGAAGCGATACAAAATAAATTGTAGTTTCAATATGCATGTACTGCATGATATAAACATCCGGTATTTGAACACGCATCAGCGGTGCAACTACATTCGGGCGCGATAGATTTTACGCAGGGACGGGTAGCAAGGTGCAGGTGAAAATGGCGCGGAACTCGAAAAAAAGGTTCCGTCGAACGGGATGATAATTAATTGTACATTGCCCGCCATAAATCTTGGCCGCCTGGCCGCGCATTAAGCGAAACCTTTTATGTGAAACACTTTACACGATCAATGTGCTCCCTAATGAGCGGACTCGACGCGATGAATTAATGACATCGGGCGTTAGCGAGTCATTCCGATGCCGTGGCTTGCCAACAATTAAATCGAACGATGATTCATAACTTATCTAAATCTGCGTGGCGCGGTGTATTAACGTGTTCCCTCTGTAACCTGGCATTTTTTTTTTTAAACTGCAGTGATTAATCGGCTTTATATAGGTACGATGATTGCATTACGGAAAATAAAGAAGGGTAATTTTGTATGATTTGTAATGGAACGAATAGTAACCTCTCTCTCATAGTTCATGTGACCCTTAAATATTCCAACTGAAATTATACCAATGATGGTCAATAGGATTGCTCTTTGTATTTGAATCTTGTCAAACCACTTAAATTTAACCATGATACAACTGGAATAGATAAAGATAAGTGAGATTTATTATATTATAATTTATTTGTACAGATGTTGTGAAGATCCTTACTTTTATAAACATCGCTACATATATTTAATACTGAACGTAGTGTGCGGTTATCAAGGTAAAAATTAATTGCACGACGACTTAGAATTTATATTATCATCGCATCGTTGAATGCAGATCGCAATCGACTTCGTGATCAACGCTGACTACAATGCTGTATTCACTCTTATAAATTTAGAAGCATGAGTATACGGATGCATTGTATGTGTAATATGCATTTTTAAGTTAAACGTTTGTTGAATACTCCTCGGAAAATATAAAGTGTAAAAGGAAACACTTGAAGGTAATAAGAAAATGACATAAGATTGATGTATTAATTTTAATCCTACATGCTTGAAAATTTGATCGCAACCTATATACAGTGCTGTTCAACACTCGTGTTCATTGATAAACCCGAGCCATAGAAACGTCGGTTACATAACACTACGTTTCGTCATTGGCTTTCTATATATATATATATATGTATATTTGTTTTTATTCCATTCATGAGATAATCTCTATTTCAAGCCAGATACGGCTATCGAGTCATATTCATGTTCTTCCGGTAAGAATGACTTTTCAAACCACTGGATATCGACCGCGGGAAAATCATTCCATACAAAAAACTGACTTCAAACTTAACGTCCTTGATAATTACTTCTACATACTTTAGTCGTACTAGTCTTTTCGAACTGCCTAATTACGAACATTTAAATGTAGGAAGGAATGTGTGCGCGATAACGAAAATGAGCGCGACTACTTTGGTGGCGCCACTAAAGGCGCCTAATTCCAGAGTGTCATCGCCAGGTGGCGAATAAGTCAGAGCAAGATGGCGTCCGGTCAATAGACGAATAGCAGGGAGGCCGAAGGCGCTCTCGAGGTTCGTGGGTGTTCTCAGCCCGGAGCTGGAGAGGCTTTGAGGCCGCGTGTATCATTGACGTTTTTTTTCCTCTCTCCACCGTGGTGAAACGGTTAAACACGCGAACGTGTGAACGAAGGAGATAATGTTCCGTAAGGGAGTACGCGTTACGTGCGCGTCGGCCTGAACGCGGCGTGTTTCTCGAGCTTAAAAGATGCTGCCGTGCAAAGCGACGAAAGAGGAGGCGCCTTCGCGAAACTGTCAGGAAGATCGTCTTCGTCGTACGTGAGTCAGTGCGCGCTCGGTGGATCGAAAGAAGGCACGTACGTACAAAATGGCTTCGGGCGACAATGTGGATGTGATCGAGGTGGTCGAAACGAGCTTCACCAGCCCATCACAAGCAACGGAAGATCATCTCAAACCGGAACAGTCCGCGGACGAGGACAGTGAGTAGTACCCCTTATCCTCACGTTTCGAATGTTTTTTTATTTCGTACCAAATGTCACGGACCTAACCTACTGAGACAACGCGATCCTGATGCCTGTGTGCGTAACATCGTGCCTCGCGGTCATAGTTTAGGATTCGCACCGTCCAGACGTCGTGACAGAGACAGGCATGATCGATCGATTCTGGCCGATCGGATTTTCGTTTTGCTCTCGCATGCCCGCGTTATGCACCGTTCTCCGTTAAGTCGACAACTAGACAGACCAGCGTATATGTACACTCTTTCAGGGCTAGGCTGCTCGTAATCTAATTCACTATTTGACAGCTGATGGGTGTCACCCGTCGCGTCGCGCCGTTCGTCTCATAGCGGCATCCTCATAGAACACGTACGAGGAACTCTTTTCTTTCGACTATTTCTCCTTCGTTTCATTCATCAATTTATGAATTAATAGGTCATAAGTAGTTGACACGTATGACACGTACGAAACGTACTTTTTATTTCTTCTTCCACGACATTTCTTTTTTATCGTATTAAACAATGAGACGAGGTCCTCCAAAAATAACATCGTTACGAATGTGAATGAACCTCGCCGAATCTTCGGAGTCGAGTCGAATGTCTGTGCGAAACAAAGCAGGAACAGGAATGAAAGGAAGCCTCGGATGAGGGCTGAAATTCCGTAATAGCTAACGGTATCGAGAGTTACGTGCGTCAATAGTGAATTCATATTGCAATCAGCCTGTGCACGACTTTCGTTTTTGAACTCGGTTAACGTTCCACTTTCTCACTTCTTTCCCGAAGTGCATTCGATTGACTTGACAGATCGTCCTACGAGCGCGCGATTCTTTTATCACGCACGTAAGTATGCGAGTACGGGACTTTCTTTGACGCCGACGTAACGTATATGGCTGTATTGAGACTCGATTGTTACGTGACCTTATTTCCTGTAACAAATACCTTGTTTTCGATATGTTACAGATAAATCCACAGGGGATAAGGTGACAGCGTTTGACGTAAGTAAAAAGTATATACAATTTATATGCTTATATATGTCCGCCCTCGTTATATGCGATAACACACGAGAAGAGTCGATTCTTCTTTTATGCTGTTGCTCATTGTATGTAGATGTATCGACACTTGCACGCTCTGACTCAGTACGCGTTGAACGAAAGAAAAAGATAACAAATAAACAGTGGTACGTAGGCAACATTATCAAAATTCTCGAGGCTACTCCCGACGTATCGTTCCTCCATTCCAATGCTGTATTTACTTACGAACTTGAGAAAATATTATTGGAATATTGCGTGCGTTCAAAGTTATGTACACCTGCGCTTTCGATATTTATGTAATGCACGTTGCATTTAACATATTCACTGTCACCAAAAAAGTAGTATCTTGCGCATACTTATGCATAGTGTCGTATAACTTATATGTACATGTATGTATAAGTACGTGATGCTTATACCGTATCAATAATGACTTCGGCAGAGAATATGTCAAACGCTCGCACGTGCACTTCATTTTAAAACAAAAAGAAGAATCACATCATAGGAGCGACATTACCACACGCGAAACGATACTTCACGGAGGTGAACGTTATGTAAGAAAAATCCGCGCTATCTTCTCGTTGGGTATACATTTTCACACGTTTACTCCGGACGAAACCATCGCTGCACTCAATACGTCAATCGTATCGCATCTCCTGACGCGTTTGATTGATCGAAGATTGACTTCTTGTTCGATTCCTTTATAATACAGAATGAATAATACAAGAATGAAACCATTAAATATTTTCTGTTTTAGTCATCGGATAAAAAAAATAAGTTATGTAATCTTTCGTAGTACATGGTTTAAAATATAAAATTTATTGCTATGTAATATATTCGATGACTTATAATAGTTTCGCGGATAAACTCTGTAAGGGGTTGTCCATTACTCATTCAGTTCTTATTTAAAGATGCTGATTAACAACATGATTCTATTTTCGCACCGACTAGTGTTAATTGGTCTATCATCAATATATGTTCCAACGAAGCTCGAAATCACGCGATCGTGTTTATCGCGAATGAACATTTGTACTGGCTTAAATTAAAGATTTTCTGGGAAAAACGCGCGTGCACGTTCCGACAATTGACGCACCGATTCGAAATGGCTATGAATGCGAGCGACAACGCGCTACCATTCCTCAAAGGGAGATGTATTCGTATCGAGTTTCTACAAACACGAATAGTTGTGTAATTATTCATTCATATGACGCATGTTGCTTCTTCGGTATTTCGCGTCTTTACAAACAATAAACATGTTATCGAAACACAATTCTGAGCCAGAGTTAGGTGAAATTTGAAGTATAGTTCCGCAGGCAACGCACGCGAAATTTCACTTGGTAAATTGATACGCTGATATGCTTCGCGACGATACTCAAGAGACTGCAATAGTTCGATACATTATTTACAGATCTCGGTGAATCAACATGGTACCGCTGGACTCAAAACCCCTGTGGGGGTGTCGAGGAACAAATCGGAGCGAGAGAGAAAGATCGGCCACAGACGAGTTGGAGTGGGAGGTGAAATCACGTACAAAAAGGTGTGTTACACAGAGAAATTCTATAACATTTTACTGTTATGTAGAATCTCAATAATGAGCATCGGAACCATCTAAACTATATAATTGTTATAACATAGCCAAATGAAATAAATTATCATCGCCGTGCTATGACTTGTTCAGATCCAAACGACACAAATCATGGGATCGATCCAGTTAGGCATTCAACACGCGGTGGGCGGTTTGGCTAGTAAACCAGAACGTGATTTACTGATGCAAGACTTTATGACAGTGGAGACGACGAATTTCCCGAGCGAGGGATCCAATCACACACCGGCCCATCATTTTTCCGAGTTTAAGTTCAAGAATTACGCACCCATTGCATTTCGTTACTTTCGGGATCTCTTTGGTATTCAACCGGACGACTTCTTAGTAAGTAAAGACGGTTCCAAGCGCGATCGCGTTTTCTTCCTTCTCTTCTTTTTGAACCCCGGAAGAGTTACGACGGAGCACGACGATCTCAAATTCCTTACATTTCTCCCCGGCCCGCCGCGTTTTTTCGCTTGCTAATCACCGTCCATCTAACGACACTCCACTTGGATATTCAGATGTCGATGTGTAGCGCTCCATTACGCGAATTATCGAACCCCGGAGCTAGTGGAAGTATCTTTTATCTAACAGATGATGACGAGTTCATCATAAAGACTGTACAACACAAAGAAGGAGAGTTCTTGCAGACGCTTCTTCCAGGATATTATATGGTACGACTGATGCCTTTTTAAGTACATCATAGATTTATGTTAGTCGGATCGGAAAGTATAATTTTTTCGAATAATTTTTTTTTACAGAATTTAAATCAGAATCCAAGAACGTTATTGCCAAAATTTTTTGGGTTGTATTGTTACCGATGTAATAGTAAAAATGTTAGATTAGTGGCTATGAATAATCTTCTGCCCTCATCGGTAAAGTTGCACCAAAAGTACGACTTAAAAGGATCGACATACAAAAGGAAGGTATGGAATCTTGTGATATTTATTGTGATACCTTCAGGAAAATATCTTTGTTTTATGAATACAAGAGCTGTACTTTCTGCATTCTTAGGCATCGAAATCGGAAAGATCCAAGTCGTCTCCAACATACAAAGATTTAGATTTCATGGAGCATCACCCGGAAGGCATTTTTCTCGAGGCGGATACATACAGTGCACTGGTTAAAACTATTCAGAGAGATTGTCGGGTGTTGGAAAGCTTTAAAATTATGGATTACTCTTTACTCGTTGGTATTCACAACCTCGATCAGGCTGCGAGAGAAAAGGCGGTAAGTGTCAGTATAGTAGAAATAAAAGCATGTCATACTTCAATAAACAAAGAAATATAAACAAATAATTCTGTATCATAGCAGGAACAAAGATTATCAGCAAGCGCGGAGGAGGAAGTCGGGGAATTCGGAGGTGAGAGTGCAGGATTTGTTCAAGCGGAAAGGGGACGGGAACGGGAGGACAGAATAGGCGCGAGTGCTTTGAACCGGTCGCGGAGCATAAACCGACAAAGGTTGGTCGCGCACAGTACCGCTATGGAGAGTATTCAGGCTGAAAGCGAGCCAATAGACGAGGAGGATGACGTACCGTGAGTATTGTATTTTCGTTGCATCATGAACCACGAATGTATGCAAAAAAGGCGGTCTTAATAACATGATTTTTAATCGTGTTTCGTGTTCCCAGCAGTCCAGGTGGCATTCCAGCACGCAACGCTCGTGGCGAACGCTTGTTACTCTTCCTTGGTGTTATTGACATTTTGCAAAGTTACAGACTCAAGAAGAAGCTCGAGCATACGTGGAAGTCGATGATACACGACGGTGTAAGTTCTATTAATGTCGTATTAGTCTTCATTATATATTTTTGTCTGTCGTATTGTACTAGATTGTATTTTTCGAAAGATGCGATTGTTATTATATGTATATCATATTGTGCTGTGAAGCAATCATTTTTAAAAGACATGATTACTATTGTTTGTTTACAGGACACCGTGTCCGTACATCGACCAGGGTTTTACGCGCAACGTTTTCAAGACTTCATGGCGAAGACAGTATTCAAGAAGATACCATCACGTAAGTACCACCCTAATCAGCCTCTTCTAACAAACTTGACATCAATGTTAGCACTGAACAAGGCTCATTCCTAATTTGTAAGCGATTTTTTAATCCGTTACTTATCGTTTATAATTTTTGGGTTGTTTAAAAGTATATCGACTGACATTTCGTCTAGTGTCATGCCAAAACGACTTGGCTATATCTCAGTTATGAAGTATTAAAAGTACAAGAAAAAACTTCTAGGCTCTAAGTAGAGTAGATGTTATAACGACAAGTATTTTTATTGCCAGCTGATCGTGATTAATCATATATTTCTGTTTATAGTAATAGCAAGTAATTACTGTGATTCAACAATATTACATATATATACATATATATGATGTAATGTTAACGCATAGTATCTTTTACAAAAGAGAAAAACGAAAAAAGTGAGAGAATCTTTAAGACACATTTTAATCGTATGGATAGGAAAATGGGGTAGACGAGAGTTTGAAAAAATTGCAAATGATAAACCGCTCAAAAAAAGAAAAAAGCATACGGTACTTACATAATAAACGTGCATCTGCCATTTAAGATTAAGTAGCGACGTAATGATCAACTTGTTTAAGGTTCCAGATTGTATAGTGCCGTAAGCTACGAGCTAGAATTACATACATATATATTTTTTAGCTTTCTTACCATATAACCGTTATCACCGAAGCGTCCCGCGGCTCATTTATTCGATTCAATGGTACATTATTTTATTTATTCGCGAAGCATGTCAGATTTAATTATCACATCACATTATCAGCAGGTCATTGGATTTTGTGAACCTCGAATTCCATTGATTCCATTCGCATTTATATTATTACTCTTTTTCACGAGTTTTATTTTCTATTTCTATTTCCAATGTTGGAAAGAATATTCGAAGCAAGAATGAATAAATATCAGTTGCTTTTTTATCATACCATTTATCACTGACAAATTTAGCCGTCCAGAAATATTCTAATACTCGTAATAGTGACTTAAAGTAATTAAGTGACTGCAGAGAATGCGATAAATGCTGTGCGGATATCCGAAAACTATGCACGCACTGATTGTGCATCATATCGAGTGCTTAGGAGATACACGTTCCTAGAAAAACTAAATTTCATTTGGAATTCTGGTTTTATCTACTCGCGCAATATGTATAATGATATTTATTGAATCTGTTTGGCAATCCCGTCGACGATTTTTCGGATACCTGCATTTCCTTAATAATCAACACTATCGATCGAATCAATCCTGGGTTTCTTGCGTCTCACAATCAGTTAATCACCTTTGGGATTTTGTATTGTAGTGTAACTAATTGCTAACACTGTACACATTTTTTTAATGTTATTTTACCATTCATCACTTTTACCATTTGTTTTCATTTTGTTGTTTTCCATATTCGATCTCATGGTTCTATTTGCATTTTGTTTCGAATTTTTTTTTATCTTGAGATGTTTAGTCAAAAATTGAACAGAAGCACAAAAAGTAACCAGTCCACTGGTGTCCACATACATAGCTGAGTATTTTATTGCCAGTGATCTCGTTAATATATCAAGCACGAGTTTGCTAAGTAACGCACGAAATGTTATATCGTAAGCATCTCGAGAAGCACGAAGTAGCTATACATTAAAATCGTGTATAAAGGAAAACGGGTCAATAATATGACGTAAGGTTTCTATGAGAGACGCATTATATTGTAAATGTTCCGTAACGTTTCGCTGATGGAAACGTAGCCGTCCCACGTGCACACAGAATTTTGTGATTTTCAATCAATTTCTCCATCGTCAAAGTTCCTTTGATCGTTTGATGCCGAGTATGAAAGTGCCAAAGTTTTTTGTGAAACCGTTTGCTCGTGTTCCTGGTACCTAGGGTACGGTGCATTAACTGGCTCGCGATCACAGAGGATTTTACTTTAACGAACACGCGAAAGAGCAATCATTGACGATCAGCTGAAACTTGTTATCGAAACAATGTCATAGATCGCGCAGAATCTTATTTTAACAAATTCAATCGGGCTCAATTCTCGTAATACAAGCTGTGATATTTACCAATGGCGTACAGTTCCAAAATAAGTGGTCAGCAATTTTTATACACTCATACTGAAACTGTTTTTGAAAGCCTGTTGGAAAATCATGAATGATTTTGTGCGATTTATAGCGAGTGTAGAAAAATCTTCACGACGTGTACAGTCTAATATATTTTGGCAAAGCTAGTTAGTACGGCATGGATGTGTAAGAGAGGGTATACGAGAGAGAACGAGAGATAGTGTGAGGGAGAGATAGAAGGAAATGGTAGAAGTAGATACACATTCTTCTTTATTGTGAAAATATTCAGCTATCGGTTCGACGTGGACACCAATGTACATATTTATATATTTTGCAATAAACATTTTCGCTGTTTACAACTTCATTTCATTTATAAAGCCTACCCGTTACACATTACATTTTTTGTTTCATTTTCTTTGACCACCATTCATATCTTCCCACTGATACATATGTACTTCATTACTAATTAAAATATTCCTGCCATCACTAATCACTATCACAACTACTATAACTGCTACTGCTACATATATCACATTCGAAATATTATTCTCATCTATTGTCATTCCCCAAGTTTCCCTTACGTAGCCACGAGCTCATCAAGTTTCGTTTTCTGCACCATATCGTCGCGTTACACTTTATGTACTGTCTTAAATAGCGTATCATGCGATGTGTTTGTCGTTTGTGTTATAACGTATGTTTGTTTGGGTTTTAATCACCAACCTGTTCGTGTTACCTGTACTTTGCCATGCGATTATCAAAGTACTTAATGAATCCCGGAATTGATCAAAGACTAAAGATCGACGGAACGATTTTTTATCAGTCCATCCATTATCCCTTTTTTTTACACGCCCTAAAAACTCTTCTGTCCTTCGTTTTTCAATACATTCGTCGTTGAAACGAAGCGATCACTCATTTGATTAAGTTATGTTACCTTTCGCGTTTTCATTCAGACAACATTTTTTTATGTTGGAATCTGGGTTATTCGAATGACTGTAAAGAATCGTTATCTCCAAATTAGTGGCGTTATACTTTTTAAAAATCACCTCAGTCAGCTATTATAAATAAATTAAGAGTTAATCAAGATCAAAAAAATTACGTCTAATCTGATTATTAATGTAAGTATTTGGGCTTATAATAAAACTAGTATAATTCTTGAGGAAACGTGTTAGCGAGACTAATGAGATACCTTGTAAAATAAAGAACAAAACATACTTCTCGAGTTTTTACGATTCAGATCCAGGTCGGCATTCCGCGATGAAAATTATACGAGATCAAAGATACGAATAATCGAGGTTCCATTTTAAATAATGCGATTTCTCTAAAACCGATCGTTGAAAGGTAAAGCTGCTCCTACCAGGATAATATACATATAACAAAGGGTACACCATACCTTATTTGATCATTTATGCGATCATGAATGATACGTATTTTATTTTTTGACCGTCGCTTTTCTCTTTCTCTCTGTCTCTTATCTTCTATCTTGAGGCAAGAACGTACCCCCGCTTTCCTTTGTGTTGCTAATCTTTTTTTTATTCTCGGCAGTCCCTATGATCTATCGATCGTTTAATAATCCGGTATATATAAAAGAGTTAGCTAAATGTTGATGTTTTTGTGTCCCGTGCACTTCTTTCCGTGTCGACCCCCAATGAACCTGATCTGACCTGCTACCGATCGAAACTCGAAAATCGAATACCAAAAGTGGACCTGCCTGAGATTAAGGGGAATCATCGCAAATTCCGTAACCTCGTCACCAGCTACATAGGTAACTTTGTCTGTCTGTTCGTCCATCTATCTGTCCATTTTGTATGGTTGTACGTATGTTCGTCTTTTATTTTTTCTCGTGTTTCTATTTCCTCCTAAATTTATTTTCGTTCTCTTTAAGAAAATGAAGAAAGAACGTTGACATCGTTTTATCTGCTTGTATGCGTAAACATACTTTATAAAACCGATTTGATTTTTTGCGACGAGTCATTTGTTTTAATCACTGTGTTGCTGTATTCTCTTTATGCATTTCTTTTTTTCTGTTTCTCGTTTTACTTTTTTTTTCCTCTGACCTTTCTACTAATCATGAACTTCTTTCAATGTGCATCAACTAATTAGCTTTTCTGTTTTTTGGCAAATACAGTCTTTGCTCAAAGTGAGTTTTTCTCCATCGAATTCAAGTAGCCAAAGATTACGTAGAGTTTGTTGAGTGAACTGTCTTTTCTATCGTATAGCATGGAATCCCTTTTATACCAATTGTAATTGTAGATGTAAAATATGTATGTTATATGCACATACACTTGTAAGTACCAAGAAGAAGAAGAATGCTTCTTTGCGATGATATATTTTTTTATTCTGACAACTTCTAATCCGAATGCAATAGGAATTGAATGAGACTGTGTGTAAGTGTATGTAACTGTTATTTTCTCCCTTAAGTATTGTACATAAAATCTTTTCACACGTGTTGTTTGAAGTTGATTTTCACCTTTTGTATATCTTTTATCTCTCCAGTATTCTGCCAACAGAATCTCACTTTTTCTTTTAAAAGAAACGTCCCCTAATTTAAAAATTTGTACCTGAGGGTCACATCTTGCAACGCTTGTTTAATTATCTTTCTCACCTAACTCCAGCCTAACTTTCCACTGTGCGTATGCAATAATATAAGTCTGAACACACGTACGAATGGTTGGTTATGCAAATGTAATTTTAGATGTTTGCATTCCCCAGTTTTCACATACGTATTGTATGTTCCAAGTGTACTCTGAATATTTTTACCCCGACATAATAATACGTATGAATCGTAAATCTGATCGCAGTATATTTTCCTACGTCGAATTTGCAATCTCGCAAAATAGCAGCAGAAAAAAATATCGGAGTACAAGATCGTATAAAGAAGAGATCAGGTCTTACCGATTTTCTCTCATGCTTCTGTGATGCGCATCGTGAATTCTGTATGCCTGGTTCGAAACTTCTCTCTCTTGGTCCTACTATCACTTTCTCGCACTTGTCTTTTTCTCTACTTTTTTTCAAAGTACAATACCTACGTTCACAATTTTTCAAGTACACCAAGTAATTACCCAACTCTTGATCGATGACCCTATTTTTTCCCTGCGCGAAACTAGGTCAACCTCCTCTTGAAAGACGTACCTGAAGAAACCAATACCCGATCCCGCTCAATCGTGTCCGAATTTTTAATATTGCACCACCGATCTAGATTACGATTTTTGCTAGAAATATTTTTGCCTAATGATTGCGCACACGTATTCGCACATATGCCCCGTTGACTCTGACTTGAGCCCAGCAATGAAGCACAATTTTTATTACCCTATAATGCCCTAATGTGTGAAAGGTAGGGAAACAGAGTTAATCGCGTCTCTACAAATTTTATTTTTAATTAAATACGAAAGAAAATGAAATCAACTAGAAGGAAATTCATTTAATGATGTTTATAATTAGAATATGGAGTCTATGCATTTAGAAATTGAATAATATGCATTTACCGATTATTTTTGAAGGGTAAGAGAGATCTAAATTTAGATTTCATTTTACACAAAAATCTGAAGCTTACTCACATAATAGAAGCGATTGTAATTGCGTGTGTTAACTCTGCTGTTTATTTTCCCTCCCACATTAGGATAACTTTTCACAGATCCGTAGCATTATCGAGGCTCGTGCTAGATAACCATGCGTTATCCGGATTCTAATCAGACCTGAACTCACACCATACTGCGATATACAGTCTGATGAAAAACCTATACTTGCAGTAGCCGTGTTCTCGCGTATTCCAGCAATTGCATAGAAATGATTGCGAACGAATGTCTGTTCGTCTGAGCAGATCACTATAGGGTGTCCATATGTACAGAGACATGTTCAAACAAGAGAATACATAGCGTGTATCAACAAGCGTCGCAGATGATGGTAATTCTGTGGAATTTAATGAGAAATCATCTCTCTCGCGTGCTTGATACAATTGCGCGAGAGAACAATAGAAAGCTTTCGGTGTTGTGTCAGCTTCACCTGTACCTATTTAACGATTATACATTAAACGTCGAGAAAATTGGATGGTCACGAGGTGATCGCAGTAGTAGTAATCTTGCAATCCCTGCCCGGTAACGTAGAGAAATCAAAGAAGCGTAGCTCCAAACGATGGAGAAGAAATTATTAGATATAGTCGTAGCAGACAGTGCTGTAGCGAGGATACATACAATTAGAAGTTTGGTAAAAAGAAAATAATTCCCCTAATTAGATGATAAAATGTGATATGACAAGTTAAAGTTTTAAGGGATCTTACCAGTGTGAAACTGCTGCTGCATTACTAAAAATTAAACATATCGCATTTTGTCAGTTTATCGTATATCGTAAGTCGTTTGTTAAATTAGTGACGAGATAATAAGAGTTTTTACATGAACCCGTCCAAGGCTTATTAATTACGGTATAGTATCGCAGTAAGTTACAAAAATAGGAAGTGCCGTAACGCAAATGACGTGCGTAATGCGTTTCGCAATGTGGAGACGAACGAAGCTCAACAAGGAACTTTTTTCTAAACAAGTGCAAGACGCTTTACGCATATACTAACACTTGCTATGGTACTGACGTCAGCTTTTGTAGCGTTAACTCGTTTGACATCCCTATTACGATACTACATAGGCACTGAAACTTTTCCAATTAATTGTTCCAATTTTTCCACGAGCATTATCGATGTCTCAATCCCCTATAACGTCGATAATATCAAACGCGGTGACTCTAACAATTGGTTGATTTATGTTTCAGCGTTGAAACATTCCCCGTCGAAGAGAAAAAGCATCACGAGACCGCTGAGGCCACTGGACGGTGACTTCGATTCAACCGGTGAGTCCTTTCAATCGATTATATTTCTCAATTATTTACTATTTCCCTTGTTATTATATTCCGTTTCGTACGCTTCACATGGTCTGATGGCCAGATATTTATCGATTTTCGAGACCAGTTCAAAGAGCCATGTTTTGCGTATCACGTCCCCCGACTCGAGCAAGTTTAGAAAAATAATATCGGTGAATTATGAATATCGACGAATCTAGCCTGGTCCGAAAATCGTGCGGATGATACGAACGAACATTTTTTTCCACGATCTTATGATTGGCTTTGCGCTGAATTTCACGTGTGTAGCCAGGCACAGCGATCAGTACAATAAACTTAGATCCAGCATACCCACGATCCCCCTGTCCAAAACGTTCACGACGATCCCCACCCGTGACGGTGCCAAGAAATTCCATTGAGCCGTCCTTCCCGAAGATATCCTATCGCTTTTACGAGGATTGCTCGCGCGTGCTTTCACGTGCCAATCAAGTACGCCTATCTGTGTTCCGTGTTGGTAGGTAATCCATTATCTGACAATCTCATTAAGCTTGATCTCGTACGAATAAAACCGGGAGATCGTATAATTTCAATTGAGGCAGTTTATTTTTAAATTGTTTTTATACTATCTCAGGCAATCGAATTAACAACAAAACTGTTGGGAATCGTTCGCTATTTCAAATAACCCTTGAATCGTGTGACAATAACACGCGAGTCTGAAACAATATTCCTGGTTTTACGAGTCGACAGACAAAAAAAGAAAGGGGCCGTTGAAGTACAATTCAATTGTACCTGAGGTTAATTGCGTATCGGCAATCAATTATGGTTTTATTCATTTGCCAATCGCCCACATATCCATTCGAAAGCCGTTCAACTCCGTGAACACATACAAAGAACGTATATATATATATACGTACAAATACAGCTTTCTATCATGAATGTCAGTCGAATGCGTGCATTCCGACTATCGAGATCCCTCTCTGTTTGCCTCGAACGTCCCTTGCTCGAATCCCTGTTTTATTTCGGGACACCTTTCGATCCGATGGACAGAGAGACTTTGAAATCGCGGAACGACAATCGCCATGGTCGATCAATACCGTTTACGCGGACAATGAGAATAATGAGAGGTGTATATCGAGAGAGAAAAATGCGGAAGTTTCTCTGTCCTATCAAGAGACGTACACACGGTGATACGGTAATGGTACATGGTGTTGTATGGTGGTTTAGCGGTGCCGACAACCGGAACTTCAACAATGCATGCTACGTCACCCACAAAGGCTGGTGAGTCTCATACGATCACTTATTTTCCTAATGTCCGTTAATTATCTTTCTGTCTTTACGCGGTCGTCCCTTATCTGTCAATGAAGGTTTCACGACTCTTTGTCCCGTTTAGAAGAGAGCAGAAAATCAGATCCATAACGATAGGAATATGTATATATAAATGTGATGGAATTTTAGAAAAGTATTTGAAATCAGTATCACTGATAAGTCGGTCTTGAATCATAGCCTCACACGTTGTTTTACCTTCCGTTGTATGTATTAATATTTCTCTCTGAAATGCGACGTTGCTTCGATGTATCAAATGATGCATTCTGCGATTTCACAAAAACATATTCTATTATCGAATTACGTAAATGAATCACCAAGGCGGTGAAACTCGCGCGATTCGTAAAAGGTTCGAGGTTCTCGAAGCAATGTCGCGCGGCTCGAATCGTCACGCGATCTCCCTCATCAGCATCTCTGTTTCTCTTTTTCTATCTCTGCCCCGACCACTCTGTCTCTCCATCTTTTTCTGTCTTTTAACCCCGACTTCACCGCCACGTTTTCGCTGCACACGCAATCCCCGGTTTTCGTTCAACCCGTCGACGATCGAACGACTCCAACGACGACCCTCGGGCACCACCAACAAAAAAACAGTGCCATCAACGACAGACGTCGCGATCAGCACGACCAGCACGATAATGTCGACCGGTTCGGCGCCAATCGCGACTTCCACACCGGTGAACTTCGCCTCGGGCCCGGTGAGCCCGCCGCCGTTGACTTTGTCCGCGGGTCCGAGCTCGCCTCATCAAGAAACACCAGCACCGGTAACGACCTCGGGGGCTAAAATCGCGAGCTATCCAGCCGTTTTAAAAGGCAGGACCGCAGCCAGTCCGCCGAATCCGAATCTGGTACCCTCTGGGAAGATTCCACCCCCTGTTCCGCCGAGAGGCGGACAACCGAAGACCGCGAGGTCCTCGGAGGAGCATCGTGGTCCCGGGACGGTCACCTCGACGTCCTCGATGTCATCCAGCCGAGGTGACGAAGCAGCAATAATCACGAGATATCGCTTGCATGAAAGTTCAAAGAGCATCCCGCACCAACTCCCCGCACCTGATTACATTTCTACATCTACTACAACTGCTGCGCCCGCCGACACCATTATTAACTACACCACGCGTACTTCATCTTCTCTTTTAACATCGTCTGGTACCATTACTACTACTACTACTACTACTACTCTCACCACGATTACTGCTAACAACATCATCACTACTGCAAACTCTTACTCTAACAATGCCACATCCACCGCTGTAAGCACCAGTGAGTTGCATGCCCGTACATCGACACCCGTGTATCTACCGCCGCGATACGATAGTCTGGCTCTTCGCGATCGATCCGAAGACGTGGCTAGGGCGCTTATGCCTGTCCGCGAGGAACGGACGCGACGACAGTGGGACGAATGGCAGATTGACGATATGTACGACGAAGAAGAATTTGTAAGCGTGGAACAAAACGAAGATGGTTCATACGTGATTAAAACCAGTCCCTATCCGTTTAGACCGGAGAGAGGAAACTTCGCCCGTGCGAGGGAGAGAAGTACCAATCGGGAAGTTGTTCCGACTAGAGACGAGCAGAAAGTAAGCTCGAGAGCCGAGATCATGGCCAAGTTCACGTACTTCTTGAACCCCGCGTCTAGACCGGAACTAATGAACTACAAGATGTCGCGGAAGGACAAGAAGCACTCGGAAACTTATTATGAACGTATGAAGAGAAAGCAGAAGGAGCTGGAGGCCTCGATCACGACTATCACGTTGGCTCAGCGTTCGACTACAGACGATAGGGAGCGGATCGAGAGTTCGAAAGCGAACAAGTCGATGACAACGATAAGTAGGCAAGAAAGGGTTGTCGAGAAAAAGATCGACGTTCAGAAACTTATGGAACGTAGAAAGGATAGTAAAATTTTACGAAAGATCAGAGAGAAGTCTGATCGAAGAAAGAAGAAGCTCGCTCCTGAGTCATCGCTGAAAGTTCGACCCTTCGCTGGTCCAACGAAGATGGATGATGTTACGAACGTTCAAAAGAAAAAGATCGAAATCCAGAAGATCCCGTCTTTGGAGCCTAACTACGAGGATAAGAATACTGAGCGTTTGACGAAATCTACTAGCGATGTAACAATGCTGGAAAAGAAGGAAAACCGAATTGTTCTTAAGGGCGAGAAAAGAACCTTTCTAGTAACGAAGGTTGATGAAGAAGTTCCGATAAAATTTAGAAGCATTGAAGTTGTTTATTCTTCGAGATTTGATGTCAAGAACAATATAGACGGCAACAGAGCCAAGAAGAAATCAACAGCATCTGAAAAAATTGATATAAATCGAATGAACGGTGAAACATCAAATTCTCAATCTAAGAAGCAATTAACAAAAACTAGAAATGTGAAGTCTAACGTTTTAAAGTCCTTGCCTGATAAATTGAAAGACGAATTTCTAGAACGACCTTCTAATACTGTAATACCGAATGCTTCGTTCCTACACGACCGCGAAAGATCTAAATCAAAGAAATTGTAATGATGAAAAGCAAATGCCTCATTTCTCTAATATTACGGGATGAAAAACCATTTAGAAAATATACAAGATCTCCATTGAAGAATTTGAAGATGGTCCAATTGAAAACTTTCAAAACACCTAACTAACATATTTCGAACTAATTTTTTTTTCCTGCATGCGCAAATACACTGTTACTTTTGTTTCTCCATCTACCATCACTCGATCTTTCACGCGTGTCAATTTGTAAAAATACATAATATATGTTATTTAACCAGAATATCTGTTCTTAAAAAGATCCAAAGATTTTGAGAACAAAGAAGTTGATAGCTCAACGTATACGTATCTTTTCTACCAATAGATGATGTACTCACGTTACAGTTTAATTGTTATACTTGTAAGCTCTATGCCGTTTCAATGTCGATTTTATGGCATCGACGAGGTATCACCCGATTATTATCGAGACAAGCAAGGGTTCCACGTTTGAGAATGTAGTGTTGTGTGTAAGGATTGATTTCTTTCTTATCACAAGTGAGTGTGTTCCTGCATGTGTAGCGTCTGTCTATCCACTATTAGGACGAAGAATAGACGTAACATATTAACGGTAAAGTTTTTAAACAATCCTGGTTATGACTTACAATAAACTGTACTTCCATAAAAATTTATCATTACCTTGGCATTTACCCAGTACCATTTTATATGAATATTTATCGTAACTATAATTTAGTGCTAGCTTTCGGAAAAACTTTAAATGTTTAAAAAAAAATATATTTTTCTTCGAAGGAAATGATTGAACGTTACGTCTATCTTTAAACAAGGGAAGATATTTAACAATTTTCAATTTCTTGTCGACACATCGTCATTTTGTCATTCAAACAGAATATAAAATCTTGTTGGTGCGTTTGTATCGTGTGCTATCTATATGAAAATAAAGGGACGTTCACACGAGTGTACTAGTTACAATGCAAATGCCCTGGACATGCTCGCTAAATAGATTGCTGTTTGTGCTCCTATTTAAGTAGTTGTATTAGAACGTAGTCGTTGTACCATTATAGTGCGAAGTTAGAATGGCTTATTCTGACTGACTTCAATAGGAAGTTAATCGATTTCAAACATTTCGATCCTTTATCCATACAACAATATCCCCGCCGAAATTAAGATTTAAAAAAGAACACGCTTATGCAATTTGTGTAACGAGATCGCACTGTGCATTTAATGTTTGCCGAACGTTAGAAATGTTCGTGATGTTCATTACTTTTAGTGAGCACTCACTGTGGTTATTGATACAGCGTCGAAGTAGATAGTACTCGAACCCCCTTTCAAATGCCTCCTGTTAAAAAATATTAATAAATAGCATATATAATAATTATTTTTTATATCTCTAACAATATGTTGATCGCAAAGAACATCAAATTGACAAGCTAAATTAAAAACTGTTTGAAATAAATATTTATTTTTCGGCCTGTTTGGGCAAGGCCCCATCACGCTAACGATTCTACTCCCACCCTTAGAACCCCTAACGACGAGGCAAGCACATATCGTGTTCATTAGGGCTAACTGTAGTGCGCTTTTTGTAGGTGGCACCCTTCCTTCCACCTGCTCCACTCCGCCCCCGCCCTTTGACGATGCAGTGCGTTCAAACGACCAAACTTTGGCTTCCGGTGGTCAGCTACAACAGGGTGCAACGACCATCTTAACGAGCAGTCTGAGTAGCGCTCACACGAAGCAGAACAAGGTCGTGCACCATGTCACCCTTACGAAAACTTACCACGACGCTGTGAGGTGAGTGAACTTATCTTTCTCTTCAGCATTTCGCCAACACACATATGAAATATTCTAAACAAAATTATAATTATAACAGAGCACTTTATTGTACTCCATACTACAATTTGTTTGTTTTATTAATCCTGATTGGCTTAATAAGAAATCTGAACGGTGTTAAGAACAAGAGAAAATCCGTAAAAATCAAAGATCGTTACTATAAATTTGAATGAATTTTTCATTATTTTATTATGCATATTGTATATACAGAACAGGAAAAATGAAATAAAACCAGATACTTAGAAAAAAATTAAATAACGCTAGTTATTGCAATTGTGTGGACGAATTAAAAAATTAAACGCAACACCGTGGAAAAAATAATATTTCAGCATATCTGATGTGCACTTGGAAAGCAGTGGTAGCGGAAGTGGCAGTGGCGGGAGGGAAACGAAATCGTCGTTGAGCGTGGAAAGCGGTGGAAGCAGTCGAGGGGGTGGCGCATTGACGTGGACGCCACCCGCGGGCAGCGCTGAGGGTTCGACACCTACCTGGACGGAGGGCACCCCGTCCTTCACGGAAAGCTCCAGCAGCGGTGACGCAGGTAAGTTTCCGTATGCGCTCCACATCTACTACGCCAGCTGAAGGCTCACACATGCCTCGAGGATTCCTTCGCTCTCTTCTTCTACTTCTTCGCAACGACAAAGTTTCCATCGGGCGCGAGCGTCCCGTTGATTTTCCATTTATTTTATTAGCTTGGTACATATGAAATATCGTTTTCTTCAAATGTAACAGATATGCCTGTAGAATACATATCACGCCTGTGCATATCATGTGTGTGATTCGAATAGTTTTACACATTCCTGTATAATTGAATAATTTTATTATTATGAAATTGAATATTGCATTCGTTCCTTGCGTATACGTCAATCAAATATACGTATATAATATAATTTTATCTCTCAGAAAATCTATTTCTTTCACATATATTATTTCAATTGCCTTACCTATAAAATACAGATAAATACTATGTCGTTTAATAAGGATTGATAAAATCTTGGGCAATTAAATAATCGAGTGAATATGTTTTTTGTTAATAAATAACAAGTTACGTGACGCTCGCGCCAATAACCAGAAGTCTGATTAACGTGCCACGATTTAAAGTGTTAACGTTCTTTAAACGAGTAAAAATACACACTGTCAGTCACCATATCATCATTGTACGTGTGAAACCACTGTATGCATAAACCGCCTGCATCGATGCAGTATTATTTCTACTGTTCGTAAAGAGGGTACCCACATTCGTGTCGTGTTATTAATTATGTAAATGTACGTAGACCATGCAAGCAGTAGTTAGCGCTGATTTGAGCGCATACCGCATACTCGGCGAGGTAAATACGATAAATCCCTGTGATCGTGACTAAAATAATACATGTGGTTAGCAACTTACATCGATTGCAGTCTGTGTACTAACGATATTACGTAATCCGGAACTAAATGGGTTTTAGAGCAAATTAAGTTAGCCCGTTTGCTACGGTATACTTCATTTTTCTTCATCTAATATTCATTTAATCGCGGAAACCATCGTTGGTACACATATTTATACGAACAAGATGCGCCGCATTATGTGCAATACTTGTTCTCATTCATTACTGTATTGTACTCGTGTTAAATCGGTAAGATTCATGCAAGTTAGTACTTGAAGCTCAGAGAATGAGCGGTAAGGAAACGAATGACAAAAACTCAGTGCCTAAATTGAATCTCATCGCCTATGACTTTTAGACCATGTCTCTAAATGATTGTAAGTGTTATTATAGGCAAGCTTTTCGATCCTTCAATCGTATCGTTATCGGAGGTACTCGTACGAGCTGAATTAACGATGTATCGACATATAGTGTTGACAAGTACCTTCGGTATTTCTTTAAACAATTATTTTCTCGGCGAGTATGACCGTGCGACTATTTTACTTAGCCCTGTCTAGCTATCTGAAAAATCTTGTCAAAACATTCGAACACTTTTTCTTTCAACCATGAGAGATCGACAATAAAGCGACGATTGCAGAATAAAAAAAAGAATACGAGACATCACTCTCATTATGAAACCCCTCACACACACATTTGTTTTTACTTGTTCTACATGGTTCCTTCGTTAAGCAGGAACGGGCATCGCCTAGAACCGATGTGCTCTCGAGATAAGTTTTCAAATTTTTCTCTCTCTTTTTCTCTATTTCTTTTTTTATATTCTTCGATCTGTTTGCTACACTTGCATCATACAGAACCATAGCGTGAAATATAGCTACACTAGCTTGTCACCCGTAGATCATCGATTAGAACAGTGCACGCTTTTCTCTTATCGATGCATCTTGATTAAAACGTTATCTCGAAAGGGACGCCTGAAAAAAAAGCCAAAAGTTTTAAAGAGAAATTTTTCATTATGGAAAACGAAATCGCGCGATCCTTTCGAGGCTTTTGAAATCTATCTTGCCGTAGATCGTCGCCTCAAATCAAACACTAGACAAACACAAATTCGGTGCGATGCTGCAGCGAGTCAATCATTCTTTTGCACTATGACGATTAACGATAATTTTAGGTTGTCCGACGACGCCGATCAGGGGTAACCAGCGTCATGACAACGGAGGGAGCATCGCAGCTACCGTTGAGGAGGCGTTGGCCAGTCTTACTACGGAAATGGTAAGTTGGCAAATGTAGCTTTATACGACTGGTCATCCGAAAAGATGCGATAATGAAATTCAGAAACCTTTAACTATATTTTCCCAGTTTCAAAATAATTATAAAAAGCGGAAGAATTGCACGATTTCTGACTATCGTTACCGTATCTTCCTTGACCGATTCCTCTTGGCGGTAAGTGTCCAATCAGAGCCTGCTGACCGATCGATCGGACTGTGTAAATGTTTCCCCGAGTGGCCGAGGGTTTTTGTAACTAATAAACAGCCCCCGGGCGACGCTGTGCACCGTGAGTCTTACTAAAGGATTCATGCAACGTCGTCTTCGAACAAAATCGTCCTTAGTCTCGTCTGTTCACGTTTCAGTGTTGTATCCCATCTTTTACGTCGAATCCATAATGAACCGTCACGTCGATTCGGTCGCGCACAGAGCGTTCCAAAGCGAGTGATTTCCATAAACGATTCAATCTGAGAATCGTTTAAAAGAGATGCATGCAATTTCATTTGTAATTTTCTCTTCGCTTCCAGCATCTTGGACTGATCCTATGATTAGACTAGCTCTATTCATGTATTTTACAAAGACTATTGCATGAAAATTTAGTGTCAATGATTCCAACGGTTTATGCGTTCTGTTCTTTTTGATCTTGAAACTGAATGCAATAAACGAGACAATATTTAGTCCAAGAATAAATGATAGAGCACGTTCTATAGATTAGATACTTTCTTTCAGGTACATAAGTACATGATTACTCAAGTTTAACACCTTTAACACCTTATCCTCAAATGATCAATAGAATAGAGATATCAAAATGAAACAATGTGACAATTAAATAACCAAACGTTTTCAAACAAAGAAACATATTATTCAAGCAAAAGTTTATCGAACTACGCACTCGTCTGTCTCATATTTCCACGCAAATGATCCAAACGATTGCGACACATTGAGAGCGTATCCTCGAATTTCTGCATGCGAGTGCATCGTAGAATTCTCGGCGAACGCATCAGCAATTATTTTATACAGGGTGTTTGCGAAATCATGGTACAACCGGCAAGGGGATGATTCCTCACATAAAATCAAGTCGAAAGCAAGAAATATAGTTTTTTTATACGGGGCGTCATTTTCGAGAAAATCGAGTTCTTGTATGAAAAACCTATATTCCTTGTTTTCGACTAGATTTGATATGAGGAATCATCCCCTTGCCGATTGTACCACGATTTCGCAAACACCCTGTACGTACATGATTCTCGAGTACGTGCATTTCTCACGGAGTTGCAACACGCGAAAGAATCTCGGACGTGCACGTCCGCCAGGTAATTCCATATTAACCCAGTATTGCCGCCGACGAGAATTCTCTTATAATGAAACATTTCAAACGATGGCGTCTTTCAAGTTGTTAAAAAATTATTTTGTTCCCGTGTAATCGAGTTGAAATCGTGATATGAATTATGGCAAAAAAACATCCTTATTTACTCGAAGTACGATTTTGATATAAAAAATGAAGTCAAGAAGTTTAACTTTCAATGCTCGAAGTTTTAGTTGTGTTAATAACGTAACGGAGGTAATAAGAGTAAGCCTACTGAATTTAATCGAAAGCAAACGCCTTGGAACGCTCCGTGTGGAGTGATCAAACTTTTGAATGGTTTCTCTATTTCCTCAAATCAGGAGATACTGCAGCACGAGTGAATGCAATACAACTCGCCCCTCTAACCTCCTTCGATTTGGATATGGTCTGGTGCGCCGTCGTAGCGACGAATCTTCGAAAAACGAGAAAAGTTTCGAAAAGGGGAAAATAAAACTGGAATCGCGAATCAAGACAGGTTGGGTCGAAGCAGAAAATGTACACATAGATACTTTAGTCATTCCTTTACTCGCATTTTCGTGTTATAATCGATTCTGTACTTAACGGGTCACGCGTATACGCAAGAAATTCGTCTGGATTCGCGAGTCTACAAAGTATTTGTCGTCCAACGTGCGTCAATCTCGCATTTATTTGCACGGGAAGATATTATATTTAAGTAGTCGCGTCCTCGTGAAGCAATGAAGGAGTCGACAAAGCGTTGGCGGTTCCAGAGCTTGCGAAATTAATGAAAAGGCCAGAAAGCTAATGTACACCGTGATAAAACTCGGCCTACAGTATTAGTCGACTGTATAATACTCGGTACTCGTTCGGGATTCCAAGCACTTCGCGGATAACTGACGAGTCATCTTTACGGTTATTTGTCTTGTAGGTATGTCCGGTCTCGGCACGTTGAATTCCTAATCAACATACGGTTAAACGTAATAATGACGCGCGTTGTTATGTGTACAAATTTTGAATCAGTTAATATGTTGACCAATTACCGTCTAACTTTATTGTGCAAACTCGTATAGCCTGGGACGACGATTATCGGACCCGTTTTTTATTGTGTTCATTTCTCGTATGGGGACAACACTTAAAAGTAGTAGTAAAATGTCTCGCCTTTTTCAATGCTCGATCTGGCACTTCTATGGCTGAATTTTGACATGGTTTTGACGCTTCAAAGTAAAAACAATTTCAATATATGTATTAAGAAATAATTACTTACGTAATTTTATTTAATAATTGAATGTACAGAAAAATTGAAAATATAGATATAAATAAAAATCTATGTGTTTGATCATCTTTTTATTTCTTTATTTAATGTTAAGAAACTCTGTAGAAAATCTGTTAATATTTAATCAAAATTAATCGAGGATTGAAAAAGTGTGTAACAGATTTAGTACTATTTTCGGGTCACCCATACGGGAAATGAACACGATCAAAAACGGGTCGAGAATCATTGTCCCCGAGCTGTACATTCGTTTAAACTATCCTGACTGTCTTTTGAAAAGAGCCTTAAGAAAGACGTGCGTGATTATTATTATTAATTCGTCTCCTCGTTGCTTGTTCGTGAATCTAGTTGTAAAATCGTATGATCATCGAATCACCGAGCTTTACGAGTGATGTTCAAGTCAAATGGTGACCAAGCGTCGCTATAAAGTATCTTACGCATTACCTCGTCTTGTAACTGACAATTATCTTTTGTTATGATAGTGAACTGTAAACGTTGAAAAGGGAAGGGAGGAGAAACTTGAGAAAACAGAAATGAATAATGATCGAAATAGAGTGTAAATAATACTTACGATCCAAGTAGGGCTCGTGGGTCTCAATCCCGTTTTTATTACGATAATATAGCCGGTCGTGTACATGTACCTATATGTGTCTCACGTTCTGTTTGTCTATACATATAATTAATTATACATATGTACGTACACACATAAAATGAAACCGTGTATACCGCATTATCTTCGTCTGGCCGGTGAACTTTTGGACGTGTTTGAACTTGAAAACTCGCAATTATGCATATACTGCTTGTTAAAAAAAACCACTCAATATTTATATGGTATATAGGATACACTGTACTGAATAAAAGAGCTTTAGTAAACATAGGTCGAAAGCTTTTTTACTTAGTACAGTGCATCCTATATATCATATAAATAAATTGAATGATTTTTTTGACACCATGTATAGATCAGAAACGAAAATTTGCAATCACTTGTTAAAATTACTACCTCATACTTATATATATTTGCTTGATTTTGTTGAAAATAAGTAAAAAATAAAGTATGTATTATACATGTGTACGTGTTTTCAAAATTGTGATATTACTAATTGGTAAAATATGTAAGCAACGTGTAGTTCAAGTGCATCCTCTTTTTCTCTTTCTCACGTAAAAAGATTTTGAAACTTTGAATAACGTAAGTTCCAAAGTACTATCTCGTGTAGTAACTGAAAACCGATGTGAAAGTTCTTTCAAAGTTTCAGACTATCCTAGAACTCACCGGCCACTGGGACGCATATTATAAATATCAACTGCGCAAACTGTATTATACGTGATACGATAAACGAGAGTGATTGACGCTAGTTCCGATGGTACCATGTACGTATATTACAAATAATATATGAATGAATAAAAAATTTAGTAGAATCGCAGAGCAAAGGATTAATTATGTAAGCGCGTTGCTAGTAGGCGTGAAAGTTGTCGCGAACGTTTTGAAAAACCAAAATGTTGTTCAATTAACACGTATGATATATCGTCTTCAATGAAACGCTTTCGACAGTCGGTATGTTGTGTCTAGGAAAGAACAGTAAAAAAGAATCTAGTCGTATCTCGGCTATCAGTCCGTGTCGTTCTTCTTCTCTGAGAATGTTTTATTTCACGGTTTTAGTCAAAGAGTATGCTCTCTATTTTATTCAGTGTACAAATACTTTTGTTTTTAAGTATCGTTATTTCTCTTTGATTTACTATTGTAAATAGTACATTCGAAGTTCTCGTGAATATTTCACATTATTTAATTTTAACCATTAGATTTAACCATTGGAACTTGGAGTAACTACAATAAACAATTGAATATTTTACAAATGCGTTTCGATAATCATTCGCTATAAAATTCTTCGAGTACAAATCGACATTAATTTCACACAATCTTCAACGAAAATTTCACTCTAGATCTATTGTGTTCAACTTTCAATAAGAAACTGAGTGACGTAGATGTTAGACCATTCGATAAGAATACGAACTTATGCGTCGTTGTCGCTTCAGAACCTCTTTGTTACAATGGTTGAATCGAATCGGAGATGTTTCAGTCCGCGGACCTATTAGGCTGGCGCATATGAAATATCGTCGTCAAACATGCCAGGTTTAATTTCTGTAAAATATCATGTGTTGCATGTAAATAATTTATCAGCTACTTTTACATATTCGTAAATGATTACATAATTTCATTATTCTAAATGAATTACATTATAAATGTAATTGAAGATTCATTAATGTTGCGATGTCTAAAGAAATCGCAATGCGTTCATGACACACCAAATTATTTCATTTTCGAGCAAAAGTATGGTAGATGAGTTTCGATGAAAAAATGCAAACTTCAGAAAAAGCACGAAATTTCATACACACCAACCTAATAGATTGAACAGCCGAGAGAAAGGGTGGAAAGAAACTTAATGAAACTCATAGCTTTGTTAACTGGAGATACTCTTCCACGGAGTACCATGTATTATCATTATTGTTATATATGTATATCGTAGGCATTATACAAAAAGACAGTAACAGTGTTTATTAGCAATCTTGAAAGTGTGATATTTTTTTAACAAACATATCGCAACGTGCGTTCAAGTTTTGCGAGTGATTCAATGCTTGTCCACGGACGGAGCTCTGAATAGGGAGCTCAGGGAGGATTAAGATACGAATCTGGATCAGTAGGAGCACGGGGGCTAGAGAACATTTCGTGCCAATTAAAACATTGTGTACAGAAGAGAAAAAAGAGATCGCGTTGAAAACGATCCAAAGAAAACTTAGAGAGAGAATCGTTGTTAATATTAAATTTCTCCGAGCGCCATTAGTCGAAGATCCGTCGCTTTTTACGCTTCTCTTTGTCGCATAATTCAATGTTTGTCGATGATCGTTTCCAAGCTGTTTAAACCGGCATATCGTATGTGTTTTCTGTGTGTGCTTTGAATCGAAAATCGTATTGATTCCGCGCGATTAACATTCTGTCATTAATTAATTCAAATTCTATAGAAATATTTCTGCATTCTTTATTCTGTTTCTCTCCGTTTGTGTATTTTGATGTGGCATTGGTATCCCTAATCAGTTAATCCTAATCGTTTTATCTTCCTACTCTTACGGTCGAATCGCGATAATTTGTTCATGAATAGTTTATTCATGAATCTATACACTGAAAGAAGGAGTGGATTTACTATAGCAATTAATAAGAATGACAGACCTGATCTTTTTTGTGCTCGAATTCAGAGACAAAAGAACGGCAACGCGAAGGATCTTATGGCACAGAGAACGTCCCTTTCGATGTACAGACAAGTCAGAAGAAGTATCAAACGTGTCAACGCGAACAACGTAGCAATCGTGAGGAGCATGCAAAGAGTGTTGAACGTTCAACGCCAGGAGCAATAAGGATTCAAGCGAATCGGAAATAAATCTCTTTGAAACGATTGAGCAAGATAAACGCGCGTCCATTTTTATCTGTGGAAATATTGAGAACGCACTAAGAAACGGTTCAACATTATTATCGAGATCTGTGATCACGTGTATACGTTTGAAAGAAACTTGTTTTCCTAAATTTATCAATGAACGAACAATGTTTCTTTCTTTGATAAATTGTAAGTATTATTGCTCGTAGACCTCGATGAAGAAATTATGTCTGTTTAACCAGTTTGAACGATGATCGGGCATAACTTCAGTCTTAATCCTCTCGTGACTATAAATCAACCTTGCGTCTAAGTGTCTGCTTAACTAACTGCGTAAGACTTTATTTTTTTTCTTTTTTCGTTGCATCAACGTTGTCGCGTCGAGAAGTATATAAAACTAAGAAACGAGAAGCCTTGCGTTAATCGAAGCAATATCACTGGTTAAGAAGAAGCGGACGGTTAGATATTCTTCGTGCATGAGTTTGTCATGTCAATACGAACGTGCCAAGGAATTTGGCAAGATTTACGGCGGCGGTTTTATGGAACGGTTCGTTTCGCGATTATTCGCGAATTCACCATCTTCGTGCTTCCTTTTTTTCTGAATTCTCAAGGTTCCCTAGCTAACTCAATTTCATCTTTTACTTCGTACGACAAAAGGCAAAGAATAATTATGGATTTGAAAAAGAAGGTCAAAGCAGTTTTAATGTGAGATTTTGATTCCCGAATTTTTAATTGAATTTCATTAGAATTCAAACTTTATTATCCGAAAGTTGATCCCAGTCTTCGAGAAAAATTTTTAAAGCATGTATAGTTTCGTGTAGATTTCTTATGGAGAAATTGTGAAACCAAACGTGCCATTGAAAATGTTCCGTAGGAAATTGTGTGCACAACTGAGATTGCAAGAACAATTATGTGCGAGTAGATTGCTGGATTAATTAACCCTTTAACCGAGCAATCCGAGCCAATAATACTGTGACTGTGTTTCCGATTGTACCGAATTGAGTTAATATTAATTTTCATACATGAAAATAGTCGTCTTCTACTACCTCCTGTAGAGACAGTCATTGTTTCTGAATCAAGTTGCCCAGTTGAAGGGTTAAAACGATAAGTGAAGAGCAATTATGGATCGGTTGTACCTTCGCGATGGTCCATTAGTATTCTTGGATGGTTAAAATAATTCTATATGTTATTTTTAATTACCTATGAGGAGGGTAAGTTTCCTTTATTAGTTTAGTCAAGCAGAATAAAAAATAGGAAGAGAATTCTTCGAATCTTCGCGACAGCTGGTCCATTTCTGTCTCATTCAAGAGTTAAAGAAACGTATAAATATATACGTACGTTGAAATGTTAAAGTAAACCGCTACGGAAAGATTTCACTGCGAGCGATCGTTTGACAGTGCTGTTACGAAACGAATTGTCACTTAACCGAAATTTTCGGCAATACATATTAATATGATTACGATCATTACCATTATGATTATTATCTATCACCATGATTATTTAAATAAAGCAGTTACTATTATTCTTACGACTGTTTTTGTTATCGTTTGTTATAAAAAAAAGAAGAAATACTTGATTGATTGGCGGGGGTAATTTTTCATTTCAATTAATTTTGCGTGTTTATGTATGTTCTTGTGTGTGTCTGTCCATTCCTAACGATGAAAGATCGATCGATCCTTAAACTCATTATTAACAATCTTCACCCTCGGCGCACTTTATTTTTACTTTCTTTTTTTTTAACCAACATTTTTTTCTTATCCTGGTTTCTTTTTATTTGCACCCTTTCAGACCCACCTGTAGTCAAGCAAAAACGAAGATAATTGTAGACAGTCAGACAAACAAAAACAAATACGAAAAATATCGTTTTTATTTACGAAAAAGAGAGAAAATTGACTGCGGAGCCTGTGAATTCTTGCTGTTGGTGCATTTAGAAACCCTCTTTCTCCGGAATTAACGTGAGATAATGCATTAGGATGTTGATGTAAGTCCAACACACACGTAGGCATATAAGTGCGCGCGTCTTAACGTATATTTATAGGGTGTTTCGAAAATATATACGTCATATCCGACCATGGGACGGCCGTGGATCGGACGGTTTCTTCCACGGAAAGAAACAAAGCTTTTAAAATTACTTTTTACTTCCTTTTGTTATTTTATTTCTTAAGTGATATTTTTTAAAACGATAATTTCGGAACACTTTACGTTAGCTATTAAGAGATCGGTTCGAGGCACCATTTTTCAACATCACATTGTCGTAAATTTTTCTACTTCTTTTATTTGAATAAAGAAGTTTGAGTAAATTTATGTGAAGAACGAAATGAAACAGCTAGTCTCGAACCGGCGTTAGACAATTTAATTATTTATTTTTCTATTATTTCGCTGCCGTGTATCGCCAAGAAACTTCGGTTTCCCTCGCCAGGGAATCTCATTCTGGCACGAGTGTACATAGTGCACACAAGCTGAATAAACGCGTGATTTCTTAGACAGTCAAATAGGAATTTCAAAAAGACTGCGTGCGTTTATTTTATCCGTAAACATGTTGTATTCCTTTGTCACCTCGTCGTTCTTTTTTCGACGATCATGTGCGAATACAATATCCTGTATTTTGTGCAGCTAGTTTATCATAAAATCTCGGTTTAACGTGAAAAAGTGATAACTCTTTTCTTTATCTCTTCCTCGTTAAAAGTTGCTAACGCATTTCTTAATCATACGTGTACAGTGGATTATGCATTTATTCATTTACCTACTTAATATATTATAATTAGCCTGTACAATATCATCTGTTCATAAAATTTCAAATTTATGATTTTTAATTATACAATCGGACGTTATAATATTGCATGCAATCTACCGAGGCTTTGTCAGAAACGATAAATATCAATCTTAAATTATTGGACACTATTTAATAGATTTAACTTCTTCGGTAAAACACGACATGCATCATATGTTCAGTTTATTCTACGATTTTAGTACGAGGTGTCATTACAAAATAGGAAGGTACTTCTCATTTATTTAATTCGTCCGAATCGCAACCTTGCCGTTGCGAAAGAATCAAATAATTACTGAGAAAGATCAATTTCGTTCTGTAAAAAATCAGAGAAACGTCGTGGGTGTAGAAAATTTGGTACACTCGTTAAAACATCACTGAAAACAGACAAGAGTCTTAACGTCGGTCATGATCTTGGAACTCGGTACACTTGAATACCTTTCAAGTGACTCGCGTGATGTTCCGCACGAAAAGAAGAGGAAAGAAAAATCACATGATCACTGTTGTACAAATATTTACTAGATGATGCTACGTGCATGTATAAAAGAAGGTATAAATATTATATAAATATACAGGGTGTATCCGAACGGGTGGTGCAACCGGGCGGGAGTTGATTCTACATGTAAAAATAAGTCGAAAAAAGGGAGTAACGTTTATGAGAAAATTCTGTTGAATACGCTTACACTGAACTTTCCAATTCCTTACCTGCTGCAAACATTTTTGTCGCTCACGCTTTCGTATTACCCGGTATAATGATTACGTTCTGTCTTTAGTCGTACGACTTCATTCTCCTACATTTAGTCTGTTCATCTTACTTGCATTTTTTTACTTGAAAAATAGCGGTCATTACGTATTAGATATACCTTTATCTATCGTACAGAAATTAATACTTGCAAAGAAATGTTACTCGTTTCATTCGACTTATTATTACCTATACATGACGCCCCCCCGCTCTCCCCGATTGCATCACTCGCCCGAATCCGCCCTGTATGTATAGCTTATAGATATTATAAATATGTACACATAAACACACATTATAAATGTCGGAGTTTATCATGTACGTCGATGCATTTATTTTATAAATGGCGCACGGTGATCGTCTGTACACGCTGTTGTATCTTTCCTCGAGAGAGCTACATTCTCGATACCTCATTGCGCTTGTAGACGATCGCGGCGATGATGTACGATTTAAAGATGAAATAAATTATTTGTTGCGTTGTATTTATTTAACGGAGGACGATTCCTCCGCTCGAAGTCCCGCGAGTATCACCCGGGGAAGATTTCGTTCGACCCACGAGGGAGATCTCTCCTTGGCAAGAATTGTTGTAACAATAAAAATTTTGCGTCAAAAATTGTCCGTTTCGCATGTTCTTTCATTCGCATCCCTCCGATTCTAATTTTAAGTAACGTTCAATTCGTTTCGAGAATTTCATTGCTATTTACACCTGATCTTTGCGTAAATTGTAGCGGAAAAATTAAGGTGTATGACAAATTATGGGCTAACGAGAAGATGACTCAACGCACTTATAAAGGCACATGTCGATGAAGTAGAATTGGGGCAGAAAGTGCTTCGACCTCGCCGATGCAATATATCCTGCATAAGGTAAGTATTAACTAAGGACGTGTACGCGCACGTTGAGATAATGACGAACTGCTTCATAATAAGCATCCTAATTGTTGCCTCAAGGCAATTTTCCTTGTTAATTGCGGCCATACTTAGCTTGATAATAACTCATTTAATAAAACATACTGCTTGTGTTTGAATGAGAATGAAAATTGGGTATCGTACAAAAATTATATAAAAACAACCAGATCTTTTCTTTCTTAAATTAATTATTTTAAATAAATACTAAAACCACTAAGAAGTGCGATAGTAATTAACTTGTTGAAATGTACGAACGAACATGGAATATCTGTTTAACATAGGAGCCATACGCGTCATATTCATTGACCTTTGGTTGGCGATCGGTATTTAAAAAGCACGCTGGTAAGCGTACACGAACCAGTACCTACTTAAACAGACGGTATATGAGTCAAGGCTGGAGCGGGACCCTTACCTACTTTTTCCTTTTATGGTAATGAATTGGATTGATGAATGTATGGGATACGACGTTCGATAAGCTTACGCAAAGGATTTCGCGCCTGGACAAATTATCGTGCCAGGCTTTTACCATTGCCGTCGAGAACACGTTCGAATTAAGTCATCGACCAAGACCAACATTATGGGGAAACGCAATGATACATTTAATCGAACATGGAGCACGATTTAAAATAATGCGAGGAGACAAGATGGAAATTACCCTGGATGGGAATTGCAATTTGGAAAGTGCTCGATTTATTGGACATGTCTCGAAATAATTACGTAAGCGACGAGACTAAAATCGTTGTTCGAGTCACTGGGAATTGACCATGACACGAGTTGACTCAAGGGGATCGAGTGAGATGCCTATAACTCCAATGCCAAAATTACCAGTTTACTATCCAGATTCTCCTGTTGCCAATGCACTGTTTCCATCTGTACATTCCAACACTTCCGCCTGGTTAATAAACAACTCTAATAATATAATAGTTAATTAAACGCGTTTTTTTCGAAATAGTATTTTTCAAATTTACTGACAGTATAAATCAAAGACCAATTATCCGATTGACTTGAAATTTTAACAGAGTGTTCTAGACATGCTTTATTGTTAAATGACGTACGATATTCTTGATTGGATGAAAACTGTAATTTTGGCAACGAAAAAACGACAATTTTTTTAAAACTCCGCCATTTTGTCTGATTTCAACATTTCTCAGATATCCTACGTGATTCAACAATAAAGCATGTCTACTTCGAGAGCGTCTTTATCTTTTTTCATTTCAGTCACCCTAGCGTACTGTATGATGTCAACAGTTGAGACACTTTTTTTGGCGTCTCGGGAGACAGCGCATAACTTGGTCGCCTTTAGTTATTTTTGTACGAAAAAACTATTTTACACAGTTCATTTATAGGCAAACACATCCATTAAGTTTAAAAAAATTGCATAGAATGCTTTTCCTAAAAAAAAATTCTTAACAATGACCTAAATTTTAAGCGATCAGACTGATAAAGCCCCTTAATTAAAGTTGAAGTAGTTGATACCGATGGTTTTCTAAGTTTGCAGCAACCTTGTAACGATCACAGTGACTTTGATCTTGGTACCCTATGACTAGATCGGAAACTAGAGCAAGGAATCGCAAGCGTAATCTCGAATAGATCTCTCTTTTATTGGTGCGCAAAGTTCTTTCACTTTCTCTATCAGATTACAATTCCTTTCTAAAGATACTAATCTTTCATGTTCTAACAAGTTCAACAGAGATACATGGTATTTGTAGGTAATCTCTACGACATGAAAAAAAGCGAAAATACTGTTATATAAAATCATAAAGAATGTGTAAAAAGTTTTCATTTTAAACATTAAAGATCACAGAACCTGCATGAAGCCAAACATGGCATCAACAAAGGGATTCTATTTCTTTCGCATTTCCCATTTCGTCAGTACGATGGACGAGAAATCTCCAGAACGAGAAAATAGGCCTCGGACCGATCGTCGTCGAAGCCTCGCCGATTCTAAAGATAAATTCCGCAGGCGGTGTACGTTTTCACAGGCCCGTACGTAGAAAATCCTCACCGGGGGTCTGTGCATGAACACCCGGGTGGTAGGGATACGTCGGGACCGTGAAGGTAAGAGAAAGAAAGAGAAGAACGAGCGCGTCCTGGTGCGCGACGTCATCGTCGTCTTTTACGATCGCGAGGAGAGAAGCCCGCGAGAAAAGGTGGGAGCCGCGACGAACGGTTGTGGCCCAAGTCAAGCTTTCAGCGGCCAGTCGAAACTTAGCCTGCGAGTCAGACGCACCCCACAGACGACGAACGAACCTGAATACTTGCTCCGTGAGTAAGCATGTGCACTTTTTTCAAACTCCCCGTACTCCGATCCGTACAAGAAACATGTATCGCGCTCAAGTTTCGCCTCACATTCGTTTCACGTACCATAGAATCTCCCTGGATCCGCTGGATCGCGTACGGTGAATGTATGCGTGTGTGAAAGAAAGTGACGTGAGCAGGACGTGTGTTTAAGTAGGCTCGAAAGTGAAAAGGGTCAATCGGTGCAGGGGTGACGAATCGGTTTCTAATAAAGATGAAACGATCTCGTGATCTGCAGAATATTATTCCTTGATGAAATTACACATTGAAGAAACAGCTCGATTTTAAGTTATGCTGGTTGTTCGAAAAACTGGTAGTTTGAGTGATACCACTGTCGCCCGCATTCCAAAGAGGCAGTTCCGAAAACCGTTCGGTTATTATGCAAATTCCAACGGTTGTTTCGCAAAGCTGAAACCCGTTGTCACCCATAATACAATCGAGCTGATATCGCCAGAAACATGTGACTCATGGAAGTTTTTAAGTATTCATGCGTAACCGCTGCGACGAATATTATAGGTACCACATTGCTGAACTCCGTTGCCGCGGCACGGTAGGCAGGAATTTCTGTCGCGAGGCAGCAGATCACAGTGATGATGTTACTCAGGTGCGGTGGATACGCTGATAACGGATTCTCGAAAGAACGAGTGCAAACTTTCCTGCGTTGTTTCGTCGCTGGAATTCGGAGAAGTTGCTAGTAGTAAAGTAGTTGCTAGTACTAAAAGTAACCGATTGGTCTTATAATAGATTGTATCTTATTATACAATTCGTACAAACTTATTAATAGTGACAGTAGTAGGGCGAGAGCTTGTACAATTGCAATTCATCGAATTCCTATTTCATTTCGGTTGTACTAATTAATAGAAAAGCTGAAAGATTTCTATCTCGTGATCTAGGTCGTATTCTTTTACAAATTTCTTATTTGCTCCAAAAGAGATGTAGGACGGGTGTCGTTGGAGCGTAGGTAGATTGCAGAAAATTGTAGATCGTGTGTATATCAGAAATCAGTTATGATAACATATAAGCGCATGGGCGGAGAGGAAAATTTTCTTTCGAGCGTAACAAGACACCGATCTGAATGAAGTAACGAACCTCGGCTGTGCGTAACCCGAAAAGGTTCGGTGGCAGGCGGCTACCGACGATTCCACCCTCTCCTCTCGCGCGTAAAAATAACCCTCTCCGCTGATACGAACTTCTTTAGAATCCGGTTGCTCCGCTTATTTTTTTAACCGACCCTATTTCGGCGGTTTTGTTTTTTTAATAGTCCTCGCTCCGTCAGAAGCCAAACTTTAAAAAAGAGATACATCGTGACCTCCACTCGTATATTTTTTTCCAATGTTTCGTTTTTTAATTTCATCTGTCTGTGACGTGTAGTAAACGGCGAAGTCCTTGAATTTGTTCAGCAGGAGTTTTATTTTCACAGAGTAAGGGGTTAAAAGTGATGACACAAGATGATTCGCTTCTTCAGAGTATTGTGTCTAGAATTTCTGCTTCCTCGAACTCGTCGGAACTCCGTCTTCCTACCATCCGCCCTGCATAGCCGAGATCTCTGATTACCAGTCAGGAATCGTGCGCATTTGCTCGTACAGATACCGATGATACGGATGCAAGGATCCATGCAGTGGCGTAGATGCAATGAATGCCGAGAAATTCTTCGAAAAGGCACGAGCAGTACACTTTCTAGTTTCAGAAATTAAATTCCTCTTCTAAAATAAAAAATTCCCTTCTCTTTAAATAAAAAGTAGAAATAGGATAGAAAAATAAATTCGTCAGCGAAGTCTTTGATTAATACTTCACTCCTGGGTGCCCTAAAAAGAAGCGTTCGAAGACAATAATGTCTGGAATGTTTCCACCGAAGAAACTTAACTCGTCCGTGGCTCTGTCCTATTTCTTCACGAGTTCTCGCGATGCATCGGGTTTGCCTGTGCTAGAGAAACCAGCGCATAAAATGCGAGAGTCGAGGATCCTCTCGATTCGTCCTGGAGGAGTGCATACCTGAGCTTGTGACGTCACGAAAGAGGAAGAAAGATGCTCGGAGCACGAAGCGGAGACGTTTGATTTTATATATACGGACACGGTACAGAGCCCGGGCCTTCTTGAGCAAGAATCTGCTTCTATAAATAGGATATCCGGTCGTTCGCTAATTATACTTCGATGCATGCTATCCGCATAGCGAGATCTCGCACGAATTCTCGGTCGATATGCCATTTTTCGGGGCGACTGCTATTCATTACCTCGATAATAATATTGAATAGAAAAGGATAGATAGAAAGAAGATAGGTGGATGTAGAAAGGAGGAAGCAATTAATACGGATCACGGTTAATTGCGTTCGTGGTTCGTCTCACGATCATTGAAATCTTCAGCGCGATGAACGTACGCGAACTCGAAACCGTTTTTCACCTTGGGAATCGATCAGGGATCGTGTCGGAGAAAAAGTACAATTCGCTGATCAGAAATAAAATTTATGGGAAGTTACGCATTCGGGAACACTTATATGATAATGCTAACACACTCGTTCGCTGTTGTAGGTACGTTTTTCTTTTATCTCGTGAACGAGTGAACAAGCCAAACCGCAGCCATGGACGCGATCAAGAAGAAGATGCAGGGAATGAAGCTGGAGAAGGACAACGCGATGGATCGCGCGTTGCTCTGCGAACAGCAAGCTCGCGATGCGAACGCGCGAGCCGAAAAGGTAAATGCCCAATGTTTTAAAAATAAAAGAATATAAGTTTGATATGTGCCGAGGAGCCTGTCTTCTTATGGGCGAGAGAATAAAAATAACGATGAAGTAATCACCGCGTAATAAAAATACGATACAGAATTGGCATGTGATCAAAAAGTACAATTATAGATCTGAAATTTTAGTATCTACTACATTCTCATAATAGTGTATTTTACTTCCGGATGTATAATATTGTTTTGTGTAATAAAGGCTGAGGAAGAGGCGCGTGCCCTGCAGAAGAAAATCCAGACCATTGAAAATGATCTCGATCAAACTCAAGAGGCCCTCATGCAGGTTAATGCTAAGCTTGAGGAGAAAGATAAGGCGCTGCAGAACGTAAGTACTCGATGTTTCTAGTCAATAATTCATGTACTGTTCATTGACAGCTATTGCTGTCTAATTTCAAATTAGATTAAAAGTCTTTACGGACAATTTACAGTACAGAAAATTCAGACAATTTTATGTACGAAGAGTAACAGTTTTCAAATGAAGACAACTAGGATTGTTTAAAGAATAAGTAGTTAACCGGTTTCGAGCGCTAAATGTGTCATCAATCACCGCGCCTTTACCGACGTGGCGGTGACGTTTGAACACCATGAGATGTCGCGGGCGATTGATGCGCATGCGCGCCGGAAGGATAGAGCGGGTTCTCCGCGAAGTGAGCACAGTCAGCTTTAGTACGCGAAGCTGGCATCTCGCACGTTCGGAGGTGCTCGGCAAACTTCGTCGTAGTCACTCGGTAGTGGAGAGGGTAACCTGGTTTGAGCGTGTCGCGAGAGACGGAGAAAGGGAGAGAGAAAGCAAGATAGAAACCAGACTAGGACGGTGCAGAGAGTGGAGACCAGCGTGTCTCCTCTCGTGCATGCGTTCGCCCGCACGGGGAGTATGTGTGCGTGCAACACAGAGGACGTATGCGTGGCGCGGTGAGAAACGTGTTACGAACAGTGACAGACAAGATGGCGGTGTGCCTTGTGCGGTGGTAGTAACGGTGATGCGTGGAGCACGTTAAAAAAAATAGTGGAGCGAAGGGGTTGAGTAAGGGGTCGGCAGCTGGGAAGGTATGGAGCCAGGTCTTACGTCAACCACGAGACGTCGCGGTCATCAGCATCATCCGCGACACGCAACGCGCCGACGTCTCGACATCTCTAGCAGAGGACCCGCGCAGTGTGGCCCTGCTGATATCATTAAGGATACGCCAATTGGTAACAACGAAACACCAACGAGTACAACGTCATCCAGGCTCGATGAAAAGAGCAATGTCATCGATACGGAATGTTCGAACGCGGTGACAGTGCCAACGATCGGCGGCGCGAGGTGGCTCCGTGAACCGACGACCACGGTGTCTGCGAAAGATGCAACATCGAACGAAGACGAGGAAAAGAATGATCTTGAGGATGATTATAGAGAGAAGGACGTCCGACAGAGGCTCGCGCGGTGTAGCCTGGACGTTCTCGACGAACGACACGAACAGATCGTTCGTAAGAAAGACGAAAACGAGAGCTGTGACAGTTACGAAACGGAACAAGTGTCTTCGGACAAATCGAAACCACGTGGAAACGAGACATGCGAAGATGTGTTTGCCGATGAAACGAGAAGTAAAGGGAATTCACCCGAGCCTGAGCACGCGGTCGCGAGGGCTCGCGGTGACGGTAACTCCGACGACGAATCTACTAACGTCGAAGAGGATCCTGAGCTTGCCGAACTTGCTAAGCTGAGATGTCCAAGCGAGAGGGCCGAAGTACAAGCCGAAAGAGAAGCGAGAAGAAGAAAGAGATGTGCCGATTATCCCGGACTGGCCTTTGGATGGTCCATATTCTCCAGCGACACGATGATGAAGTTCGGTCTCATACGGAACGAATTGCAGAATATTATGGGAAACCAGCTGAAACGGGTCAGTATCGCATGATACCATCGCTGATATGCCCGGTGTGCGTATTGCGCGATACAAGGTCACCGCGTGACGCGACCTTGACGCACTTTGACGTTGGTCAACGGGTTCCAGAAGGTCATTAGGCCTTTGATAACGGAACGTGATTGTCGTTGGTCGAAATCTCGCTTTCTCTCTCACAGTTATGATCATTAGCCTCTTTTTGTGCTCCGTTCTCGACATTCATTCGGCGCGTTTCGTCGAACGAGACAATTCTTCGTGAATTCGATACCATATATGGTTGAGAACCGGTTAAAAATACGCGCGGCACCTTAGGTTATGCGATCCAGTGGTTACCCACGCCACGGTGACGTTACAGACCATTAAATCGTACGTTGCTTGCAGTTTACGACTCTTGTTACACTTCTCTCTTTTAATTACATACGTATACTTTAATTACCCTTTCTGTGCTTTAATTACACGCTCTTTTCTACCGTTAATCCTGGAAAGTTACCGAACCGCCACGAATACTGATTAGAGAAAGCCCGATAAAACAGCGGAATTTTTCCGGTTGCCGACTGGAAATCGAAATCGGGTTGCCTTATCGCGTCAGTTTAAATGACCTGTCGTGTAATAATAATTAACGGACTATATTAGCAACGCTTCCTAAGACCAGAGACTTCTTACTGACGCACGATCGCTGGACAAATACGTATTGTATATGTGTACGGTTACTAATCGGGGACAATGGGCTGAACGTGATTCTTTAACCAGACGCTTCATAAACGACATTCTGATTTAACTGCCACTGTGCAACCATACGATCAGGTAGCACGTACTCTCAAATTATCATCATATTATCGCTCATCGCAATGTGATAATTTGACCGGTTCATTTTTGAAGCTACACTTTTCGACTAAACATGACATGTTCATACGGCGAAATATTATCATTCTTGAAAGCGTTATCTATTATCGTAGGAGACGCACACAAATTTGCAATTCCTCAGAAATGTTCGCTATTTTTAATTTCTCAAGGAATCTACGAGAAAATATTTCACTATAAGAATTTCCTACGATAGCATGAAACGTTCCTGAACGTTTCGTTTCGAAAAATGAACCCCACCCGATGCTGGTAAACGCGTTAAAATGCGAGTAACACACGTCAACATTCTAAAAATACATGACGGTTGTACCACAAGTCGTACAGCTCTTTTATTCGGCACTGTGAGAGACCATTGCGTAAGCATTCGCTCCCAGAACGTGCTCCTACAACTCCGCCACGTTCCGAGTGTTTATAAAGCGGTGACGCTGTACAACATGTACAACATCATTATAAAATATACATTCGGTACTGCACGGAAATTTTTAACGTATTCTACATTTTATCGTCGACCTTTGAAACAAGATCTCTTTTCTCAATGCTTATCTTAGCCGCTGTTTACACGACGCATACCCTCCGCGATTTCTCACGGATCAACGTGCGCCATCTATGCCGGCATTATTTGCGAAGGTCTCGTGGATGAGTACGCAAATTCTCGGACTTGCATTCAAATTCGGTTGATTGTCCTTAATTCAATGCATACTCTTCATTTGCATACTACCCTGAATTTGAAGTAAAAACAATGAATGGTAGATAGAGCTACAGTAGCTTTCCATTTATTTTTTGGAATATTCTTGTTTTTATAAAATTGTTTCATTTTTTAAGTAAAGTTTCTCTTAGAACACCGACTTGTTTTATATTATGGCACTTTAATGCGATCCTTAATTAATACGTCCAGCTACGTGATGCAGTACTTTAAATTAATAAGTAGAATTCGGTAGAATACATTACGATTTAAATTAAAAACGCAGTAACAACATAAATTAAAGAATTAACGGATAATTTCATACACTGTGTATCTAATTATATCGCACTTTAGTATCGCGATCAAATGCATTGTAACATCCGGCTGCACATTTCAAGCTAGACCGTGTTATTGTTATTATGTTTTATTCCGTGGTATTCTAGTTCTGTAAAGTAAAATTGTTAAATTTCGTACGTATCTTAAAAGATAAATTATTTAGAATTATCTTATTATTGATCCCTATTGTTACTCAATTTTGTTCCATTCGATTATCATGTTTCCGATCGCGAAGACCATAGCCGTAAATTATCGAAAACGATCAGTTCATCGAAGAAAGCTTACCTTTGCACTAGAATTACTATTGATGCGTAGAATAACTACTTGTTTCTCGACGCGGATGGAAAGCATAAGAAGTGAAACAACGCAGGAATTGTTGTCGAGCGCCTATTCGAACGGTTGGGCGCGCTCAGGACGGGCGCGGTATTTCCGGGGCTTTGCGCACAACGACACGTCGATTGGCGCAGCGATACTCGGCGTGCGCATCACACTTTGTGACGCGGTCACCATACAGAAAAAAAGAACAATAAAATTTCATTGACGGACCGAACTCTATAACCAAGAAATATAACCGGATGCTGAATACCCCGGCGATACTATTAATCATAATTTAATCGAATTAGATATTATTGAGGAATACGTCGAAAAGAGCGTCGCTAAGGGCAAGGGACTATTTGACGTCCGCAGAACAGTAAAGCGCATGCGTGTCCCGACCGGGGGCGGCCATCTTGCTTTCCAGTCAACAGCAGCCAGTGGTCGTCAGTGCACGACAGCTCGAAGACTACGTAACTCTTTCTTGTACGGGATACCGGTCATTCTCTCGTACCCGACATTACTTGATCTTCATACATCGTGTTTCACCAGTTATCTTAGATTCCCGAGTTTCCGTACAATATTCGTTAGTAATCAGTTGTGTCTCTGCTCGGTACGAAACTCGTAACCGCGGTCAATTATCGTTTACAAGTGAGAGAACGCTGAACACGCGCGGATATTTAGCAGCATGTCGACGCAAATGCAGGGCACTCTTCTTGACGTGCTGAAGAAGAAAATGAGGCAGACTAAAGAGGAGATGGAAAAGTACAAGGACGAGTGCGAGGAGTATCAGAAGCGGCTGCAGGTGGAAGTGATACGCCGCGAGGAAGTGAGTGAGAAAAATTACCTCATCCACCGTATCTCTTCGTTTCTCCCGAGAGCCCGAATCGGCTCGATACGATGTGTAAACGCGGGGTCCCTGGCTGAAGATACTTTTCGAACCCCATCTATTGCAAATCGTGTGGTATAACCGAGTCCATAACCTGTGTGATTTCTCTCGAGTTCGTCGATCATACCACGACGCTCAGGATAAAATGTGAAATATGTAAAAGGGAAGAATTCCAGTAGGGTTTGCTCGAATCGTTCATTCAGCAAATATTCGTTCGCCGCGTATATTTCGATATATTGTCAAGTCCAGTCGTACGACTCGTATCGGTTCCAGATGCGATCGGCTCGACAGTCGGCTCGTTATGCAGTTAATTTCATCGCGAGCACGTATACAGTACGGTTTGCGGCGTGTCTTTACCGGAAATATGGTGCTCAACTTCACGTCACTCGTTCAGAAAAGTATCGATCGACTAGGGCGCGAGAGACAAACTTTTATCGAGGAAAATAGGACGAAGTCGATCGAACATCACGCCTGGCATAGCAACCCTTTCTGTCAAGTTTCCTAATGACAGAAAATCTTAACGCGTGCCCTATTCTGTTTTAATTTGAAAGATAGACACCAACTCAATATTCTAGACGATTCATTCTGCATCAATATCGCGGTGTACCAATAAAATATGATACTACAATAATAGACATGCGAAGTAAAACTCGAAAAAAGTAGGCACATGGGCATGGACAGACAATTTTTGAGTCACATGGCGTTCCTTAGGGTTAATATTCGAAAAGGGAGAACAGCGATCGCTCTTGGAGTCGATGGTCACTCCAAAATCCTTTTCCCTTTTGTATGTACACGAAACGTCGGAACCGGTGTCCACACGGTTCTATAGGATCGATCGTGAGTGTCAGGTACGTCGCCGTCAGTCTGGGCAGCGGGGGGAAGGTATAGAAGGGACACGCACACGAACTCATCTCGCACTCGAGACATTCTTGATACAACGAGGACCGGCTTGAAAACTCACCTTTCTCGCTACCCTCGAGCCTTCGTCAAATGATCCTCCTCCGCAACGGAAAACATTGCAACAATAACCCGTCCAAAGCTAATAAGCCCGCTGTGTTAAAACCGATGCGATTCCGGTAGCTTTTTACTCATTTTCATGCTCACGTTTCTTGTCGACTTTCTCAGTCACCTTTTCTATATTGTAATTGTAAGATGATTCTGTTACTTTGTTTTTTAAGGAACTGTCGCGGTAATGTTTGCTTCCGTGTCTGCATGAACGTATAAGTGGAATCATATGTGTGAATTTATATTGGATATACATCTGTAGACATTTCTTCTACTTTCTCTTCAGTCACCTCAGCGTTTTTAATCCTCGATTTGATAGTCAGATAACCAAGTGTACGAGCTCGCGAATGCATGACTCGTTGAAACTCCAAAATGGGACGGGGAGAATTCAAGTCTGATGACGTTACACGGACGCGTGCTCACGCATTCAAAACGATTGTTTCTCTTGCCACGGGAATTATATTGACGCTTTTTATACTTCTACTGTTTACTTCGCTGTGCATTTATTGGCAGCAATGACAGTTAAGGTCAAAATTCTGTTTTCTTACGGAGACCTTTTACCCTTCGAAGAAGCCTAACATGAGCCTTGATATCCTTTACTTCTGACATGACTAACCTTTGCAAACTTATTGATTTAAGCAGAAGTGACTACAATGAGTCAGTACGTTATCTTTACTTATTCCACTATTACAGAAATCTGTATACTGCGTGCCAAACCATCGGGCGTAGCAAAAAGTGTGTTTAAAATAATATTTTAAGACCCTTAGTAAATATCTTTAGAAACACAAATCATTTGTTCCACAGTCATTTTATCGTATTTTCACATAAAGTACATGGCATCTCACAGTTTGTTCTGTAGTATCATTTCTATGTGATTCACGGTAACAAAGACCATTTTCCTAGTGATTACACCGTGGAGATTAACCTTGGATCGCATCCGAAAAATGTCAACGTTGCTCGCTTTATGCCGCTGTCGTTGTCCTAAAAGGCCAACAGACAGAAGCTCGGCGAAGCTGCACTAATAAGCTTTTGTCATTGAGCAATGAAGTGCACTGCCGTGTGTGCAGCCTCCTGTTTCTTTTTTCTTTCGTCTCTCTTTGGTCTAATACTAATAGAACCAGATAACCGGTGAACGTGTGCCGGGTGCACGTTCAGAAGATTTATCTGAGATATACATCATTGAGTTCGGTTCATTGATTTCTACGGCAGAGACGGGTTTAGCGCGTACCGTGAAAGTGATATTACGTTACGGACCCGTGTACAACAACACGTGGTGTTTCTTTTATGGCGGAGTTTACATAATCGTGCCTCGATTGCTCCTACCCTAGGGGCACATTTATTAATAAACAAATAAACATCATCGTAGCACTTGGTTCTGACTTGTCGCGGTCGATTTTATTGATTTACCATGCTGGCAATTTATCGATTTGTATCTATAGATCATGACGGATGTTTTTAGAATGAACGATACCCGTAGTCTTCAGTTCTACGTTTTCAAGTAAATGGTTCTATGTTTGGGAACAACGGAAGCTTCGTTTTCGAGAAAAACGACCTTGTGGAGCAATCGAGTACCGTTGCTCCGGCTGAAATTCCCTTCCAGAGGCGATCCAGTTATGTACACCGTCAGCTAAAATGCTTCTCCAATTTAAAACACTTTACGTACTGTTTTCAAAGTCGGATCACTGAAAGAGATTTATATAATTTTTAACACTTAAGAAGCCTTACCAGTGTGACCACCTAAAATGTAGGTCATTTTTGGGAATTTTTTTTTAAGAAAAGTGTTCTATGGAATTTTTTTTAAACTTCATGAATGCATTTGTCTATAAATAAACTGTATAAAACAATTTTTTCGTACAAAAATAACTAAAGGCGACCAAGTTATGCGCTATCTCCCGAGACGCCAAAAAAAAGTGCCTCAACTGCTCACATCATACAGTTCGCTAGGGTGCCTGAAATGAAAAAAGACAAAGACGCTCTTAAACTAGACATACTTTATTCTTGAATGACGTAGGATATCTGAGAAATGTTGAAATCTGACAAAATAGCGGAGTTTTTAAGAAATTTTTCGATTTTTCTTTAAAGAAATTGTCGTTTTTTCGTTGCCAAAATTACAGTTTTCATTACACCAGTATTATCAGTTACCTTATGTCTCTTACCTTGATTATAATACAAAAGAAAAAATATAAGTGATTGACGAGTTACTTGGAATTATATGAAATTTGTTCTCTCTTGTAAAAATATAATTCGAAAGCGATATTACCGCTACAAAATATCTTGTTTAGCAGAACAATCAGTCAACTCGTAACAAGCAACACGCAAACAAAATCGTATAGTCGCGTGGAACTGGAGAACGTAATAGAGGCAACGGAGGGTGATCGTTGCCGGAAGTTTGGCACACTTACCAACATTATCACGGATACGATCGACAAGAGAGACCTGTCTGGTTGTGACAGTGTACATGGGTGTGTCGGTTCCTCCAAAAGCAGTCTGCATGAGCTTTACACGATGATTGATCCCCGTGACAAATATAACGGCGGCACCGGAAATGCTGCACGCCGGATTAAATATTAGACCCCGTTGTCACGAATCATCCGGTCATAAGTTTAAGTTGTCTACATATTATACGACAGTATGTGAGCAAATTTCGCGTCCGGTTTCTACCGAACCATCTTTAATAAGAGGGGAAAATATTTTGTCATTCAATTTCATTCTGACTAGGCAAATCATTTTATACCTTGGAGCGAAAGGATTGTTCCACGCGATAAGATAACGATAAAGTTACTCATCGATATGTTGTTGATCGATTGTCAAGAGTTCACGAGGGATTGAGAAACACAGGCGTGTCGGAACGATCGAGACGTATGCGTAGGTGATCGAAGAGCGGCACGTGTATGAAAGCGCGCGCGTAATGCCCGGTTCACGCACGATGAATTAGGATTTATTCGCTCGACGCACAATCGTCGCAGGTGCAGCCGCAAACGAGGACAAGGGCCTCAGAATTACGTAGACGAATACACGTGTAATCGAGCGTTAAGTAATTTACATTTGTAAGGGTGCGCATGGACCGTTTGACGTACCCACATTGACCCGATCTTTTGAATGAGTTACAAGCCCGTTTTTTAATTGGGGGAACGATTTAATTGTAGTAGGGTTCTTTGTGACCTATTTGTATTTTAAGAGAGAAAAGCCCCTTATAGCCCTTAATGAACGAAATTACTTTAAAATATTTCATTTATTAAACTGGTAGCATTTTATATGTACTAGATTGTTATAAGAAGTAGAGATGTAGGAATAATCGCTGTTTGACAAGAGATACGAAATCAAATGGACGTTAATTTCAATAAAAAGTATTCTAGTAATCTGCGAAGAAATCTTCTTTATCAGATCTCGTCAGAGTAGAATAGAAACTTGTATGATTGTAATTGGCAATGATCATTCGGTATCGCGTTTCATATCAGTCGTTTGACCTCCGCAACGTTAAGTCGCGCTTTTAATTGAATGATATTATTCTACCTAAGTCACGATCAATCGGGTTGATTTAAAAGCTCGAAATTCTTCATACAGAAAGCAAGCACAGCGTAGGTGCTGAGAAAATCGGCGGTTCACTGAATGAAATCGTTTGATGCACCGAGCACGAGTTCTGAAGGAGACTAGGGTCATTGATATGCGAACGGAACGAAGACCTTGGCAGTCCCGCGAATTCTAATCACGTGTTGCGCATTGCATACTCTCGAACGAGAATCGTTTCTTTATCTTCAGTTTTTCGTTGCTTTTTTAAATGATTTAAAAATGAATGTACGAAAGAAAGTGACAGAAATATGTGTTGAGTTAAGGATAAGCGTATCTACGATACCTTATCTAACGTTTCCTTTGTTAATGAAGTTATCGCAACATTATCTGAAAGATCTATGAAGGATTATTATTGTCCTCACCTATACCGCATCATGCTATGAAAAGAATAATACATCATTAAATTAATTTACAATTCATAAAGGCAAATACAAGGTTTCTGATGATTTCTGTGGATATTATAAATTGTCCGTTTAGTACTCATTCATGATTAATTTATTGTAATTAAACAAGAAGGAATTGAAATTTGTCTCATGTGCAAATATTCCGAGTTTAAAAATGTATTGTACTTTTATTGCAGGCTGAGTCCGAAGTAGCTGCTCTGAACCGTCGTATTCAGTTGTTGGAGGAGGACCTCGAGAGATCGGAGGAACGTCTTGCAACGGCCACTGCTAAATTGGCAGAGGCGTCGCAGGCCGCAGATGAGAGCGAACGGTAAACGAATGTCACATTTTTATCGTTTCACAGCGATGACTCGAGCACCGGACGACCACGTAAATCTTATAAATATCCGTCGGCGATCGCTGCGATAAATGTATGCACGTTATAAACGAAGGGATATTTATAATGAAGCCGTTGAGTGCGGTTGTTCTACTCAATGGGTAGATAACAACACCCTGTTTGATTGATCGATTCATTCAAAGTTCGTTTCTTCGCTGTTAATGAGCTTGGTACCAACAAAGTTTTTATTAGAAAGGATATTAATGAGAAGAATTGGCGAACTAACGAGATGCATATGAAGTTAGACGATACGTAACAAACTTTCAGCTGAAGTAGGGTTTGTTATCTACTCTGTAATATAATAAGGATTTCAAATGAAGACTAATTTACGTTTCTCCTTTAAACTCAGAAGATATTATAAAGGAAGTCGGCAAAGAAATGAGTTGATATTTTAAACAGAACGATTATTTCATATCACTGCAGTAAATAAAATAACATTATCGCAGTAGTAAAATGTTAAGAAACCTCTCGGTGAGTCATTTTACGCAACATCGAGTCATTTAGACCATAGAATACGTGGTTTTTAGTTTATTTTAAATGACTTTTATTCCTTACAGTATCTTCAGTTTTTAACTATTTTATCTAATTAAATATCGAATAAGGTCGTACGGTGCTCTGAAGCTAATGCCGATTGTTAAAAGAAATTGGGTCGAAGGAGCGAGTATATAGTCTATATTAAACGATCGCATATTTTCCGTTCTATTTATACACGATCCCACAATACTGCATTGTAATGTTTCGCGGTTAATACCACGCCGAATATAGAGCTGACAGAAGTTATATTTATCTGATAATCGAATCTGCTCACACACGCGATTACACGGTGAAAAGCACGAGATTGCGCGAGGGAAGTAGCAATTATTGTAATTTTATGAACCGTGCTATTCTCATTATGCGCAAAGCGAGTGTTTAATTATCGATGGACGCGTTCCAAGAGGTGATGTAATTAAACATTACACGAGCACTTCGATCACTACTGGAACAACTGGTTGCGAAAGAAAGTAGGACAAATTTTATCACAATTGAAACCAGTAATTGATCAATAATATCCAGAATTAGACAGAAGTCGTACATTCTGGGACACCCTCGACATCCATTAGCTGACTAATGGATTTATCAATATTCCCTTTTCTTTTTTGTTGACTATTATTTGATTATGCTACCTTTCATATCGTTAAACGAATCATTTCTGAATCACGTTCGATGTGAAAATTTAGTATGCGTCGTACTCAAATGGCAATTATAATAGCTAATGGGTTAATCGAATCATATATTCGCTCTTTCGCTCGAATTCAGATACGCGTCACGATATTTTTTTACCAATAGGACTAACTTCTCGACGTTAAAAGAACTTTGAAATGTTATTTTCCTGGAATTCTTTGCTCGATTATTAGTTGCGTTAGTAGTGATTATCAGCGATTGGAATAGTGACTTAAGTGTGCCTCTAATCGATTAAAACTCGAATGAAACGTAATATTATCAGGTTTGATAAAGAACCGGATGACGTGTTCGCGGTTTCACGTCGCGGAAAACGAGACTGATAATCAGTGGAGAGTTGCCGATTCTTGGCTACAAATTTCGCAAATAATTCAGAAAGATATTTCATTAATTTTGCGTCTTGAAACAAATTTTTAAGTCACGTTTTTATTTAAGAATATAAACTGCAATTTTGCAAAGATTAAAAAAAAGAGATTTTCAAGGAAAAATACTATTATAAGTACATTTTTTATTTTTTGAGTTTTTTTTTTTAATTAAATCACTCATCGATATTATTTTTCAATTAATATTGCTGAGAAATCTTAGAATTTTTCTTTTGAAAGAGTAAAATCAATTTCGTATGTGAATAATTTTCTTTCAACGGCGATCAAATTAATGCTAAATGTCGAATGATAATCGATCGCTAGGATACGCAAGGCACTTGAAAACCGTACCAATATGGAAGATGACCGGGTATCCCTATTGGAACAGCAGCTCGCGCAGGCTAAACTGATCGCCGAGGAGGCGGATAAAAAATACGAGGAGGTGGGTCACGTACCAGCGAACAGACTATTTCTTTCGTTGCATCAGCCCTACGGGAACGTATTCGTGTTTATCTTGCCGAACCCTTATTCTTAAAAGGACAATTCTTTGATCAATTTTGATTGATACAAATATTATATTGATGCATATGAAGTGTCTTCTTTAAATATAGCAAGTGTAGTTGAAATGTAAATATCTTACATTTCATTATCCTAGATAGTAATCTAGATTGTCAATCGAGAAATCTATAAATTCTTCGAATACTCTGTCTACAGTTCTATTTATTAATATAGTTTGACTATTATTCGTTTTCATTCAATTGTGTTTCAAAATTTTAAGTATAAACGAATTGTACGAGAAGACGTAATGTTTGATAAATCTTGCTGAAATATAAACTATTTCTAATGAAATTATCTTATGTGTAATTTGATTCATAATCGTAGGCAGTGAGAAAAAACGTGATAGATGATTTTCAACTGGAAAATAAAAGTTTTAAAAACAAAATGAGATTTCATATGCACCAATCTAGTATTTGGAATGGAAATAAATTTTCGTAGAAAGTATTAAACAAAATAGAACTGCCCTTTATGGAGGGAAATAAAAATCCCTGTAGAAAACAGGTTCGACCAGGTAAATTACCAATTCGTTCCCGCAGGTGCACGTTTTCAGGTAGTAAAGCAGGTAGCTGGCAAGCAGTGCTGTGGCCACTCGCCGAGGAACCCTCGTCGCATCGGTGACGAGGCAACGATAACACTAAGACATCTAGCGATATTTATTACGTTTCGTAAAGTATGTTAATCCCGATTCTTTGTGATAATTATTAAAGAGCCCGCAAGATTCTCGAGAATCGCAGCTTGGCAGATGAAGAGCGCATGGATGCCCTTGAGAATCAGCTGAAGGAAGCCAGGTTCCTCGCTGAAGAAGCTGACAAGAAATACGATGAGGTTCGCGAGCCCACGACTGACAAGCGTGATGGCTGCAGTGACAATGTTCATGATAAAAATAATGATGATGATGATGGTTCCTAGTTGATAGTCGAGATAATAGTGCCTAACCCCATAACTCTCTGTCTTCTCTCTGTGTGTTCGAAACCACCGTGGCTCGATATCGTAACTTGAAAATGGAAAAACAAAAATTTATTCACGCGTTTTTCGAGCGGTCGCAACTAATCGCTTTCATCCACGGAAATATGAAATTGATATATCTCTAAGAATTATCGGGAAAAAATCGTCGTTTAAAATCCAAAAGGGTAAAAGAGTTGAAATTCTATGGAAAGTGATTTAATATGGAAAGAGGAAAGGAAGGTATTGATAATAATCTGTGATTTCGTCAAGTGAGATATAAATGATCGATCAACGGGTAAGAAGTGCAGTGCTCAAATAAATTAATTGCTCGTCGAGAATATAAATTAAAAGAAAAGAAAAAAATAGATGAATGGTGATACACATATGCGTATAAATATCAGTGTCACGTGTTTTGAGCCGCGACTTAATCTCACTGTATATCTGTGATTTGCAAGTGCTTGTCGGAGCAGAAAGAAAAAGAAAAAAAAAACGTAAAAAATAAGTTTCAAGTGCCAGTTTCATAAAAGTAGACAATGAAAATCTATAGTTTGCAATAAAAATCATCGCGCAGAATCGCCTCTCGCCCGGTGAACGTCGTTTGGTCCGCGTGTTCCGCGTCGTGTAACCGGAAACTGGCTCCGTAAAAAAAGAGAGAGAAAAAAGTTAATATAACCCATTCTGTGTTGTGATACCAACGAAGCCGTGTACATCCCGGTTTTGTACGCGATTAAAAAAATGGTGCTGCTTTTGTCCAAAGACTCCCCCCTTCTTTTCGCTTTGCTGGAATTCGGAATAGCTCTGAGAAATGTTCGAATAGTAAAATCCATCTGTTATGGTAGGTGGTGTCGCGTAACGACGTCGAAGTTACAAAGATTATACGATGCAAAAGGTCTAGAAATCTCGGGATATAAATCCTAGAAATTTTACAACAGCCATTTATCTTTCATTTCTTTTTGCAAGTTGTACATAGTATAAACTTAGGAATTTTAAGTAACTGTATACGAGGATTAATTCGTTTATGCTTAATGCACATTTATAACAACGAAATGAGATTTCTTTCATAACTCATTCGTTCCTTTCATTACACTGTTACATTCTAAACTTTACGTGTAGAATCTGATGCTTGAACAGTAGTTGTAAGGAATTATAATGATTCGCGGAACGTTCCTGGCACGGTAGAAAGAATTAAGTGTTACGAAAGCACAGTTCAATAAGCATGAACGATCCACGATTGTATTCGAAGTTACAATATTATATATTCGGAAAAAGAAAGTTCCATTATAACATCAGATACTCCTTCTTCGATGCATCCATATGGAAAGCATCTTGCATAAGTAGCAATAGAGGTTTCACCGAATCAATACTTGTCTGCTTTCAATGGTTTTCTTGAACAGATTTCTCAGATTTAAAACAGTGTCATTGTAACTTCAACGTTTCTTTTCTGACCCTGATAACAAAATTGCATTCACCATATTTTACAGAATGTTTTTGGATCAATAACCATCGACACTAATCCAGTTGTGTGATGTTTTTTTTTTACGTTTGCAGTGATAGCGTGTCAGAATCGAATGATCGTCAATTTTGATTGCTTGTGTCTAATTATCTAACTGCATAATATCATTACAGAAGCAGAGGCGAGCCCTAACTAAATGTGATGACAGTTTTCTTTAATTTTGTTTTAACATCATGCATTAAATCATTTACTATTGACCCCGGTTTGTGAGCGTCACGCAAACCTTACATCAAATTCAAATTGATTACACAATTGAGTCTTCAGAAAACAATTTCTTAAGTGTCTAATTTTTTTTAAAACTTTCTATGATCTAAGAAAGAGAATTGAAAAATTTCTATAAAATTATGGAACCGATCGTTTATCAAAGGATTTGCGTCACGTTCACAGAGATCATTGCATGAGCAGGAACGAAAGGTCTCCGTGGACAAACGAAAGGGAAATTCCATCTTTGTAAACAGTTTTATTTCACCGTCGAGGACGGCGTAAATTCTCCTTCGTTTTCCACGATGACCTCAGAGTTGCCTCGTGCCTTACGCGCAATTTCCATCGACTCGTGTCGGTCTCGAAAGAAGGAAGCGCAGAGAACCTCTCTTCGCTTTGGTTCTTGTATATTATAAGCTATCTGTCACTCCTCTTTACGAGATGCACTCCGCGACTGGAAGAACTTCGCGATAAAACTTATCTTAACGTGTTCTAAGCGAACCGAGTCACGAACAGTTTAATCTAGAATCCTGTTTGGGATTTCTGAATAGCCTTATTCCTCAGTTACTCGTTCTCGACTCGTTTAACATTGTTAGAATAATGCGTATGAAACGTCGTTTTAGTTTTCTTATTTTTGCCAATAAAGTCTCAATTAATAATGCAATGCATCTGGTGCAATGAAATTGTCTAATCATTTAGGAATATGTAAAAGTAATTGATCAAGATGTTCTACAGAAATTATTGGATCGGCAATTAAATGATTGCGGGTTTTGTTGATAGATTTCTTATTTAAAATCCGTAATCACTTAGTTGCCAACCTAATACAGATGTTGTGTTTGATGACGACGTTTTATGTGCACCAAGCTAATATCCACTCGCTCAATGTACGGTGGGTGAAAACGATATTCAAACGGGGAAACACGTTTCGCGGTTAGTGTTTCACTGGTTCAATATTTGCGATTCCATCGCAAGGCGGGAACGCGTAGAATACAATTAACCCCTTAACCGAAGGAGACGATGCGCGATGGCGAGTCGCGAGAATAATTGCGCGGATATTTGCGAACGAATAGAGAGATGATTAAGCGGTTCCGTCTCGTGGCTCCTACGAGCTTGTACTACTTGATCAAGGACACGCGAAGAACCGCGAGCATTCAGAAGAATTTGAATTAAGTGGCATAAGTCACATTTGTAAGTTTCTAATCGGAATTTTATGAAGTATCTACCTATATACAGGGTGTTTGCGAAATAGAGATACAACCGGCAAGGGGATGATTCCTCACATAAAATCTAGCCGAAGACAAGAAATATAGTTTTTTCATACGGGGCGGCATTTTCAAGAAAATCAAGTTTGAAAATTCGTTAGTTGTACCTCTGGTTTAATGAGTAAAAACTCGATTTCATGTATACGATTTCATGAAGAGTTAATTTCGTGCAGACGAAATATCAGTATGCCTTGTGGTACCAAAACAAGTCTCCGGTCAATCAGCGTGACTCCCTTGCTTGTTATCACCAGATCTGTTTGCTCTTCGAAATTCGCCACGTTTAAGGTATCGTTGTAAAAACTGTCGGAATCGAGTCGTAATGGGAGCCACAAAAGGAAGCGAGTTCTTCCAGTTTCGTAGAACGATAACCGAGAGCCGGCCGGAATCGTGGTGAGCTCGACCGTGGGGCGGTAAGATCGAGGCGCGAGATCGTCGATCTTGGCCCAGATGCCTGATCGAGGCACCACGCCGGCCGGCGGATAAAGAGAGAGGGAGGAACAGCTTAAGCTTAAGGTGTTGCCAATGTAAGAAAGACGAAAACGGAACATAAGGAGAAACCGTGTGTATGTGTCGTTTATACAGGTCGCCCGTAAATTGGCCATGGTTGAGGCTGATCTAGAACGTGCTGAAGAACGTGCCGAGGCCGGAGAGTCGTAAGCATCCGTTTTTCAAAAATCGATCAGCACTCACGCCCCTTTTTCTTCCATTAATACATATTATATATACATATTTGGAGTTTGAAGCGTGTGCCAATTACCCGCCAGTTTGTCATGTCATTTCCCCGTTCTCTTTTTATCGTAACACTTTTTTCAAGTATTCGTACCCCTAAGAATATGCATCCATCACAAACAGGTGTAGAGACACTCGTGTTGATGACGATTAACAACACACGGTCACGTGTCCAAGTGTTTAACACATGTTTTCGCATTCGTTTGATCGTTATCTTCAATTTTTTTTTAAGAGAAGTTAGACGTTATTGATTGGAACCGAAGAAGTTATTTTAATAATTGTAGTTGGTGTTATGTCTTCAGCACTTTAACGAAAGTGCGTTAGTCTTAAGAAGAGAAATTTTAGTCTATAAATTAATAATTTCTTCTTTACATCCAGATTGTATTACGTATTCTGTTCATTGACTGAAATTTCTTTTCGAACGTTGATATTCAAGAAAATGAATTAAAGAACGAATTATTTATATTTTTTAAAAATTGGAACGTCAACATTTTCTTGGATGAAAATCATTTTTATAGGATCGCTTGTTTTAATAAATATTCGAATCACGAGCAAGTAGCGGACCGGACGAAGGACGAGGAGCAGCAGTACCGATGTTGATCGCTTGCATGCGTCCATGACATAATCTTTATTTTTTGATTTTTACTATTTTTACCCTGTTCATTTTTTCTATGCCCCTTATCATCCTTGCTTTTCGCATGACACGTGTGGCTGTTGATCACAGGTCGCCAGAAAACTAGTCATGATGGAGCAAGATCTTGAACGTGCCGAGGAGAGGGCAGAACTTTCGGAAGGGTAGGTGATTCAATTTGTGCATGAGTCACTGTTTTAACCTTTATCCGGTCCCCACTCAATATTCCTCAAACAGACGCTTATCTCTAATTATGAGGAACGCTGGTTGATAAGAAACTGTCGTACAACTGTTCCAAATTATGTGTGTAAATAATATTAATGAAAATTCAAATGAGATCTTTGCATATTTCGAGATACGTTGTATGACAAATTATGAAAACATGATATGAGTTTACTGACATTGAAACGTCTTGTGAAAACAGTCTCGGGATATAACTGCAGAAACGTGCATTAAATTACTTATACTATACACGGTGTCCCAGAAAAGTGTTAGAGCCGAAGAGAGGTGATTTTGGAGGTGTTTCTGAACAACAATTTCCTTTGTAATGCAAAGTGAGGCATGGTTTTTAAATTATTAACGAGAAACACAGACCAATAAGCCATGGCCGAGCCATTACGATCTGAACCAATCTACTCGTGGTTGGGCACGAACCCCACGCGTACACTCATTGGTCAGTGTTTTTCGTTAATAATTCAAAAATCAAGGCTCACTTTGCATTTTACCAAAAGAAATTGTTGTTCAGAAAAACTTATAGAATCATCCCTCTTCGGCTGTAACACTTTTTCTAGGACACCCTGTGTATTGCGACTTGGGTCTCTGCATACCTAATATATCATGCGGTTATTATGCATAAAGTAAAATAGCAGGAAAACAGTTTGTAAAGTTAAATCGACCAGCAGTTCGTCTAACAAACAAGTACACTCTCAGGTAGGAATAGAATTTACGATCCGAATTCTTGGTAATCGGTTCCTTCGTTTTACAGAAAAATCGTCGAGCTGGAAGAGGAACTGCGCGTTGTTGGCAACAACCTGAAGTCCCTCGAGGTCTCCGAAGAGAAGGTAAGTACCACCGGAGACTAGCCGTGACAAATACCTACAAACTCTCGAAATATCTGTTTTACTTTCTCCTCCTTTCGAATTCATTTCACGTCTACGTCGGAACAAATATCTATAAGTCTTCTATCGTTCATGATTCAAAAATATTTCTCATACGTAAATGAACTATTTTAGTGATTGAAGTTCCACTTTTAAATTCCTGAAACTGGTAATATAAACGCGATTCGTTTGTTTAAATTAAAACGATCTATTTGAAATCCATTAACATTATAATCCCTGTTTATCCTGTTACTCGTTAAAAAACCCCTGCCTCTTTTAGAAAATGTATCGTGCGAGATAAAAATTTGTTGCGAAAGAAACAAGCAATACAGCGATAGAAAAAAGTTACAAAATAATATTTTCAAGGTAAAGATAAATAAATTTGTACCTGCATAGAATCCAGTTTTATGTATCGCTACATTCGTTACAAAATACATATTGAACGTAACAGAGTAGGAAACAGAAAGTAGAAGAGTTGGATAGGCATGATAAATTAGAAAAAGCAAAACGTGTTGGTGGATCGATAACCTAAATTCTTACATGAAGATACATAATGTCTTACGTTACCGTACCATAGGCCAACCAGCGTGAGGAGGAGTACAAGAACCAAATTAAGACTCTTACCACTCGCCTAAAGGAGGTACAGATCCTTTTTGAGAGTGTTTTGCATCTTATTTTTTTGCCAGTGTGATTTGTCGTCGCAATTACGGCATCATTTCCACTAAACCAAGATATTGTTATCGTGTTCACACTCACCCTGTGCAACCCTCACTTATACTACCTTCTCAGTAACCTAGTCACTGATTGTCCAACTGTCTTTCTTTTATTTATTTTTATTTTTTAACCTTGTATAGCTAACATGAAACAATTTTTTTTCTCTTTTTTTCCGCTTGACTAAAAATAGGCAACACAAAGAGAGGAGACTTTCGTCGGCCAGGTGAAGATACTGGATAGCCAGTTGAAAGAGGTAAGTAAAAAGTGGAAGTTGGAGGACTTTAAAATTCGGGAGAATTTATTAAACAATTTTTAGAATAAGATGGTACACATTTTTATAGTGCGTTCTTACATTCGTTTCATTTTATTCCTTTATATTATAGTAACCATCACTCTTTTATTCTTTCACATTGTACATATTGTGTAGCATCGATGCCACTTTTTTTCAATTAAACACTAGTTATTTTTGTACAGAGTTCTTTTTTATTTTGCACACCGTACTCAAGCTCAGTTCAAGTGCATCGTATTTTACATATTACGCATAAGTACTTCAAATTATTATAAAGAATGATTTCCAACGAGTGGTCCAATTTTTAACGAGGTACGACTGTGTTGGGTGTTGAATCTTCTATTACAAAACATTTACGATTAACGATTTGAAACGTGTGCAGTTTACTAATATTATAACTATTTTTTTATCAGAAATATAATAAAATTGAAGCATGGAGTGCAGTTTTGTTAATAAACATGATGATAATAAACATAATTATGAATATGATTCCGTCGATTTTAAAAAAACAAATTCATATTTGCATATTCTTAAACTATTTTCAACAAGAAGTTAATGTTCTTAAAAGATACGATTTCTTATACGTATGCGTAATACGGTTCACTGTAAATTTTTGCCAATGACGCATGCATAAAATTTAGTTCTCCGCATAGTTGGACGAATTTTAAAATCGACGACAAATCACATGTAAATGACTCAGCACGAATACTCATTCGTTCTTCCTTTTATCACAGGCTGAAGCTCGTGCCGAGTTCGCAGAAAGATCCGTACAGAAGCTGCAGAAGGAGGTCGACAGGCTCGAAGGTGCGTATTCATCATGCATTACTTCCATACTTCGCAATTTTCAAAACTTTTACTTTCTCGGACGGTCATTACGAACCTTCCTCGAATTCCATGGACAATACGGAAATTGTTGTTGCCTCGATCACACTTTAGTTGGTTTCATTTCTAGTTTTATACACTACGTTATTTTCTAAAGTAAGAAAGAGAGAGAGAACTACGAATCGAAGGTTTATAGTCGAAGGGAGCAGATTACGAAAAGTAAGATTGCATTCAGACGAGTTGCAGTATAGAGATAATCCGTTAGGGACTCATAACATCTCTTCCCGAATTGACAAACCACGTGTTTGAGTGCATCTAATTATTAATACAATCGCAGACGACAGTCGTGTAACAAATTTAGGACTTCTTCCTGACAATTTGAACAATTTACAAATCATTTTTAATTTTATTAATGAACTATTGAAAATGTGGTTGTTATAAACATTTCAATGGATTCTTTCCTATTTAACGAACAGTTACGCCTGTCGTTTGCCTCGAGAACTGTTTGCCAGTTTTCATACTAACGACGATGACAACCCAAGAAACGGTGACGCGTAATCATCGCGTCGCGTCGTCGAGTATGACTTGTGCGTTTGTTCACTATAAACGATGTGTACGTCCTTACCTAACAACCCCACAGCGCATCTTTGCGATTGAATCGGAATCGCACGCATGTGCAGTTTCTCTCTAACAAGTAATCTTTACAGACGACCTTGCCGCCGAGAGACAGAAAAACAAATTGCTCCAGGAGGAAATGGAGGCCACCCTGCATGACATCCAGAACATGTAAATCGCGTCTCGCGGAGCGAACAGAAATACGAGAGAGAAAAAAACGAGTAAAAAGATATTTAAAAAAATGTTTGAAACAAAAGCATACGCGGCTATTAGAGCACGATTCTTTCGGAACTTTAATGAAACAAAAAAAAATGAACAAAAAGAAACAAATAATCCGTATAGAACGCAGATATTCGAAAAGGGAATGAGATGGGGAACAGACGGACGAATGTAGGAATAAGGGAGGGTGAAGGGAGTCGGAAAATGAAAAAATATCGTCGAAGTAAAAAGAAACAATTCACGCTGTGCGATGCGAGCGCTTTTGTGTGTGGTGCACACCATTAACGTTTATAGAGGGTAAAAAAAAAAGAAAAACCCATGATACTGCCTCTTCTAGGCTAGACTTCACACATCTCTCCATTGTAACGCTCATCTCGACGAAGCGCCCTGGTTGCGCACATCCTTTCCGTGTGTCGCGTGTTTCGTGCATGTGTATCCGTTTGCTATACCGTTGCTATTACTGCTCTTTCCTGTGCGCGCGCGGAACGTCTAAAGAGATCAGACGTCTTGGTAAAAAAACATGGATCGAGAGAAACGAAGGGAGTGGAGACGAAGATAGCATGAGAAAGAAAAGGTAGGGTGTGCAGTTTGTCAAAGTGATTCGGAACTAATTCCTCTTTTTCTTTTTCTTTTTGAGTTTGAGTTTTTGTTCAGTCAATCAAAGCATTAACTCTTTTAAAGCTGCGCTCGCTTCAAATCGATGGACATCGTCGATTTCTAGCGACTACTAATCATGCGAATGTACAACGAGCATTTTAAACGTTATTCTGAAGTGGAGAGATCGATAGATGGACGATCGATCGTAACGTGTTATGTCGGGAAGGAATTTTCGATCGACTCTGTCAAGTATTTTCAGCCGGTTACGTTCCGCTATCGTATGTCGTGGTCTCGAAGAAAATTTGATCCTTTGCGGTTCACATCCGGTCCAATTTGATTCGCAATCGATCGCGTATAACGTTCAACTGATATCACATTTATATTATTATACATCTTGAATTAACGTATTATCTATCTTGAAATTATTATTTTCGTTTCAAATATTAATTTTCAAACATGAAAAAGTTGTCGATGAAGTATTAATTAAATAACAATCTATATAAAAAATTTCGATCCATATGAAACGTGTTCGCGAAGAATATTTGACCGATTCAATTTGATGAGTAAATTCCTCCTCGATGTAAGATTACAGAATACTCGGATACAGAAGGACATTCATTATTCCTCGTTGTTTATATATTATGATGGTGCAGCGTAAAAAAGAAACTTTCTCGGCCTTCCTTCTCGCTCGTTTACTCACTGGTGATAATCTTTAAAAGCTTTTAAGATACCCTCACTGCCAGCCAGGTAATCCCTTCGAGGAAGAAATCCAAGATTAAAGCTCAAAGGATTAGCTAGTAACTAGTTGAAATTTAGAATTTAGATAGATAAACTAACTGACATTAGGTTTAAAAAGAAACACGATGCACTTTATAATAATGTTTTTTTATATTTATATTCGAATTTGTACATTGAGGGATTGATAAGTCATTGAAGATGATGGAAGGAGATGTAGAGTAGTACCATTGACTTTTTCATGAATTCTATTCTACATTTAATAACTTTTTTCAACAAAATTAACTACCACAATTTTATACCATACATTTTTTCGAAGTACCATTCGATGTTTAGTGACTAATAATCATTTAACGATACGGTCTCCAGATTCTATTCGTCTGGATTGAGAATTCTCGAAAGCTTCCTCGTTACGAAGGGTGAATCTGATGAATGTGAATTTCATAAACGCAGCAATCATTAGTAAAAGAAAAAACGAACAAGTAATAGTTTACTCCGGTTTCTCGGAGAACTATTCGATGATTATGATACCTGAACTAATTTATTACGTTAACAAACTTCGATAAAATGAATTGCAAAAGAAAAGAAAAGAAAAAAGAGGAACAAAAGAACCTCCATTATGCATATCTCACCCAGCGATCATTAATCGTCGTTGTTAATTAATATCGTCACTACATGACGTTGAACCCTAATTTCAGGGTGCGTTAGCGATATTTTTCTCCTCTCTTGTCATCGCGATGAAACTGCCTGTCCGCGTTTAATATCCCTTCGATAATTCTTGTAGCCAGTACGTGACGAAATCTTCTCGAGAGTCTTTCCAAGGAGAAATCAAAGAGTTTTAATATTGCAGAAATATTTAGGACAATATTCTGTGACTACAGAATTTTGTACACTTTTAATAAAATCGTATAGGCATTTTTTATAAAGTTTTCGAAGTAGCATGCGAAATAGAATCGAAACTCTTGGAAAGACACCCGAAAAGATTAAAACACAATGCCCTCCGAGCAGATGCATCACGGTTACTCCCACAGAAAGAAAGAATGCGTGAGACATGGCGAGCATGATTATGAAAAACGAAGAAAGCACAATAATTAACGATTCCATGCGTCCTACCGTTAACGATGATGAATTTTTTGTTATTCCCATTTTTTCCGGAATAACTGCTGATAGGGTGAAAGAAACGTGAGAGAATGATGATGTGTGCGTGAGGGAAAAGTGAGAGAGAGAGAGAGAGAGAGAGAGAGTGGATAAGAAAAGGAAATGCAGATACTTGAGTTTACACACATGAGAGTTTGAGTTTATTAATTTACTTAATATTAATAATGAAACGAATGGATCGATAATAACACTAATATCATTGTAATGATAATGATTATTATATATATTGCTATTATTATAAAACTGTTTATAATATATATTTTAATTTTGAAAAAACAGCGTGTCGTTTGTTTTTGTTGCCAAGTTGTGCGCCTCTGTAATTTTATTAATCATTCATTAACCAACGCCGAACGATTGTTTCCCGATTTCTTAACGAAATACGTACTGACTTTATCTAACGCGTATACGATGCGCTATAACACACGACACTACCAATTGTGTTAGCTGTGCGTAGTTGTTGCATGCCAAGACAGATGAAAGGAGAACCGATCTATCGATGGTACGTATGGAGGTGCATAGACATAGTGGTGAGTACACTTGCTTGTTTTTTCTCTACTAGTTTTACGAGTCCGAAGTCCCGTTACCAGCATGACTCCAACCCTTTTCTAGATTTCTGATCGAGTATTTGTACAAAAAGTAGTTAATGATGCAAAGGTCCTTCTTAGGTCAAAGTCGTATGATTCATAGGAACAAATATGGTGATGGGGCCATCGCTTTTCTTCGGGTCGCCGTAGCCTCCTTAATCGGAGAACGTGACCTTAGGAAAAGACATTTTTTATGGCGCCGTGTTTGCCACCTTGAATTCGTCCTTGCGACTTTTAATAAAGTCGCTTTTAAAAATAATCAAAGTCTCTGGTTACCATTTACCTTTCTTAAAATTTAAAAAAAATGTCATGCTCCCTTAAGAAACTTAGAACTTTTCAAATAGAATTAGCGTTATCCACGGAGAATACGTTTGTACGTTTAGAATTATTTTATAAATTAGTTTAAGAATCTTAATCTTAATGCTATAAAAGTAAGATTAGATTGCGTACATTTCACAGTACATTACATCATATTACATCAGCATCATGAGCTATAATTTACGCTTCGAGCTACACTTCATTCTCGGCTAAAATATCAGCCTCATTCATCTCTACTAAAACCGCCCAGCGAGAACATTCAATCTGCTCCGAAGCCCGTTTCCTGTCCACGCCACAGACGCTTTCAGACCTCTTTAATAACCCAACAGCTTACCTTTTAGAGCTTAAAATCTGCTCGAACACGCGACATCATGAGCAGATTGACAATTGAAGACGACCCGCGCGAACGTCCGTCGAAATAACATTGCGAATGCTTGCAGATGAAATGGTGATTGAGAAGGAGAAATTCAAGGAGATCGGAGATGGCTTGGATCAGGCTTTCCAGGAACTCTACGGCGTCTAATGAGCCACTAACCAACTCCCCTAACGCTTCGACCAAACAAATAAAAAAATAATTTGTACATTACTATATAATACCATTAAATATCATATAGTCATCCGCCATCTCATAATCTCGCTTGCACTTAATACATAATCCGTAAGTTACTTCACGAGCTTCTTAACATACTTACCTAACGTTCTCAGGGTTCTTAATTTAGTCATAAAACCGCTGAACCCCGCGAGAACGTCTTAATGGCTGCCGAGCAATCGGAATCCCTCGTATCTGCAAGACGAAGGATATCCGAGTTGACTCACCTTCGCATACCCTGAATATCATAATTTGCTTTTTGAACTCCTTATTTTCTGAAAGTGCCATTTTTTATAAAACTTTGGTCTTTTTATTCTCCGAATAATTAATAGAATTTTCAAATAAATTTTCAATTATTAGTTCAATCTATTTTTAACAGACTATTGTCAAGGAGGCCAGTACAAGTGGTTTAAAAATGAGTAATTTTTAACATCAGCTAATCATTTTTCATTCGCGCGTTCACGACGAGAATATTTTATAATTTTTAGAATCAATATCTTATTTTATAGGATTATTATAGGATAATTACCTGATATACATATGTGTACAAGTGTAGTGGTGCCGATTGCACCAACTATTTTTAATGATGACGTTTTACCTTTCAGACGAGCTCGTACACGAGAAAGAAAAGTACAAATACATCTGCGACGACCTGGACCTCACCTTCACCGAGTTGATCGAGAAGAATTAATTGATAATCGGCGATCGTACGCGTCCATCGGCTATCGAAATAATTGGCTGATCTTGTCCACCGACGAACACAGTGTACGAACACACACGGTCGAATCACGAAACCGGCCAAACCGCTTACGTCACTATTACTATTGTTGTATTTAAAAGCTATTGCGTTTGAAAGAAGCAATACCTTCCGCGTTTCTTTGCATTCGATTCCTCTTTAGTTCTGTTTTTTTTTTATTTTACGCTATCATCCGCATTGTTCCTTGATTTTATTTCTTTTTTGTAAAATAAACGACGATCCTTGACTCTCTAGATTACGGTTAGTCGAGTCATTCGGTCACGATGATTCTTTTCCGATTCCGCGGCAAAACGTATTTGGTAAGTATACTCACGGGCGATTTTCTTATTCATCACGAAACGCAAATGTCGATGTAGCCATAATAGGCAAATAAAGATCTAGTCCTAAAATTCGTCTATTTTTTATTGCCAATCATTGTACAATCATAGCTGAGCTGTTGAAGAAATAAATATAGTAATATACAAACATTTATGTTTCTTTCTAAAACCTTTTACCTATTAAATATATTTACCAATTAACAAATAATTCTTGAAATTGAGTTATCATAAAAGCGCTATCAAATACCCATGGAAATAAACATAACAACCACTGACACCCGATTAACGAAACTAATGGTAAAAATCGAACCAACTAATATGTTCCCGTACTAAATCATAGTAACATACTCTCTCTCTTTCTAACAAAATGATCATGGTGTTGGTAAATGAACCAGTATCCTTTGCTAACGCGGAATCTATCATCTCCCATTAATCCCACGTAACCCATCTCTTTTTGCATTACAGACGTGGTGGTAAACGAGCGCTGTAAGTACAAAGCGATCGCCGACGAGATGGATCAAACGTTCGCCGACCTGGCCGGATATTAGCAGGCGGGCTAACTTTCTGGCAGCTACGTCTATACTCACGTACACGTATTCACCCACACATATACGTTTCTAAATACAATTACCTGTATCGTGTTTTAATGAGAATCGAGGAAAAAATTATGAAAGAGATCACGCTACGTTTAAAAGTGACACAGCCAGCACGCGGACCCTCCGACGCACGATCGCTATCCTCGATCAGGACAAAAAGGACGCGATGTCGACACTCGACACCTCTCGAGACCTACACAGCCGGGAACACGCGATGGATGGAGGATAATTGACTAGTTTGATTTTTCTATGACGATTTCGTTTTATAAATATTGAAGGAGGACTTGGTTTAACAGGATTGTAGAATTCAAGTGGTTTTGCGTGATGGACGATTTCGAATTTCGAATGGTTTCGTTCAGAATATCCTGTGGATGAAAATTGAAAAGACTTTAGAAATTTCATGACACGATTTGATTTGAATTTTATTTAATACGACTGATTTAGAATCTTTGTTGTAACAAGCATTTGTTTGGGTCAAAGATTAGTGATATCTGACGATCTGATTTACGATGATTGCAGAGTATTTTTAGATCTGACTATCTATTATTATTAGACAGGAACGTATTTTAGTATTTAGGTTTAAGTACGTATTTTAGACTGAACTTCATTTTATATTTTAAACGGTTTTTAAAAATTCCGTTCTTCCTTCAATTCTTGAATTCATTCTAATGCAAGGACCAGTTCAATCAATATTCATAATTCTTTTTTTTTGTAGTATTTATCGATGCTCAGTCGCTGTGTAGGTGTTCTTTTATCCATTTTGTCATCATAATCGCAATTCATTGTTCGCAAACACCGTCCTATATCCGTTAACGAAGAATGTAATATTGAGAGTCAGTTTATTTCGCTAGAATAATAATCCTTAGTCTCGCATATCTGCCATTAAAATCACTGCGACAACAAAAGCGATTTGCTTAGTGCCAAGACATGACAGTAATTTTCGTGCAGAAGGACAACCAGTTTGATACTTGACGAAGTGCAAAATTGAGAAGACAAAAATTAGCGGACTTTCAGAAAGAATCTTTTCTTCCTCAAATATAATACATTATAATTTAATAGCTAAATCATTAGGGATAAAATTTCGATCGCTCGTTGAAATTGAAAAAAATGATAGAGGAGGATCACACTGCATTGTTTGAATAAAGAGAACAAAATTTTTCAGGACGACTTCTCAAATATTTTGCAGCAGTTGGTAGGAAGTGTGGTCTGGTCTATCGACTGAATTTTGATACTAATTAATTCTTTACAATTCGTTAAGCATTAGCGCCTGCTTCTTTTATTTCGTAAAATTGTCATTATATAAAAATGAGCTAGCTTTATATTGAGTGCTTCGCTTGAAAACATAATTTCGCGAAAAGTATTCTATATGTGCAGGATGGATGAACACTTCTTTTTCCTTACTTATTTTTACACGTACAATCACTTGCTGCCTGGTTGTATCAGCCATCCGGGCCTATGTAATATGGTGTATGAAGTTTTTAATTGAAAAATGAGAAAGTAAAGAAAGTAATAGCGAATTGATAATGTAATTGAATTTCTAAAATTATACAGCGATTCAAATGTGCTGTAAATTAATCGCGAGATGATTTACAACATCAGAGTTGGGCATTACTAAAAAATTTTGTACCATTGCATTTCTTGTCTGCGAATGCATCACGAAATTGCTTACATGCTCAATTCTTTAATAATAACTTTCATATGTCGAGTCAAATTTTGTCCAAGCCTGTTTCGTAAAGAACATGCACTTAATACCGCTAATAGCAATTTTAAAGAATAATTATCGTTTTATTGTACTTATAACACTACCAATAAACGTGCATTTTTTATACTTGAACTGGCGCATCTCTTTTACTTTTCTTAGCTTTATTTGCAACGGCCACGATATTTCTTTGTTAGTGAACTGATTTTATTTGTGCGGAACAATCGATGATCTCCCTGTTGCTTTAAGATCTCTCTTCTCTGTCAGATAATTTAAGTAACGGAGGCTTTAAATTTTTATAAAATTTGAGAAACTTCTATCTTATTATAGTTAAAAACAGCTGGAGAAAATCGTAGCGTTCACATTTGACATGTAATATAAAACAAAATTTTTCCTGCTGTGATAAATGAAAATAAATCTAGGCAACGTCTGGAAAAAAGGAAGGATAGTAATAACCATTAGCAATAATTTTCATAACATATTCACTGTTTATGATTTTCGTATCATAATAATATAATATTATCTGTTTTATAAACAACGCTAATATATATATTTCTGTATGCATTTTTCCTCAATTATAAATCATACATCTTTCGTCTTATCGATGTTCTATTACTTACAAAAGGGCATATAGTAATTATTATTATATTAATAATAATAAGAATAGTGCTAACATGTTTCCAAAAATATGAATATATCTCCTCGCGGTTTATCACGAAAAGTTGAACGACGCTCGCAACAACATCACTATTCACTTCTTCATAACACGTATGTATAAACTCTTCTTCTATTTTCCTACTCAGGTAAAAATGCAAAATTAATAGATACATGCGTCGAAGGAACCAAATTTTCAATACGGAAGAACGAAATTTCAAAATGTTAATTCACGGGGGAAAGAGACAGAAATAAAGAATAACAATGTATCTCCGCAACGGTCGCACAACGTTCTCGTTATACTTGAAATTTCCTCAATCAACTATAATATTATCTGTACATTAAAACCGAACATCGAGAAGCTATCTGTAAAGTCGATATCATCGCGGAGTACAATCTGGAATCGATGAAGCCGCATTGTACGCGGAAAGTGTACTTATGAAAAGCGAATCAATCCTTTCAGTACTGTTTCATATATCCATCCATACTGATTAGAAAAAATATTTTACTTCAGTAGTTTATTAAAGAATTTGAATTCAAAAGAATTGAATAGTTCAAAAGAGATGATTCGTTCAACTGCATAAAATCAGAGATCATTTAAAAAAATGACAAAGCCCTCGTTATAATTCTAAAATCTTTTATGCATTATGCAAAACTTTATTTCGAAATGATAAATGAAAATTATTATGACTTATATCTAACGTATAATATCTAGAAATAATACTTTGTTACATTATGTACAATCGGAAAATGTACGTTTCCTGAATAGCAGCAGATTAATTGATGAAATTATTCTATCGTCCGATCGTTATAGTCATCGACCGACTTTCGGTATGCGACTCTATTGATACAGCACTGAAAGGACCGTAAAAAGCCAGGATAAAAGCATCTTTAATACAGGCGAACTTCGCATCGTAAAACTTAACAGCTATTTATCGGTAAATGTCGGTTAATGTCATTAATTAGTCAAAGAGAAACGGCAATAAAGATTTTTCCAGCGATCGTCGCTCAGGCAAGTAGTGTAACGAAACTTTCTTATCAACAGAATTAGATTACATATTCTTCCTTCATGTAAACTTAACTAAATTCACTTTCACGATAGCTCCTAGAAAAACATTCTCCTGTGTGATTCGATGATACGTAACGCTGTTTCTCTTTTTTGAGTATATTATACCTACATACCACTATCTTTTCATTTGTTTATTTGTTCATTATTTTTTGTTCCTCCGCTAAAAAAGTAGCTCAAAAATTGTCCCAATCAACAAGTCTACGCATGTAAGGCACATAAATGTTTCTTTCTGGATCACAATGAATGATTGTATCATGTTGCGTTGGAGCTTATGAAATAATGCAATACTATCTAACTTTTGTAAATAAATATGCGATGCAAATTACATATTGTATGCTTCAACAATTCATGACAGAGTTCTAGTGTTGTTTTAAAAAGGTTTACAAAGACTGAAAGAATATTTTCATATTTAAAAAAGAGCTCTGCATCAAGCATTCAAAATAAAATGTTTAAAAAAAAAAGATATGTTATTGTGAAGTAAAGGTAAAACTTCTTCCAAGATAAAAGTATCAAAAGAAATATTAGATATAAATGCTGAGACTTCCAGTCTTTGTTGCAGTCAACAAACCATAATGGAATCATCGAATCAACGGAATGACTTCGAAAAACCTAAAACAGCAGCATGTGAAAAGGAAAAAATACTAAAAAGAAAATATTGGATACTCGTGTAAATAACTGCTATTGAACCAGAGGACACCAATCGTGTCCTGCGGCAGAGTGGTCGAATAGAATTTGGTCCCAACATGGAATTACCATCTAGTCACTGACTTCACGGAAACGTGAAAACGACGCAGGCACTTAGTATGAAAAAACATCACGATTTTTATCCTAAACGAACGAACATTGTTCTGATTCGATTAAATCCTTTGTTCGTCCCTGCGAAAAGGAAGATCGGCGATTTTGTTACTACCACGGATCATATCAGTTTCCCTAAACCGATTGAATACAACAATCGACCCGAAAAACGTTTCACTGCAATTCTCAACGCAGATCTCTGTAGCGTTTGCGCAAGTTTCAGCCGGCGCGGCGAGAAGGAATCGTCCGCCGTCTCTTCCTTTTCCGGAGTATCAAGAGATTGCTCTCGTCTCTTTCGTTTGCGCCACGTTTTCCCTGCAGAGCATTTTTCCGTCCAGTACCACCCGTCGTCCCAGCGAGTCGGGGACAAGGAGGACGCGCGAGGAACAGGTGCTTAAATCTGCGCCGGCTCAACATAATTTGCGGGCAACATGCCGTGTCGTCCTGTGCGCTGCACAAGACCGGTCATCCAGCCCTCATCGATCGCCGTGCAGTTCACAATCAGATCGCCGTCGCAGAAGCTCACTTCGTCGAGATCTTGGGCCTCGTAATCGTACATTGCTCTGTACACTCTCTGGAAAACAAAAAAGAAAGATTGTGTGTAAAAAAAAAAAAATAGAAGGTAATAAAAAGCAGTACAAAGGAACTATACCACATTAAAAATATTTGATGTAGAACAGATGAGAAACTTACTCCAACATTGGTGGGTGGTGGAGGAGGCGGCTGATGCTGTGGAACGTGGTTGTTATTCGTTGCCGGCGTTAACGATCCATAGTATTCATTGACGGGATCGATATCCGCCACAGAACCAATCTTCCTAGTTGGTGGATTCGTTACTAGAACGATTCATCATAATTATTCTAGCGGAAAAGTCGAGGGAAATTGTCAAGAAAGTTTCTTAAGAACGAAGAATTCTTGAGAAGATGCAATCCGTAAAACGACGTGTTAGCACGATAAATACGGTGTTCGAACATTCATACCCACGTAGTACAACATACATGGTGTACAAAAATCGTAAGCGGTGAATTGATGCGATCACGATTGATAGCAAAATGCACCATACGTTTAAACGAAAACCAACAGAAATGCTCTGCGACCAGGCACCGTTAACCACAACAGTTATCAAAACGGTAACACGTAAACTCAAAACCGGTGTCAAACGATCAACAAGCAGATCTGTCCTCGAAGGAAAAATACATAAATCCTAACTATCGTACAACTAATACACTGACGTTACAATAGGAGTGGCCGAACTGTAGTCACTTATCGCTCGAACTAATCCAATTAAACGGTGATCTATTGAAACTAACATTTACTGATTGCGTAATAAATGGCTGACCGACATACTCGCCTATACATGGAACGAGGAACCGAAGGTGTGTTTCAATTGCGTTCAGCTATCGTTTCATCGTCAATATGAGAGAAACGAGATAAAGAAAGTAGTACAGTGTTTATTTCCTGCACTGATACTAAAGCGCACTGAATTAAAATGAATCGGTCTGTATACTAGGTTGCAGTAGCTATAAGCTAAGAAAGAGTAACTCCGATGACTCTATAGAAATGGAGAAAGAAAGAGTCTGCATCTTGAAACGGACGGAAACTCACCTGCTCCCTTATCGCTCGTGTAAATGACCGTGGTGGCCGCTTGCCTGGCTGAATAAGGGCTCGGCCTCGCCTCGCTAAGGGGATCGTAATCGGCGATCCTACCTGGTGTCCTTTGCACCGGCGAATTCGTTGTTCTAGCGGCTGGTGGAGGATTCGCGTTCACGCCTGATGTAGGCGCGATCGTACCGTCCGTGTACTCTACGTACTCTAAATCCAACAATACACAAGCTTTTCGACAACGAACCTAAATCTTCAAACTTTTAATCTTCTTCAGCTATTGTCGAATTAATCTAATTTTCACCTATCTATTTTACTGTTCATTACTATACGCATTCACAGGGTTCTATCGCAGTATCAGTTGATCGAATGTACGAGGGAACGAGGGAAATGGCGTTCGTTATAAGACAAAAATCTGTAGCTGTGTTTAAACTTATGGATTAGTTTTCCTGTTTCTTATTACCATATATTAATAAAGGGTGGTGTAAGGGATGGATACATTTAAAACATATGTTATACAAATTTGCGTACTTTGATACGTGATGAAAACAAACGTGTAATGCGTTTAGACGAACCGAACGAATACCAGTTCCTCTTTTATCCTATCTATTGTTATTAACAAAAAATAAGCACAAATTTTTCTAAACAGATTAATATTCTTTGGATTGATCTAAACGCACCATAAGCACCTCCCGAAAACCATATTGCTTAACCAGGTACACATTAGAACCGTCTCACTGCCATTCACCAGGTACCAAATACTTGTTTAATCAAATTACGGCAATCAGATGAAATAAGCAGAGAAGAAATCGCCTACTCACCTATCTGTTCACCGTTTTCACCGGTCATCGTCCTCTTCTGCTCCATAATGGCCTTCTTCTGGAGCTCCCCGTGATAGGCCACGTTCGAGATGATCTTACTGTTCTGCTTGATTCTCAACATCTCTGGGTCGTCCGCCACCTGGGTAAACTTGCCCTTCGCTTTTTCGAACTCAGCGTGATACTTGACGTTACTCTGGATCTTCGTGTTCTCCGCGATACGTTTCAATTCCGGCGTCTCTGCCATCGTAGTAGCCTTCGCCTTTGGTATGTGTCTGCAACAGAAATGGGGAACGTGTTCAACTCTATCGGCGGAAGCTCGGTTATTAAGGGAACACTAGCGATTCCATTATGATGTAGCACGTTAGTTTGATTGACTAAAACAGGCTCATTCTTTGAAGACTTTACGTAACGATGTTGCGCCTACAACAGTGTAAATCCGACGCTGAGGATGTGAGATACATGGCCGGACGAAACTGTAGTTGCTACTTCCTCCATAGAGAAATTATGGAAATCGCGATGAATAAGACTTTCGAGTGCGCGACAAGCGGTCGATGACGCCAGTGCTTATCGCGAACATCCTTTGCAAACCACGTTTGATAATGATACCACAGAGAAGAGAGCACGAGCGCATACTCCGATTATGAAAAGTCACGGCGAGATGTGCAGAATCGGCAAAATTCATCGAAAATAGAATAAAAAGAAGTTAATTGCTTGCTACATTTCATTTTTACTTTATGTAATTAAATAATAAAAAATTGACACCAATGTGTAAAAATATTTACTTCTCATGTTCGATTAATTTATTATATTTTATATATGCAGCGATTCACGTGAAGCAAATTAAATATCATCTCACCATGCTGTACGATCAGAGCGATGAGAATCAAAAACGTAGATATGTATTTGATTGTTATTTAACTTGGTTCGTAATTCGTTGCAAGGTCCCGGCCGTTTCGCAAACTTCGCGCTAAAGACTTTCGACATCGGTCGCGATTTTCTGCCTAGCGCGCGATGAGGAAATAAAAGGCTTCGTATCGTGGGGTTCCGAGCCACGTTACGCGAACCAGACGCTCGACGGATCGAGCGGAATGGAATTACGAGGTCGTTTGCCGGAGCGGCGGCATATTAATTGAAAGAGGAAATGGTGAGACGACGCGATGAACGCGTGTAATCGAATGCGCATACGAAGAAACGATGAAAAAAACGAACGGAGAAGAGGGACCATAAAAAGGAGCGGAAGTAAAAGAAAAATTAATGAGAAACAATACTCTCGGCATTAATGAATAAATTCAGATACATGCATGCGTTGCGATGGTGAGAAGAATTTACTCGCGCCGCGTGACGAGGAATTTGTGGGGGCCTTATTCGTTTATTGGGAGGCAGCCACGCGATCAGAGAATCAAGAATTCGCGTAATCGTTTACACTTTGTTGAGTAATCGTGCAGCTCCGCGCGATAATTAAAGGAAAGTGAAAAGGAAAGTAGAGAAGAGAGTGGAAGGAAAATAAGAAGGAGAGCGCGTGGCCGTGGTTCCGCAATTAATATCAATCGAAGCAGACTAATAAACCGATATCGAGAGCGGCCTGGTCGTATAGTAGAAACGTTTCACGAAACAGGTCTTTCTGTTGTATATCCACATGGGAACAGCTGTATACATTATAACACGACTATTATCATGAAATGATAAAACTTATTTAAAATTGCAATGAATATCAACTGATCTCAATTAACATTTACAACTTAAAAATTACTTAAATCTTACTATCGTTCGATCGAAAAAAGTGATTCTATCCAATCTTCAATGATTTATTTAGAAATAATAAAGGCAGAAATATAAGAAAGGTTCACTAAGTGTAAAACCTAACTGCAAGCGAAATATTTAGAAATAAACTGAATCAGAAAGTAGTTTTTCAAGACATTATCAGACGACAGAAACATCATAAATGTTACTTTTGGCAATATATCAATTTAGAAAATTTATTAGGATTCTGTCATTGGTCCTGTTTCAATCTGTGAATGCATTAACCAGTTCAATGCGAAACTTAGGTGCATAAATGGTATCGCAGTCGGACTATCTATGCATCGGTGCATAAGCGCGCAATGCGATTCGATAAATCACGTCGCGTTTGTAAACAGCTTGTAATCTAAAGAAGCTCTTGTCAAACACTCCGCGATATGTACTATCGCGAATAAATACATAACCAGTAATATGACAAGAGAGTCCACAGTTTTTAAATTGTAAATGAAAAAGTGCTGACGTTTTGACGTGACACTGCAATGTTTCTTCGCTATCTAAAAAAAAAAAGAAACAGCATTCTAGGAACAAATTGACTGCAAATTGTTTTCTTATTGAATTTTCCCGCATTAGTTATTCATCATGTGCAGAGCCGCATAAAAATGCGAAGAGAGTTCAAGTGTATCCGTGACACAATATGCACTAACGTGCGACCATAGCGACTGACGATTAGTCATTGCGTTAGAACGCGCGTATAAATTATGTTTAACATCGTTTTATGAATCATTCCCGGTGATTTCCACGCTCAACTTTTTGATATCCCTACGCCTATCGAATCATTCATCCAGCAGGAATAGACAAACTCATTCACTTTGATCGGCTTCAACTTTTCCGCTACATTCCACAGTTAGAAAAATTCAAGACCCGCGTCCTGTTTCCTGCGTTGCGAAAGTCTCAGAAACGAAAGGTTTAATCTCGTACAGAATTAAGCAATTCTTTACTCGATAGCCACAGAAATCTAGCGTTCCCTCTCACCGATTCAATTATTACGGCTAAAATCATTGCACGTTATTATAAACTTATTCGTATAGCGTAAATCTTCCAAGGAAATGTAAAACGTTGTTGGGCAAGTTAAGAAGGAGGCAAGGTGAAAAGGAATACCGTACAAGGAAAACGAGGTAATACCGATTATCTCACACTTCGTTTGATCATTAATTAAATGTCGTCGGTTTCGCAACCAGGCGCGAGTCTGCGTCTCACCAAACAGCGATGCGAAATTTTATGCTGATGCGCCGAGGGGGCGACAGAAAATATATTCTATCCATTCACGGAGCGCACTGTAGAATGTAGAACATACACGGTACGGGATTCTGTGAAGTGGGCCCGACAAAAGGCCCGGAGCGCACCTATTATTCGTACATGGCACGGCGATGTGTTACGTAACCCCTGCTGGCACAATTACCGGCGTGGTAGACAACGTTATGGTTGCCGTACATGGAACACGGACTCGTGACACAAATCTCGTATACGTTAGTGTGCGAGGCGCGTGTGTTATACGACTCACCTTTTTACACCTTTGTATAGAGTTTACATGGCGCCAACTCGAGGACCATATAATAAAAGATCATCTCGCCTTTTTTAACATCTATGAGGAACTCATGGAATTCTGATCCAGTCGGAGAAGTACTTTTTTTTATGGAAAATGAGAATGCTTCTAATATCATTGTTTATATTTAATAAATAAATCTTACAAAAATTATTTATGATTTATTATATCATTCACGATTATGATTTTATTATAACATTTCAATTGAAATAATCTCTGATGGTTATTAGTTTGGAATATTTGTCAGTTTCATTTACAAACAATAAACTTGTAACAGAGGCAGTAAAAATAAAGTATCATGTAGTTGCAGTGAATCGCAACTGCGGACAGACATACATATACCCATACGAGTTGACTTGGAGAGCTACAAGGTCTCCTTTTTCCAATGACGTTCTCTAGAAATTTTTCAAGATTGGTCTTATTGGATTCCGTAACCGCGGGTCGAGGAATTGCGAGAATGGCTTCGGAAGTGACCGGCAGCAAGTACCGGCACAGAGAGACCGAACGAAACCTTACTTCGACCGCATTATTCGAATTCCAACGAAGGCCGAAACGAGATTCCCGTATTTCTTTTACTCTCTCAGTTATAAAGGTATCGACGAAAGACACTCGGCGTGGCGAGCGAAGCACAGCTTTTAGTATCGGTATCAAAATTAATCACCGGTTAGTTTCATAAAAGAAATGAAAAATTTCTAATGTGTTTCTTACAAGTAAACGTAGATAGAGAATGCAACATGTCAGCGAAATAGGGTTCTAAAATAAAATTACACACGTGCAGAAAGTATGGCTACCGCATAGGGTTCAGAGGTGCATTATGGGACAAGGTCGGTTCACCGTGGCCAAGCAGCCAGGTCACGCTACGTTGACCACCCCCCTTTACTACTAGCTGTTAAATTGTTCCGAGTTTAAACTGCACGCCGATGCTTCCGACCGTTTTCTTTTAACAATAAGGTTTTCTCATCGTGAACGAATTAAAAATAACGTCCTTCGTAACTCTACTTCTTATTAAAATAACAATATAATTTTATAAAAGAGGTATTGCGTACTTTTTACATCGCAAATGTATGTATGTATGTATGAAATCATTATCTCTATACGGATACTTCAAACATGGTACAGAGTACATACGTATGCTTTATCTTTACACAATGCTATCAGAAATGCTACAAGTCTTATCATATTTTTTCTTTCATATCTGATAATTCGCGAAAATGAATTAAAAGACCAACAATAAGGAAATATTATGTAAGTCTTTGATAGGTACATTTTATACAAGAAATGTTTAAATTGTACTCGTTTAATTACAACTAGTAAAGGGGCACTTTTTTTTGGCGTCTCGGGAGATAGCACATAACTTGGTCGCCTTTACTCAGTTTTATAAAAATTCCCAAAAATGACCTAAATTTTAGGCGGTCAAACTGGTAAGGCCCCTTAAATTGCAATTTTAATAAAATGAATATCTACATAGAACTAAAAAACAAACGATTGAGGAGGTCACGGAATCATGTAATGAGCATAAATTACGCACATAAATACATTGTACACGTGAACGTGTAACGACCACCGTTTTACGGTTCTAGGGTTTCAGTGTCTACAGTTCATATTTTATTCTCAGCTTCCGTATCGTTTTACGCTGTCGTTACATTTTTACCTAACGCACCTCCGTGAATCAAAGTATTAAATGCTCCCACCGAAACGGAATAAAAATATATTAAAAAATTTGCTTAGTCAGACGCACAGATGTAATCCTTGCAGATATGATAATTAGAGAAATCGGAGAACGATCTAATGATTCGCGATTAGAGAAAGGACCAATGATTATGAGAGTGCAAAGCTGATTGAGGTACACCGCAGAACCAGGCTCTGGTGGTGATCTCTTCTAAATAAGAGAAGAACGAGGCGAAGGGAAGTGAGTCATTCGCGGTGAACCAATGACGATTCGTTGGATGACATCATTTCCCCCGAGACGCGATGAAATTCGGCGGAGACGCTTGGTCGATTATGAAAATATCAGCGTCGCGCCGGAAAGAAACGATGACTCGCCCCTCGCCTCTCGATAAATTGAGAAACTTGTTTCCACAGAAATTTTAATCTTGAATGAAGCGACGCAACACCTCGAATAGTTGAAAACGATGGTGACTAATTTTTCCTTTAGAGTACGTCTCGAAGCAGTATATTAATTTCGAGGATTAAAAAATACCTGATAGGTTTTATCCACCAGAACGATTGTTTTTATAAGGTTTCCGCGAAACATTTATTAACGTAACGAAAAAGTTAGATATCACGCAACAGTGAAAAATAATGATTAATCATGTCCACGTGTCGCGATATCGATTACCATGATAAAAGAAAAATAAGAGAACGAAATAGCCGTTGTTGAGGGAACCACGAAAATGGAAAACGTCAGCGAAACAAAGGCGAACGCAAAGGGAACACGTGTTACCTTTTGCCATGGTCTTCGTATGGCAATGCAAGCAAGGGATACTTAATTCTACGCGCGTCGGCCGACGACAGAACCCGGAACAAGTGTTCGCGCGCATTTATAAGCAACAGTGCCATCCACTGGAGAACCGTTTCGCTTAATTCAAATTGTTTTCGCGACTCACCGACGTGGGAAACATCTGCTGCTCGGAGAAACGGCTCGTTGAACCGCATACCAGCCATAAACTGGCGAACTCGGACAAACAGTGAATGAAACAGCAAAATTAGGTAAGATTTAGACATCTTGTTCGCTTTTGCAAGTTATGCAATATTTTGTTCCCTCTGTATTGGGCTGAGAAAAATCTCTTTTACAAATTAACACATATCTGAAATTATACATTTTTAAATTGTTCATAAATTATTTTATTTAACCATGTATGCCATGTGGGCCCTTTATGTTTTAATTGAAAGTAAAAATACTGTTTCCCCAATTTAATAGAATGTATGTTCAATAACTTTACATATCGAAAAGATTAAATTACATGGTAATTTCGAGATTGAATTTTAAATTTCACATTAGGCAAGGACTAATGCAGCATATCTGTGTTATCTGTTCCTTTGATCTCTCTCGCATTGAATGATGCTTGATCGAAGGAGGTCATCTACCAGAGAATGTACGTACATTGCTCCGTTGCTCATATATGTATAGCATACGGGCTCATAAAAATTAAATGAACGGTGGACAGACGCGAGAAAGGGGGAAGATAAAGAGCAAGGGAAATGAAGGCGAGGGGATGAGGCAGGACCAGGCGGGCGTACACCAGACGAATGAATGAATCTCACGACTCACACGTGTTCTTTGCTGCTTTGCTTGTTCAGTCCATCTCAGCGTCTGATTCAACACGCATTGCCTAGCAGCCTAGCACATGCATTCGCGTTCCTCTTCTCGTGTGGAATGTGACGTTCCGTTCGTACGTTATACGCATCCCACTGCGTATACATGTACAGCTAGTAACAATGAAACTGAGCCAGCTCAGGCTTGTGTTAGTTTCCTCTAGAGCGACAAAATTCAAAACGAGTAATAAGTTTACATCTTATTTTGACGTGTTAAAGACGTAGACTTATTACTCGTTTTGAATTTTGACCACCTAGGGGAAACCAACACAAGCTCGAACTGGCTCAGTTTCATTGTTACTAGCTGTACATAATTCGACTTGCGCAATTTTTCGTGCATATGTACCTACACAGTTCGTAATAACTAAATTGTGGATTTTATATATTTGCAACAAGACTTTTATGTGCAAAACGAAATGAAGAATGCATGGAACATGGAAGAAAATGCGTTATATTGTGTATGCATGAGTGCACATCGTTAGTTTTTAAAGATGAAAGAAATCTTAATTTATATTTCACTCTTGAAACTGATATCTCGAAAGTTTTATTCTACATGAAAATCCGCAGTCTATATGGTAATAACCTCTGGGTCACGATGCGTGTTGGATGTTCGAATTTCTACGTACAGGATAATTCTAGAAAGGAGGCCAATGTACAGTTGTTTCTAAATCGAAGATAAAGAAAATTCCGGTGAGGTCAAGATGCTGAACGGTTTAACGAGGACTATCTTCTTTATAACGTGACTTCTATCTTGTGCTCAACAATCCGACTTAGCTGCCTAGTTGCAATTTTCTTTATACGCAACTGTATTCATTTTTTTCCTACGAATTTCACGGTAAATCTTTATTCTGATAAGTCACAGGGAATCACAATTTCTATTAGATAGTTATATTCATTCTGTGATTAAACGCGTTGACTCGGATTAGAAATTCCTGATCTACGAATAATAACCGAAGAAATTGTAACATCTGCGACATGCAACGTAACGCACTGCCGACGTAGACATAATTGCGTGAGGACGTTGCATAAATTTGAGTCTCTTCTGCTCGTGGCGGCTGAACCGTTTCGTATTTTCAAGTAAATTGCACACCGTTACGCGACGAATAAAGTCGTTTGAGAAAAAGAAGTGTGAAACCGCAGAGAAACGGAGATTCGAAACGCGGACCGAACGATTTCGTCATCGCAGATGCTTGCAAATATGTACTCTACGAGTCACTCCTGGAACTGCTTTACGGTAAAATGCCGTACGCTGATCTCCAACTTCGCCGAACATGTCACGATAAATAGATCGTCCTCGATCGTACATTAAGTTGTTCCCCCTTTCGGAGAACAGACTATTTCTTGGGTATATTATGGAAGTATTTGTATACAGGGTGTCCGATGAGGTATTCAAAAATCTTTATCCGCATATTGAGCAAATCACTCTGAACAAAAAATCCCATATATACTAATGCTGCATGTATTTTGTTTTTTACGTCAATTTTATTCAAAATTAAATATTCTGCCTATTTATAAAATAATAAGAATATCTTGTATGACGAAATTAAAAATATTCAAAAATTAGAGCATAAAAGGATTGAAGCAATATTACAAAAGTTTGTTTTCACAGATATTTATCAATACCGAATAATGTATTGAACATTAGTGACAAGATAAATGTGGGGAAGTCATCACGAAAAAGCGTTAGATCTTTCACGCTCTCTCCTCGGCCTTCTCCTTTTCAATTTGAATTGATCTACGTCAATGACACGAAACTGAATTCAACTTCAAGTCAATTCAAAGTGTCCATTGACGATAATCAGCAATTAGTCCGGGAATAAAATCGATGTTTATGTACAAGAGAAATTTATTCACGTATTTACCGTCATTTTCACTTAAGTGTTTATACTTTCAGAAGTCAGATGATCTTCGCAAGTCGCGTTTTGATAATTAACCAGCAATAATGATGACTCTAATCCTACAGAATGGTATACCCGTAATTATGATTTGCACATATGTTCTTGCACTCGGCAAAAACGATTAAATTCATATAACCAGTCCTCCTGGTTAGTCCCGTCGCGTATACATATGTGTTGGTATCAAATTCAAATAACCATAACCAGTCTCCTGAGTAGTCCCATCGCAGATAGTTAATCGACAGATAAGATAAAACACGATATCGCACTTATTAATATTCCACCAAACGTTGCAATATGTTCTATATCTCCCAGATTTCAATATTCCACGTTTATGTAAAATCTGTTTATTGATTTGTAACTTCGACGTAAAGAAGAGACCTAATGTTATACGGCAGCTCAAGAAACAAAGGCCGAAAAAAAGTATTTTCGATCAGAGATAGACATTATAGAAAATAATTATTCAAGATAAATCACTAAATTCGTTTTAATTGAATATTTCGATAATGATTATTTACTAGCCATAATGAATTAATTCATTCAATGATTAGAATAATCTCTGATTAAATGTATATTTAAATGACTGAATATTTATCCATAGCATCGAATAAATTTAATCTCTTATTTTTATTCCGTATTCGTTGTCTGAATAAAATTTTACCCAACATTGGTCTCAATACTCTTTTGGATCCTTTCACCTGAATCCCTATTGGAAACGGCATGAAGCCGAGGGCCGCAACGGCGGTGGATAGGGCAAGGACGCGGGCAGCTGAAAGGAGCCACGATAAAAGGAGGATCCGTTCGAAAGGCACGACAGCTATACATTATCCTGACCGCTTTCGCCGCGTCGCGTCGCGTCGACACGCCTGGCATGCGTCTAGCCGTCGAAAGTCATCGTCTTTGACGAATCAAATCTTTCTTATTTCAAATCGCAGCGTTACCAATAGGAATACTACGATTTTTATACATTGAGAATTTAATGCGCAGAAATTATAAAAAAATTAACTTAATATGCAAGGATACGCATTATTGATTGTCACATGGTTATTAATTACGAGAGGTAAAAGAAATCTCAATTTAGATTTCATTTTTTAAATTGGCATCACAAGCGTTTTATCTTGTATAAAAATTCACAGTCTACTAACAGGCGCTCGCGAGATGTCGTGTGTACAAACGACGATTTAACTTGTCTGAGAAGCGAAGTTGCGTTAGGTATACTAAGAGATTAATGACTAATTTCGTCATAGTGTGTTTTACGAAGTTTGCAAAGTTTAAGAATCAGCAATGCGTGTGACGAAGCTAGAAAGAGGAATGCAGAGTTTAAATGCCTTAGAATATGTATACGAAGTTAATTGACGAATGATTCATAAGACTGATTGGCATTCGCAGATAGATGGACGATGGAGAGAAAATCTATGATTATTCGTTTTCCAAGAACGAGATCGTTTATGAGAACATTTTCCATCTAACGATAGATTTTTCGGATTAATTAAGAAGACAACGGTTAATTAAGTAAACTAGTCACTGACGTCATCTGTTTTCAATGCACACCATTGTAATACGAAATGAAATGAGGAAAATTGTTAAAACTTACGCCTCGCAGTATGGCTGTTTGTTGAATCCCTTGTACGTCCGCATATTCAGGATCATGCCGCAACACTGACACTTGAAACATTGCTTGTGCCATACCTGAAACAAATTGAAATTCACTGTTCATTCTTTTAAAACTATACGAATACATAAATATTTATTTAAGTCAGATATATATTGTGAATGAGTAAGTACATAAAACAGGAAATTCAGAATACGAAGAAGAAAAATAAAATAAAAAATCATGAGTCATAAAATTAATAAAAATCGAAACAATCGCTTTGCTCGGCGATATTTTCACCCACACGCAAACGAAACGCGAATTCCTCGCGAAACAAAAGGGATCTAATCGGCCGGGCTTTGTTTCATTGTTACTCATCGGTAGCATCTAACGATACTACGCAGCAGCCTCCCAACATTGTCTTGAATACCGAGTAGGATTTATCACGTTCATGCCGGCAGCCACCGCGCACTCTGACCCAACTATCAGTTTTCTAACGACAGATAGACGAGTAGCGTATATGCGATCGTACAATAGAGCTGAATAAAATCGTCAATTGATAGCTGAAGTAGCCTGTTCAAGGCTGCGATCTGCGCGAGACAGCATCTGAGAATCTTTCAGGGTGCGCGTCCATGATTTATCAGATTGCTGCATATAAAATGTGTTCTTCAAACACAGCGGACGTAGTTTCTATAAAATACATGCATGTTACATTTCGCTTAAGTAATTTATCGATCATATCCATATCTTGTTACAGCATTAAACGATTTCGTTATCTCCGATTATTTTTCTGATATCTGTAGATATTTTCAATGCTGCGTTTATAGTTTTATTATAAAGTGTGTCCCAGAAGAAGTGTTAGATTGGGAGGGTCATAGTGAACAACAATTTCTTTTGGCAAAATGCAAAATGGGATTTGGTATTGGGTTGTATTGTTTGACTACTACTCACTATGTTCTCACTGACTTTTACAATCATCGTATATGAAAATTTTAAGTACAAATGGATTGTATTAATGACGTTTCACATACATTAACTTAATGTTTTTGCAAACGTATCGAGCGAGATCGTGTCAGCGATTCGAATTAAAACACGCCTCGTTCCGTACGTCAAATCGATCGAAGCTTTCCAATAAAGTGAGATAACCGAAGGCCGTCATAGTCACTGGTCGATAATTGGCAAGGCTGTTCGCGCTGTCAGATGTCGAATAAGGTCGAGGATCTCGGAGAGCAACCATTGCTACACCCGGAAAGAGAGAAATGAGTCACGAACATCTGAGTCAACTTTGATCGTCCTCGACAAAGAGTTATAATTATTCCGGACCGCCTTGTCTCCAGTTGAAGCGCTCTTTCTTCTCCGGATTTTTCGTCGCGTGTCACACAGATCGCATGAGTGGTAATTCGTGGAAAATTAGAAAATAGAAACATTACATTTCCAGAGAAGTACTTGCCGTTTCCTTAGAAACGCGACGAACAAAAATCAGCAGGAATTTTTGTGGGTACCTAATGTAATTTGATATATTTAAAAATTGAAATTTCTATTTTCTCATTGGTCTATTTATCTTTTTAATTAGTTTCACCGAGTGATTATACAGTTATAAACAAAACGTAAAATCGTCGACACGCCAGTTAATGAAACTTTCGAAAATCACATGGTAATTAATGTAGAAAACGTTTTCTAATTAAGTCCTATCGATCGGACATCGACACAGAATTTCTGTAAAATAACATCGTCTTATAACAAAGAGAAAAAACGCAGTATGCAACAGGATTGATTAGATGCGCACCGACAAGGGTGTTCGGCAGTCTCGTCACGTCTCGATTTCTAGACGATGCAGGTCGTCAGTGTCAATCCTTGGATCGAGACGACGGAATGCAACGTTGAACGAATGCAACGGTACCTTATTTGTATCGTGCTCGCAATGTCAATCGCGCTATGAAACAAACGTCGCCGCTTTGCTCACAATCGTGCCGATGGGACCGAGGAAACACGTAACACACCACCATGGATCTCGTTGCTTCAATTTAGTTGCAATTAGTTAGTCGCGATTAGCGGTAATTGCTCGTGGTCCCGCTTTCGAATCGACCAAAGAACAGTTACATTTCTTGGTTCCAAGGAAAATTCCGTTTGCTCGATTTGCGGTCGTCACGAATTTACTCGAGAAACTTCTTGAAAGTCGCCAGAATAAGTAAACCCCTACAAATTATAAATTCGTGGAAATCTCGGCTTTAATTGAACAGAGAATACCGATAATAATTTCATAAATTGAAGAGATTTAAGATTAAGTAAAGACATACGAATCGATCGTACGAGGTAGCGGCGATTTAATTCAATTACAAACGATGTTTGCTTTGATTACATTACGCAGTCGATTATCTTCAAAGTACACGATAAAACGTTACGCACGGGTAAACGCTTTCACTCGTTTTTTTGATTCTTTACACCGATATTAAATCCGAGTTCCTGTTCCCAAGACATTTTATTTATGACCATTTCAAACGTTGTTCAATACCAAATATGGCTGTTAAGCTTTACACTACTTGCAATTACTCACAATCAGACTGTATGGCTGTATTTTCTTGTGTACTTGAACCACCAAATTCTAGGCATATCCCGTTCGTACAGACTACAATCTTAAAGAGTTTAAGTAAAGAGCCGAACGATCTTAAAGAGCGGAAGCAGTAATCCATTAGGTTGACTAATCATCATTATTTCTCATAAGGCGATTTTTCTTATCGAGAAGAAAACGCGTTACGAGAAACTGGATCAGCTGGTAAATCCAGTCAGGAATCGTACCGCGGTCGAATTGAATCGCATCGCGCGACGCTTCGTCGTTGAAAGTGAAAGTGAAACTCCTCGGACAATGATAGCCGAATGATCCTGCCTGACCTTTGTTAACGTTAAATATCAAACCTTTCGCGTATTCGACGATTGCAATTTCATGGATTATCTTTTTACAATTTGACAATGTCATATAAATTTCACCTAATCGATCATTTAATATAATATTACCGAATATCAAATTGTAAAAAAATAATCCATGAAATTGCAATCCGGACACAGTCCGGACAGCCCAATAGATTAGTTAAATGAAATACATGATATTCTACAGGAAGTAGATCTACTATTTGAAGAAAGCGACGTTTCACGTGCATCAACCTAATATGCACGTGGTAAAGAAAATAGTCACCGACTTTCAATATACAGAAGTAGGGTTGAAGTGATACTGCTAAAAAATAAGTATATTTCAACGTGTCATGAATTGTCATGCAACGAATACATCACAGTTTTTTCCTAGTAAAAGGTGTCTAGTCGATGTTACCCGCGCACGTAGAATAATTATTCGCGTTTTCGCAACAGCCAGTGGGAAACAACCGGATGCCGTGTCGCATCGCCGGCATAACAGAAATTTCTAACGACTGAAACCGCGGATCCGGGAATAAATGGCTTATTCTTCTAAAATTCGCTCTCATGACGTTGTCTCAGATCTTTCTACCATCTTTCGTAACATAATCTACCGCACAGGAAGAAATTGAAGTTCCAAGTAAAAGAAAACCATATCTATTTGTACGGAATTGAAATTAAAAACAAAACCAGGCACTGATCGGTTAAAATCGTTTGATGCGGTCAAACGAGTCCTGCGAGAATTAACGTATCTGACATGCGTAGTTGACAGTTCTTGCTTGATTAATTATATATTAACCGAGCGACTTATCTCTAACGACGTTCGGAACGCTAGCGACAATCAAAGAAAAGATTCTTAATCCACGTGGAAGTACTTGAAATCCATCCGCATAAATATTTGTGGTTTCGATTCTCGGGCGCGAATGAAATACACACGTAAATGAGTATAGTTCGCTCGCTCCGACCGACTCCAGTCGGATCGACATATTTTTGAAGCGATGTAGGCGCAACAGGTTGGGAATGACTCCCACCTGTTGCAATCGTGTGCCAGACCCACGCAAGTAGCCTCAGCGTGGAATTTGATTACAATTTCACCAAACCCTGTTATTCCAGAAGATCGTCCAAGCAGTTACTATCTACTTCCTAAGCGTTTCAAACGAATTGATTCCGGATTCGATTCTGTCCTGTTTCTATATTTTTCCATTTTCATATTTTTATCTCTAGTTATTAACATACTGCATTTTACACTTTCAATAAAAGAAACATGAAAACAATTTATGCTCTATATTCCATCACGCCTTAATTTAATCGCTGCACGTATTTAACAGAAAAAATAGAGAGAGAAGCAGAGAGCAAGTAGAGGATGATCAACAATAGTGAGGGCGATGAAAAAACTGGGGAGCGGTTCCTCTCCAGTTAATGGGACATGGATTAATTGCAGCTACACCAGGATGCGTATGTCTGGCTGTGTACCCACATGCGGGTCGTGTAAATTGAAACAAGACACTTATTCGAATCCGGCGCTGCTCGCCGGTGCGATCGAACGCTCAAAAATAGAACAAACGTTGTGAACGCACTTCAACTCCAGTGAAAGTATCTGTTACACATAAAAAAAGAAGGCAAAAATATGATACACACACGTGTACGTACGCGTGGAATAAAGAACGATTTATCGATCTTAATCGAGATCTAAATATAAAACACGATATATAAACGAGATCGTTGAAACGTTGTACCGTTACACGTTTTACAACAAGAAATCGTCAAGTTTTTTGGTCGTATTCCATCCGCCTGCGTTTGCTTCCGTTTCATGCCAGATACGCGTTCGCAGTGTAACGTTACACACGTACATGCCAACACAAACGCACTAATACGCAGTATAAAATTCTGTACAAGCAGATTATGCACATGCATACGCCGCGTACTTGTTCGTACGTACATATGTGCATTGACGTACACGCCCTGTCCTCACTGGATGCTTTCATTTCCCATATCGCTGTGCTCGCGTACCATTCATTTTAAATTACAAACTAAAAATAATAAATGAGAAGTACGTAGTCCCCGCAGTGAAAATATTGTCGCGCCTTTCCCCCTTTGCCAACTATTTCAATTTCTCAAGGGAGAAAGATAATACCTGATTGAACGAGTATAATTAAATATATTTCTCAGCACGCGTTAATTGTCCTTCGTGTGCTTTAATTCGTCTCCGTCGACTGCGCAACAATTCGCGCTTGCACGCTTTTGATCCGCACGCAACGCGTCGTCCTCCGCGGCTCAACGTTCCCTCGCGGGTAGAGAAGACTGGATAAAAAGGACGAACGAAATGTCTGAGAAAGAGAAAGAGAAGATACTTCTGTGCACATCATTCACAAGAGCGTGCAGGCTTCGAGTAACGTCAGTAACGAGAAGGCGAGTTATGGACGACGCGCGCCCACTGGAGAGAAAATCAGAAGCGCGGCAACGAACTATAATCTTACAGAGAAATAATTATTCGCAGGTAGATATCCAATTCTACCGGTTAACCTTCGTCTGGATTCGAACGAAATTTATCCTTTTACCGCTTCTGATTCTTCATTAATCGCAAGTTAACGATACGTTTTTAATCTCCTCGTTCTTTCCACTAATCATAAAGACTGAAGTTACCAAAACTTATATTAAAATGACAGCGTTAACAGGTACATTATGTCTTTTAATCATATATTTGTCAAAAGAAATAAAGGTATCTAAATGCTTGAACGATATAAGGATGCTTTTCATCGATGAATTTAACTCTTCATCGGTTAAAAGCTTATTGGATGAAGATATCCAGCGATGACCTACAGAAGACACCAAAAATACACCAGACTTAGAGGAGAGAACGCGAAGGTCGTAAGAAGAAAATTTAGAAAACCAACGTGGAGATTGTGTATCTCGATGCGTCCAAATTTAGGAGATCAAGCCTCTCTGCTGCCGGTCTTCAAGAGTTCACCTTCCGCCGCGAAGTGCCGCCTACGTGATTTAACGCTCGTTAACACAGCCCCGCGCATTAAATAAATCGTGACCGTGTTTCTACGCATATAATGTTAATAGGACCCATATTAGTAGGCCGAAACTCATGATACGTTCGCAAATACAAACGTGAAAGACTGATCGCAACTACAGGTGGAATAAAACGAACAGCACTCGGCATGGATGCACGCAGAATCATTACGTGTATAGTTACAACGTCGATAGTAACGAACGCGGCACGTGCAGTTACATACGGTTCATTTGTACCTACCTCACGTCGAACAAGCTTCCAATGAAATAAACATATTAAAGCTTATATCACCATACGACTTGACAGTTAATGATGCATGTTAATCAAACTTTTGATTTCTTTCAGGTTTTTCGATAGTTATAACAACAACTTATATATTCCTTCATGCCCTACTTTCGATTACTGTAATCAGTTTTAACGAGGAAAAAGAGATATTTATAATACTTCATATAATGATACTTCGCTTCCTAGATATTGGTAGGTATAAAATGTTTAGCACTCAGTGTTAATAGAATTATTGACCTTACGATAATTAAACAATCCATTTATACTTGAAATTTCGAAATACGATTATTGTAAAAGTCAATGAAAACAAATTAGATAACAGTTAAATAATATAAAACTAAACGTAGCATTCAAAGAATTTATAGATTTTACGATTCACAATCAAGATACATGAATAGGTAGAGAGAAGTAATAGATAAATTATGTAAATGAAATACGATTTACGATATTCTACAGGAATTACAACTGCTGCGTTTGGAGAGAACATTTCATACACACGAATTTAATATTTTGTATTAATGGGAATTCGATTGATAAGTTTGATTCTGTGATACGAAGTCTGAATGAACTGTGACGAAGTGGCGTCTTCGAGGGAAAAATGTTAGCTGCGTCCAACCAGAGAACAGAGAATATGTTGTGTACTGGCTTGGATGGATGGAACGACACAGACAATATTTGACCGAATAGAACAGAACGCCTCAGTAAACGGAACTAAAGGAGAACGGTACATCCTACGATCAGTCGCAAAAGAGATTCATGTTCCAGGCGATTCGTTCGCATCGGGAGTAATGAAGCAATACAATGGAATATGTATTTAAAACAGGTCTCGGTTCCAGAGACAGTACTTAAAATAAAATACCTAAATATGAACTACTCTTATGTGAAAAAGATCTTACAAAGTACACAATAAAATGATCGCACGCGATTTGCAGTAGAATCATGCCGCATGCACATCTTTCAGAGAAACTTTAACAGAACAGAATAAAGTAATTTACTACGTCATTCGGTTCAGAGCGTGCTCGCAGTTTGTGTTCAAATTTATTTCGTTCGATGAGTAAGAAGGGCAAGTTTTACACTTATACTTTTTTGTAATTTTAACGAAAGAATGTTCTGTAATCGTGCGTACCAAAGAGAACGGCGGAAAGTCGTTCGGAAATTTATTGAACAAACAGAGAAACATATTATACCTTGTCGAGACACTTGAGCTCCTCGATCGGGTAGACCGTTTTCTCGCAGCGGGCACACGTCTTGCTCATCTTCTACTTCTTCCTTCTCTTCTTCGTCGTTCTTTCTTCCCTTTCGCTCCCTCACGGCCGCAGTTCCGCGTACGTACGTATATACGTATGTATCTCGTCTTGAAACGAAACACTGCCCGAACAAAAAAGAACACGTGTAAACACTAACGACACATCCGCACAGTTCTTCGTGTTCGCAAGACAACTGGAAAGAAGGAACACTGATGCACGTTTACGCAACAAAATTGTTTACGAGTTTTCTCGGCGACAACCACTGCGACAGACGAGAGAAAAATGCACGCCAGCAGAAAAGCTCGAACTGCACGGGTGCCACAAGAGCCGCACCAAACTGCACTGCCCTCTTGTCCTCGTCTAGCCACTCCTTGAGTGACAGTAATGGTGGTACACTCAACTAGTCAATCGAACGACTAAATATCTAAGCTTACCGAATTCTCCTAATCGCTTTATTTCAAATACGATATAAATGGAAATTAAAATCAATTTATTTATTAAAAGAATGTAAGGAATAATAATTATACCTCTCATCGATATACTGATAGAAAATAACCATTCTGAACATGGCTATCATTCATGCGGCGCGTTGTTAATAAAGAATAAGCGAAAGATTCTTCCATAAAGCAGAAACAGCTTTGTTGAATCTGTTAAAAAACTCTGTAAAAAAGTAATAATGTAGAAAAATGATTTGTGAACGATCTGGTGCATCTACGTTTTCTGGAAAATATTTAACTCACAGAATGCGAATGCTACAAATAGAATAGACGGCGCTGAAAATGCAAAAATATTGCCCTGATTAATTATCAGCGGGAATTTCGAATGTGGGTTGGTTATATCACTGAAAAGAGATTATTGCCCATAGAGTTTTATGGGATTTTGTGAACTTTGTGTCGCACAAAAAAATCGATAATTTTTTACGCCCTCTAGAATATATTGTCACCGAAGTAAGAAATAGAAAGCAAAACACTCGTCGGTACTGAACCGACCGTGTAATCTTACCGACGAGCCATTGTTACATTACTTCTCGGTGGCCAATCAAATAGGAATCTATTGTAATATGTAATGCTCCAATATGTTACTAATGAAATGCGTGTACATTTTGCATTGTAATTTATGTATAATAATTACAAACGCTGAAATATAAATGAGATTTATTTTTTATGATGTATTATCGACAGTGATGGATTCCGTCTCGCAGCGCATTCTATCGGATATGTATATCTTTCAAAAAATTAAATTACGAACGAGGTAGAAGTACAAGAAGAGTATTTTCAGTTTCAATTTCAACAATTCTTTATTTATCACATGAAGGGTGTTCTCAGATGCGAAGAGCAATTTTCATTCTCTTATCTTTTGAGGACCTTTAACGTCCCGTACATCGAATTAGTTTTGTCCTTTCAGAAACTGATAAACGAAACTGAAATCTTTCATAGCGAATCCTTGAGCAATAACTGCCCTGTAAATCTGATGTGCCAGAGATCCTAAAGGTACAGCCGCTCCCACATTAGTTGCCACACCTTGCACCAAACCCAAATCCTTGGCCATTAGAGCAGTTCCAAAACCGCCCTAAAAATGAAGTTACGTTAATCAAATGGACGTCAAATGAATATTGAAATAAGGCAATTTTTCAAATACATCGTAATTTTTGGAACTAGGAACATTATCGAGGATTCCTGGGACAGGATTATACAGCTCGGAAGACCAACATCTACCCGTGCTCGAGTTTACTATATCAGCTAACACCTTGGAATCTAAACCTAGTCTGAAATACAATGAACTTAATGAAGCGATTGTACTTATAGTGCATGATTAATTATTTTTATCTTGACAACGTTACTTTCGCCCGAGGTTGAACGCTTCTGCTGTGCCGATCATGCTAACAGCCAAGAGCATATTATTGCACAGTTTTGCAGCTTCACCCATTCCTACATCTCCACAATGTACTGCTCTAGACCCCATAGATCTCAAGAGTGGCTTTGCACGTTCAAAATTCTCTTGCGAACCACCAACCATGAAAGTTAATGTGCCATCTTTGGCTGCATTCACTCCTAATTGACAGGGAACAAAATTGCTCTTTAGGACGATAAATCAGTTTATCAATATCTTTACCTCCGGATACTGGGCTGTCTATAAAATTAACACCAGACTTCGCAGCCTCTTTCTCTAACGTTTGCGATACAAACGGATCTATCGTGCTACTATCGATCAAAAGTGTATTTTCTTTTGCTGAACTGAAAATGCAGATAAGAAAAACAAGCGAGACTAAAGTGTTTTCAATTAAAAGACATTGGGTTGATAAAGATGAAGCATGCTCAATTATTACGACAGCTACTTATTCACCTTAATAGGCCATTTTTTACATTGTAAACGTCAAGAACGTGTTGATTGGAAGGCAACATCGAGACGACCACTTCAACTCCTTTTGCCAACTCAGCAGGACTCGAAGCTCTGTCCGCACCTTCCTTGGTCAAATTTGACACAGCTGTTTCGTTAACATCAAAGACAATTAACTTGTAGCCCTATAGCAAAGAAATTGATAGACTGCTTGAAGACATTCAGAGTAAATGCGGTGGACAATTACCTTTTTTAAAAGGTTTCTTGCCATGTGACCACCCATGTTGCCTACACCAACGAAACCGACTTTCGAAAAATATCTTCTCCCTAAATTATATGTAATAAAATGAAATAGAAAGTCATTATACTTATTCATCAGTTTCATTATCCCTAAATTATCATTTTTTTTTACAAATATGCATTGATAGAGATCAATCTCTCCACTTTTAACGTTTTTTGGATATGCCGTTCAGCTCGATCAGCACGATCACAAAACACATATAAACAAGATTCAGATTGATTCTCCTCCTGTATGTTTATAGAATAATTTAGTAATTACTTATACCGGGATGAATAACACACTTCAGTGATGCACCAAGAACACTCATTTTAAACAATTGAAACCAAGATATGTTGTGGAAACTGTATTTTTACTCTTCAATTGTAATTGATCGTGGAGGCCGTAGAGAAACTGCTGATTAATATACAGTACAATTAAAGTTATTATGTTAGGGTAGAGGTACGTGCACAACAGACAGTATGTTCAGCGATAACGATGACTATTGCTATTCCAATTAATGCAAATCTGTTCTTGCCTTGGCCTAAAATATGAAAGCTAGTTCAGTTGTACACGAAATACGAGTGATGTTTAAGCATCGTATCGGATCGAAGAAGTAAACTGGAATTTCCTTATCATAATTATTGTGTAATTTTTATCGGTGAAGTACAGTGAAGTTCATAAATATTCGTAAACGGTTCAATATAGGAATATGCTTTATAAAGTGAACTTAATAAATTGACTTTTGTTTACGTATTAGTTTTATATGATGTATAACAAGAAAGTAAAACAAATTAGATCGGACTTACGAAGAAAAGAGTAAAGAGCACAATTTTTAAGTTTTTGTATTCAACTCTCTAATACAAACTGAAAACGTATTTTTTGAAGATCTGAGAATGTTATATACATATGCAAAGTTTCATTAAAATCTGCAGGTTTTAAATAAATTAAGAAAATTCAACATCTTTCGATACATTCAACCTTCATATATTTTTATCAATTTTTATGAAACTTTATACGTGCATATAATATACTTACATTAGATATTATTAGATTAAAATTTATCAATAAATTAAGATCCTAGAACTGCAATAAAATTTTATTTCACGAGGAATGTATGGAGATTGTATCGTGTATGATCTATTATATGTGTATACGTTTTTTATGCGAAACTTGTCACTTTTCATTATATCAGATAAGTGAAGACAGTTCCAGCAAACCAAGGACATTTTATGAATACACTGAAATACAGCGAACGTATCTCATCGCATTTAACTATAAATCATGTAATTTGATAAAAGTTAAACGTATTTTTTCTTCTGCGGAAATGTCATCAGTCTCTTCTTGTACGATCAACGAACAACGAACGACTTGAGAGAATACATGGTATACAAGCAAATGTTGCTTGCGACAAGTATCTAATTATTCCATTCGGTTATTATCGCACACATAGAGCAAATTAATATTTCCAGCGTCGTCAATTAATTATGAACGAAACCATAACGAAGCCTAGAAACTCGGTCGTAATTACGCGTTTTGTGTAAACCATACGCTATAATTCTGTTTATTCGTCCTTCTTTACCTTTGCTCTTATCTGTCCTCAAACTGTACCCTGAACTTTTATGTTTGTGTACATTGGAGTATTTAAATTGCCTGTAAGTATATGAGTGTTTAAAGAACTGTGTGTACGTTAACGTCACCCCCTACGACGAATCATGCTCCAGGTAGCCTGGCAGAGTCGTACACAGAAACTGGAATATCGTTCTTCCATTCTCATACGAAGAGCTCATTATTAAAAAAGAAGTGTGACTCAGAAAATCCGTATTTATAAAATTACATAAAAGATTAAATCCAAAGGAAGTTTTAATATAATTAGGATCCATAATGAAAGAATTTATGTTAGTTTATGTATTCTGTGTATCTGTTTCATCCGTGAGAGGTGATAGAAGAGATATATTGGCATCGGAAAGTGAATCATGGATCCCGGATGAAAATTTCACGCAAATCATTAACGTCTCGTTTTCTTCTTCTAAGTGCTGCAACGTGCTTTTGAGTGGTTCGTAAAAACGTATTCTAATAGTTTTAATTATTATTTAGTACATTGCTTCATAATTTTAATTATTCAGGTTCAATGGAAGAATCCGAAGCACTGTTCGATCAATTTAGAAATACGTATCCTTACGAATACTTTTTGCGAGATACCGAGGAATGCCACGCATATTTCTTGTTAGGAGCAACTGACTATGAAGTTATAATATCTATAAAAAAGTGAAACATATGATTTATCACTATATAACTAGCTTTTAACGTTATCAAATATTTTTATCTTTTTCCAGACTATCATTACTATGGAAAACAGAAATCTTGATTATTATAAATAAAATGGTTTCTAGCGATTCAGCTATACTTAACAATACTATTTATGGAATTGCAAATGTAAATGTCGTATCTAGATCTGAAATATGGAAGCTATCGGAAAATTATATAAAACCGCGAGCATTCATTAAGCTCGACAGGTAATAGGTATTAATAAATTGCAGACTAGTCGATTTGTCGTTTTTTCTTTTTCATTTACATGCTCAGATACGAGCAAATGCATCAAAACTACATCAACTTTCGCGGCAAAGAACTGCAAGTGTGCAGCACTTATAAACCACCTATGACATTTTTCAACCGTACAATCAAAAAAATGATCGATGGCGCGGAGGAGGAAGTGTTCGCAATGGACAGTGGTAAGTAATTGTAAAATAATTTAATACAATAAAATATGTTACAATTAATTAACAGATTCGGACTGGGACGGTATCGAGATGCATTTGTTCTTAGCTGTAGCAAAAAAGCTGAATTTCACGTGGACGATAAGAAAACCGAAAGGAAATTACACGTAAAAAGCTCATAGATTTAATTGTTAGATACTAGTCTGCTTGAATTTTATGTAATGTTTCCTACGCAGATACGGCAGGCGATTTAACGAAACTGTTTGGGAAGGCGGTATAATACAATTATTGACCGAACGGAAGGTTCGTTGATAAATCAAATTATCATAGATATAAAGGCACAATTCTTTTCCTTTATATGTTTAACAAAAAGAATCTTTTATTCTTTTGGTTTTCAGGTAGACATAGCATTTGCCAATATTTTTATAACTTTGGATCAGTACTCGTTCGTGGACATGTCCCCTTGGTATGAAATATACATTCACTTTTTGGTACCTCGCCCTCGTCGAACTACGAGCTTCTGGGCGCTCACTAGGCCGTTCACTGCACAAGTTTGGTATTTGCTTGCGACTGTATTACTACTACATAGCTTGTATACTTATATCCGCACCAAGATCGATCCTCAGTTCGCAAAACGTAAAGGACTATGAGTAATTCCTTCTATTTAAGATCGAAGAGCTTAGGATACAGTACAAGTTTCTACCGTATTTTTTCCAGAATTTCAAAACTTCCTAATTATCCTTATCGATCTAATCGGCTATCTACTGAGTAGTTTGGTGCCCAAAGTTCCTACGACCAATAAACTGCAGATACTTCTTTGGCGTACCGCGGGCTGGTTAATAATTACTGCATATTGCAGTAGCCTCGCAGCTCGGTTGTCAAGCTGGGATTACGAACCCAGGTAATGTACAATTAAAATCCTTAACAATGGAACTACTAATCTTTTTAATTATATTTATTTACGTTATTACTATGACAAACATATTAGATAACAACGTATGAGGACTTTCTGGTGCGTTTAAGACATCGTACGTGTGTTTTAGGATCGATACCGTCGAACAATTCATTCAAGCAAACTTGACGTGGACTAGATCCGGTGAGCCGCCACCATTTGAAGATTTTTTTAATCTTAAGGTATTTTCTTGAGTTCTCACTCAGCATGCGTAAACATTACATCAGATATGCATTCGTTACTTCAGGATCCATATGCCGCTCAGTTACCGAATAAATATTATCACATAGATAATGAATCGCAAATACAGATGATTATCGCCCAAGGCAATTACGCATTACTAGGAAATACTATCGATACATGGTTCTTTCCTACGAATTACGTGCCAAATGAAGAGCTCAAAGTAAGAACGCTTATCCAAATCGATCATATATATTTTCTGACAAGCCAACGATGATAATTAAATTCTGGATTTTATGTATTTGTAATATATATAACGATTTGGAATATCGAATGTTAATTACATGTTGTAATACTTAAATGATAAATGAAACTATTAATGATGCAGCAAATATCATGAATATCTTCTTAAAAAAAATCCGCAGTCTAATGATAATCGAATGAATTAAAGAATTACAGGTTGATGAGACAATCATTAGGACACTATCATAACGCATTCGCTGTTCAACCGTGGCTTTTAAAACCTATAAACATGGTAAACGAAGATTTAAATTTATGCAACACATTATCTGTACAATCTATCTTCAGTAAGATTGTTTGCGCTTATCGTTAGATACGTAAAGCGGATACAAGTGAACTTTCATTTGTAGATAATGTTGTTGCTAAGAGAGACTGGCATCACTAATTGGCATTTGCGCGATGTCATTCGGAGGCGGAACAGTTATTATCTTCGACAGGTCCTCGTGGAACATGATAAATACGACGGAAGTGTGCAAGTTCTCGGCCTGACACCGCTCGGCGCTGGATTTTCGCTTTTACTCATTGGCTTGTCGATAGCTACATTTGTGTTTTATTTGGAGATAAGACGGATCCCAAAAGCGGTTTCTACCCTCAAGCTGATCCGTGATGAATAAAAACACACGTGCGAATTTAAGGAGAGACATTTGACAGTTTTGAATTCATGGATTTACTTTTCATTTGTGATTGGGTCAAACTTATTCGAAGAGAGTTGTAATCTTATTTACATTTCATCAATTTGATAAGAAGATAATTTGTGAAAGAAAGTTAAACACATTAAGCGTATAATTAACCTTTGGTAGGGATAACTCAACGAGCGGTGAATTATAAGTATGTGACACATTATGTCTATATTCATTGCGCGCGGTACAGTGACTGTAGATATAAAACTAAACTGCACTCAATTCTCGCACTAATGTTACGTAGGTGGAACGCGGGAAAATAGTGGTAGCTTGATAAGTGGATTCAATAACAAATGATCGACAGCGACGGTGAAGTCAGTCGGCTCCCGTGCGCAACGTTGCAAAAAGCGAAGGTTGTTCTATCAAACCTGGCGCGATGATGTGCGACGTTTGATATTCACTACGCTTTTTAATAGAATGCAAATGAGTTGTCAAAACCAATAAAAAATATTGGAGCGCTTGGTGAAATTTTTAATTTTAACTTTTTGTTGTTCTGATGTGACTGGAGATTGTGATCTTGCACTATAAAGAAGAAAAGTTTATATAGCAGACCGTGATGGTGATTAAAAAACACATTGACGATGGTGAGTTACCAAATTTTTATTTCTATTATATTTACTAGTAGAAAATTTAAACAAACATTAAATTGT